TACAGTCACAGGGGACCACGGTCTTCCCATTGCCACTATACCACATCAAACCCCTACTCTGCCTTTAATACAGCCTCTTCAACTTTTAAGCATTACACACAAGGGACTTCCATATAATTTGGAGTTGGTACAGTGGTGTTAAGAAACCTGACCATGTCAGTATCTGCACATTTCCCAATAGCCCTTATGGTTCCTGAGTGGCTAGACACTTGCCTGTAGATCCCCCGGCTGTTTTGGGTTCTTCCTCTCAAGCCTGCGTTACGTCCTCTTAAACAGAAGGAAAGAGGAGCAACACGGTGTTCCATTCCCAATTCCATTTTCATGCTTGCAAGGATTCTTCTGTGAGAAATGTTTAACTCCAATAACTTAATATGCCTGGCCTCGCCTGTGCTGCCTGACAAACCCATAGCATAAGGCCTTCAAGATGCTATTGATGACAATTTTGCAAGAATATTTCAGGAAGGATGTTAACTATGCAAGATGTTTCCATAGCAATCCTAACACTTCATTTTTATATGAACGCGACAATCTTTGGATCACTTGTCAATCTTGACTTCAGCTTATTGTAAGCTGTATCCATTATTTCTGCTCAGCCTGTAGAGTGTTTCGTGATACTCAGAGGACTGTTGTATCAAAATAAATTGTACTGAATCTATGTTTTGACTCGTTTCTTTAAGCAAAGAAAAATCAATTTAACGTAACACTGGGGAAACAAGCCACATGGAGGATGTTCATAACCTGTGTAGCAAGATGCAATTAAAGATTTGCTTGCACAGAATAGGGTACGAAATGGAAACGTACAAATACCTGTCAAAGCCACTTTTAAGTTATACACTTCAAAACGTAGGGTGCATTTTGTAACATAGAGAAGTCCCATTTCCTACAGCTAACTTGGCTTTCTTCCTGCCAGCCATGGCTACAACTTTTTCAGACCCAGGAACCACCTTGAACGCAAACACGCCATATCTTAAATTTTTAACCATATATTTTTATGATGGTAGGGTTCCTGTTGTGACCCACCTTAGATCAGGCCATGACCACATCAGCTGAGGACCACTGAAAATGACAGCTCCGCATCTCATTCTTACATTCTTATCTGTAATGTCTAGAAATATGCAAAATGTGATTAACCTCAAGCTGTGAATTTTCCTGACCCATAAGCAACAGCTAGTTAGTGGAACCGCGGTAATGAATATCACTGTGTTCTTTCTAAATGTTATAGATAAGGAGGAAAAGGACCCATAGGCTTGTTTCTTCAGCAGCAGCCCCTTGTGTCTGAACATCTAGTTCCAATTCAAAGAGCAGAAGAAATTGGGGAGGGGGCGGGAATTCACCTGAAATACCGTATTTTTCGCCCTATAGGGCGCACCGGCCCATAGGACGCATCTCGTTTTTTGGGGGGGAAATGAATTTAAAAAAATTATTCCCCCCCCCCAGCCGCGGGGCTGGGGCGGGGGAAGCCCGAGCTTCCCCCGACCCCAGCCCCCAGAACAGGCTGCTATTCGCAAGCCTTGCGAGCCCGGCGGCAACTCCCGCCTCTCGCGCACTGACACCTCTCGCTCTCCAGGCTTCAGCGAAAGCCTGCATTCGCCCCATAGGACGCACATACATTTCCCCTTCATTTTTGGAGGGGAAAAAGTGCATCCTATAGGGCGAAAAATACGGTATATTGGGGAAAATTCCACTTGGCTGCTTTCACTTAAGACATAGAGAGCAAGGTGAGACTTGCACAAATCAGGTCATTTAGAGCTTATTAAAAACGCGCATTCGGAAACAATGCTGAATGATTTAATGGCATTTTCAAATTGCAACAAAGACACACATTGAACATCTAAAAAAACACAATCAAATCACCAGAATATCAGTAAACAAAAAAACAAGTGGTTCTACACTGACATACGAGTATAGGATTTTCTTCCTCTGCGGAAGTTGGTTTTCAAAGACTTAGGCATCAAAATAAGATTCTTCTGATTTCTGAAATAGGTACAGATGTTTTCATTTTTTAAAAAATGATGTGCACTGTTAGAAGACCACATATACACAGAGAAAGACAGACAGACACAGGTCTTTGTGATTTGCCCAGTGATACAGCGATCTTATGCAAAACTAAGTTTCAATACTGACAATATGTAACAGTCACTTTCCTTCTATGTGAAATGCAAGACATAATTAAATCAATACTCACAGCAGTTATTAGAAGACCTGTTCATTATCATGTGAAGACCAGAAAATGTGAAATGTATAATTGTTTTCACTGCTACCTTTCATCTACTGTTGGGCCAGGCACCTGTTGCCTCAACACAACACTTAACTAACTTGCTCCTTTCAATGAAGCCAAGACATGTGGCTGAGTGGGAACAAGCATGTAGATACCTCTGCTACAGGAGGGTGGTCCTTTGGTGATATATAAAGCTCAGTGACAGCGGGCATCAATTTCACGCTCCACTGTTGTTATTTCATATGTATTTTAAAAATGTAAAGACTCCATTCATATGAACTGTCCGTGCAACTGGCACCCATCATCTCTCACTGAAGGTGGAGAGCTATGAGCCCAAGCCACTCAATGGGTGGTTCCCAAGTCAATGAGACCACTGAGAACCCAAGCTCTACCCTAAGGCAGGTCTAGACATTCTAAAGGAGTTTGTTGCATTCAACTGAAATGCCTGCAACACCCATTAGCTAGGGAGCATGTAGGCAAAACATTGTCTTTTAACAAAGATAAATAAAGGAGTGATGTGGCAAGATTGCTTCTCTCTACACTGCTTCCCCATCCAGTCACTCTGTGACAAGACCCAAATAGAAGCACATGCTGCAAAACGATATAATAAAACATGCAATAAAGCCATCCACAACTCATTTGAGTTTTGCCATCGAGTATGGGTAGAGGATGACCCGGATTAGGGAAGCAAAAAGCGGTATCTCTTATGGATTTTAAATCAAATTCCAAGTCATTATTTACTTCTCATTATACATTTGATAATATAATCACAAGCCTCAGTCATTTACTCGGTCTAGGCTTTAGTGCTACATCACAGATTCTTTTGCCCCAAACAGATCAAGCTATTCACTTATTATATGTTTCTTGCATTAATTCTCTTCTCCATAAACTACTTTAACTCCTATATGACATGCTATAACGTTATGTCTCAACTTGCTATGATTTCAGCACTCTCATAAATGGTGCCTCCACTCTCTCCCCTAGAGTCAGCTTCTCAAGTTCCTATTGGACAGTGCTATGGAACACAATAACTGGAGGAGGAAGGGGAGAACTGATCAAGGAAGTGTAACTCAAAGTAATGTAGGGGAATTAATTTTAAACCTTTTATAAGCAACCTACATTACCACTTTGATTATTTTGGCTCCAACCCTGAGATGTGGACAGACAGTTTAGAGAAGCACTGCCTGCCCTCAGCTGCAAATACAACATCTATGAAGGAGTCCTAACGTACGGTCTCATTAACCTTCTTCAAGACAGTTGGCTATCAGAGGTGCTTGGGAATATTAATCGCACATATCAAGCTGACAACACAACTTAGGAAGAGCAAAACCCATCTAAGGACCGCCTGTCGAATGGTGTGAAACAACACAAGGACCTTCCTTCCAAGTTAACAAGTTACGTCTTGACAAAGTACAACCTTGAAATTTGGTATGATTGTCTTCTACTCTTTATGACAGCACATTGGAATGAGACCCAAAGTGTGTTATCAAGGTTAAACAGCAAGATTCATAGTAGCCCCACATTCATTTTTGAGGTAGCACACATAGTTGCAATGGCCAGGATCCAAAGAACAATGTTAGCATGACCAAGGGTTGGGGCATGTCCAACGAGCTGCCTTACTTTTGTCTTTGAACAGCAGACCCGCTCCCAAGCACCATGCCATACTACAATCTGCTTCTGACAGGCCACTTAATTTCAAAAGTGGCTTGCCACGTTTATTGGCATGTATAACTAGTCTGATCTTTTGGATCTCTGGCATAGTGTTGTTGGCCCAAAAACAGAATGTTGATGGGAGAGGTCCCATTTTGAAATATGTTAAACACAGGTGCATTCTTTTTTAAAAAAACCAAAAAACCCCTCAAGATTTATTCTTTTTTTATAATAAAAAAACTTCACAAAATGTAGCAATGTAAATCCTTCTTAGATATAGGCCTCACATTCTCTAGGAAATTTCATCTGCCGCTTGTGGTTTATAACAGCTGCTATAAACTAAAGTGCTTAAAAACTTGCTCAGATTGCCGTGATTATAATATTTTGTAGTTTGCAGTTATGTAAAATACCAAAACACAGAATGGTGGCTCCAGCCAACAGGGTAAGGGTGAACCAGTTAGTTCTTGAAATGTATAGGAATATACTCAACATGGCAAACCAACATTCTATGCCCAATGCTTTAAAAAAACTGTATTTTCCCCTTAAATTGGGAATTGAAATAAATACTCCAATAAATAAATACATTGGAGTGCTCAAATCAGACTCAAATACTACATTGGAGTGCTCAAATCAGCAGGAGTGCTCAAATATAGACGGGAGGGGAAATCTCCACCATACTTCTGAAATTCACCCTTCATCTTAAGTTTAGCCCTATACGCTCCGTAATCACAAGGCAGATATGTAAAATGATGAGGGAAAGGCAGACTATATATTCTTCACAATAAGTACACAGAATTCACATTTAAGTCAAACATAATGCCCTACTGTTCATCTAGGCTGAATAACTTATGAACACTTATATGCTCCATAGGAAAGCCATATATCCTTCTACTCACCAGTGGATGCCAAGTTATAAAAGTCCATATGCAAGAATCTAGCTTCTTTGAAAAGGTCACATATTTTTTCTGTACATTTCATGCAAACTGTGCACAATGTGGTAACAACATTTGCAACACACTCCCTTTCAAGGTGCACCTTTTATGTTAACAGCAGACCAGCTTACAGGAAAGTCTGCACAAAAAAGTCTATGGCAACAAAACTGAGGGGTTTGGGAAAGAATTCTTTCAGCATCTCATTTTTCCTGAAGCAAGGCAGGAATATTGATGTTCCACCCAATAGCCTGCCGATCAAATCCACAAGTGAACAGATTGCAGATCGGGTGGTCTTCGCTCCATGCTGAACAGCAAACCATTCTTCTATGCCCCTGTGACAACAGAAATGCCTGTGTTAGAATATTGGCTCCCCTACCCATCCCTGCCTCAAATCAGCCACTTCCCCCTTCCACCTCCAACATTTCAGGATGAAAAGGAGAAATGAAGGGAGGTTCTGAAAGTTCTTCATGATCCTTTTTCACTCCTTGGCATCTCCAACTCTGGGGGTGCAAAAGAGGTGGGGGAGGAAAAGGCTTTCAAAGTTTCCTTGCACTTCTCCTTTGCACCCTCAAGGTTGGGAGGTGGAATGGGAAACCAGGGACTTACAGTGAGTTACAACCCCTCCCTATGTAGAAGCCCAGATTCCAGTTTATCTGAGGGAAGTACTGGAATGGAAAACACTCATTTGCTTCTGAAATAAGAACCTGAAGGCCATGGTTCATTTCTGCGGGCCAATGGCCCCAATCGAAAAGAAGGTTCTTATTAGTACTGTGAAGTCGCATTGTGAAATCTTACTGAGATGTTCCTAGGAAGCAGTTCATAATGAAATGAATAATAATCCTGCTTTAAAGGACAAGACTTTGAATTGGGCTCAGAAACAGGCTTAATCCAAGGCAGTTGTTTTACACTGACAAGCTGTGTTCAATATATGCAACTTGACGACTGTTAAAGACATTATCTTTGGATCAGGTATTCTGCTATCAATATTTCCAATTATGCATACACACAGAGAAAAGCGGTTGGGAGCAGGGATCTTTCTTACATATAGAACTCAAAATCCTGGTACCTGTCTGTTGCTGCGAGGGAGCCGTGCTAATCGCACTCCAGACATGTCAAATAATCTAACCTGCCGGTTGTCATGTGGAAGGGCAATGATTCTTTGGCCGACACAAACATTAATCCTGCACAGGAGAGATAAAAATAAGCTAGGGAGCTTGACAAATGAGAACCGACAGTTGTTCAAGTTCACTGAAAATGATTTAATTGGAGGTTTATCTTGTACACATTTCCCACAAATACATATTACTTTATTTTTGCAACAAAATCAAGTACTGGAAAAACACTTGTTTCTAAAGATGATGATGATCAAAATTCGCACTGCCGCTGCCACCACACACAGCAATGTAGCAAGAACATCAATGCAAGGCTTTCCTCATGCACACATGAATTTACTTGGGTTCCCATCACCACCAAGAACTAAGGAACATTTCAGAAGGTCATACATCCAAATAAAATGCTTTAGCTGAATGAACGAGAATCTTTGGATCTAGGCCTTTGGACATAGGCCTGTTACATAAATTCAGTTAATTGTTCATGAAAATTCAAATATTTTCAGTCGTGCAAAACAGGTTAAAAAAACAAAAATTCTAAGATGCACCAGACTAAGAGGCCTGAAATTGGTTTTGCTTTGGTGTCCACAGAATGGTCCAAAGACATATGATAGCTTTGGGTCTGGAACCAAGCTCTCCACTGAAATAGGTAATGCTTCAGAGCCACATGCTCTCTTTGGGATACAAAATCAGTAACTAGTCCGTCCAACCCAATATGCAAGTGGGATCCCCACTAAGAATTTTTAACTGATTTGCATGCAATACTCCACCTCTCTACAATTCTCTCTCTTTGAAGAGCCCAAGTGCCATGGGCACCACCATTCTGAACATACTATAATAGTTTCTGCAGAAACTAGGCCCCATGACTAAAACAGTACCACTGAGATGTCTAATCAGAGTTGTTACTCTGCTGTACATGTGCATCATTAATCCCAAAGACGTAGCACCCATTGTGCCTAGTCTAGAATTAGAAAAAATAATAATAATTCATGAAAACCAAGCCAATACCTCCTATATTTAACCAATTGGACTGTTTGGGCTTACCTGTTTACTGCAGAATCTGTGCGAATAGTGGCAATAGGCGACCTCATATTTTTCAAGTCCCAGACTTTCACAGTACGGTCATCACTACCCGAAACAACATTGTCTCCCACAGTGAAGACAGCTGAAGTCACAGTGCTTAAAGGGAGGGGGGAAACATTAGAGCCATATTAGCATTAGAGCCATTATTACCTAAAACAGACATGCCATTTTTCACTTTTACAATACAACATTATTCTGGAGGGGGGGCATGGACAGAATCAAACTTTAAATCCAATGATTTTAAAACCCTAACAAGTGAATTACTACTGGAAGCACAAAGTTTGTTGCTAAAAACTGCAGGGCACCGAGATCAATCAACAGCATCCCTTATCAAACAAGAAATTTAATATTTTTAACATACAAGTACATGTTAAAATAAGGCAACTGATCTCTTCCACAAGAGATGAGACTTCGTAAGATATATAAAAATCACCCTTCAGTCATAAGGAAAAAGTGGATGTCATGTTTCTGTGTTATGCCTACTCTAGATCAAGATTTTTTTTTAAAATGCCATGTTTGAATTACTATTAGCAAAACAAGGATCAGAGGATAAAAATATGTAACCCCAGAAACCAGGAGCATGTTATCTATTACATCTGAAAGGACAAAGACCAAGGTTTTAAGGTATTGCTTTAATTCTAGTCTACAAAGCCTTGAGCTTGTTTCCACCTACACAGCACACTAACAAAGCCTTTCTTTCCCTCCCCTGGTTCATTACAGTGTGCTTCTTAGCTCAATTTCTATGGATCGCATTTAATGACCTATCCTGTATAGCTTGAGGGTCATGCACATCAATTGCTCAGATTTTAGTAATTTTAATTTAAGGTGTCAAGTTGCTCCTGTCACTTCTATTGTACTGTGAGAATTTGATTTCATGTCCTATTCAGCCTACTGATTGAGATTAGTATTACCCAAGTCACCATGGACTAGTATGTGCAGGCCCTCTTAATTTAAATTGACATCAAATTAAAGTCTAATTAGATCCAAACACCATTATGTCAGTGGTACGAAGTTTTTTAATGCTGTATCAGAGTGCCACAGGGTAATTATGTGGCAAGAACTAAAGGTCTTCACTTGAGCTTTCCGAGCCCAATACCCAATTACAGATGTCTATGCGCCTGACCTACTGTGGAGGCACAAGCAATTAAGAACAGCCACAGAATCTATGGAAGATCTCCACTTACCATACACATTCACAGCCAGGAGAACGTCTTCGTCTCCCAAACTATATGCATTACATACGGAAATAAGTCGCGCAAGCGGAGCATTTCACTGTTCCACAACGTATGACAATAGATTTGATTCTTTCATCATGCATTAAAATTATTCATCTAGTTAAGATTTAAAAGCTTGTATTTTCGAGAAACCATTCAAAGCTCTCTGCTTTTCAACTTCTGCTCAAGGACCTGAACACTTTTTCCCCCCACTTGTTTAAATTTGCATCTCAAACTGCATCCCAAAAGGTTACAGTATAGGTTGCATGTGTTGTTGTTGTTGTTGTTGTTGTTGTTGTTGTTGTTTGAAAATGACAGAAAAGACCAGAGATTAACTCTTTACTAGCTGTACCCTTATCTTATGAATGCTAGATAACCGAGAAGATCAAACACAGCTAGTATAAAGATTTTGCACAGAAGAAGTAGATTTTAAAACGTGTAAGATTGCATTATATCACAAGTCCATTTAATCCAGCACTTGCATGCTCCATCTGACAGGGGGTCTCTCCAGGGTCTCCGAAAGAAGCTTTCCCCATTTTTGCTCTCTGAGGCCCTGTTTATCCAGAGATGCCTTGTGTGTGCTAGAATTGATGACTGCCATATTTCAGTGATTTTCTCAAATGTCTTGTATGTATGTATGTATGTATGTATGTATGTTTATTCAATAAGATTTCTTACCTACCCTTCACCCTAAGGATCTTGGGTGGGTTACAACAATAGAATATGCAATTATAAAAATAACTAAAACCATTACAATTATAATGCACATCAAACCCCTTCCAAACGGAATGGAACAGAACAGCTGAATTGAATCTAATCAGATTTCTGTTCTGGTTAAATCCCCTCTATTTCCAATTTGTGCTTGCCACTCTCCACCCGCTATTTCCCTGAAATTCTCCATTGGGCAAATGTACAACAATCATTTGAACCTCTCAGCAGCTTTGGATATACCCTATGGTCATATCACTGAGTGAAGTGCTTAAGTGTCATTCAAATGCAAATTACACTCTGCTCTACCACTTATTCTCAACATCTGATCCCCGGGAGGCAGTAGAGATGGCAACCCAATGTCTGGCATTAGTTCAAAGTGGATTGGTGTGAACAAGAGGGAGATGCTGCTATTCAAGAGTGCTTAAAATCTGTAAGGGTTATGTGGCCTATTCTAGGTAAGGTTGCATTCGCCTTAAAGGTCTGGGTGGTTGGTTTGGGTCTCCTTGGTGCAATAATTTCCTCACATATTCAGGTGAAGAGGACTGCCTTTTGCCAACTGGTTTACAAGCCGTAACCATTTCTAGAGGAGACAGGCCTGGCCTCAGTTATCCATGCCTCAGTTATCGAAGCTAGATTACTGCAATACTATTGATGCGCAACTGCCTTTAAAAGATAGTCTGGAAACTTCATGTGATGCAAACCTCTTTACAGTAACATACTAAAACCTATTAGCAAATAGGGGGGCACATGGCTGGCTTTCATTTCAAAGTTGAGAGAATACAGTTACATTGATTTCAGATACCAGAGTAAAGTCTCAAGAATATTTATTCACCATAAATACCATGTCTTAAGCTAGGTGTGATATGTGTATGTTGATTTGGCTGTAAATGTGTGCGTCTACTGTACATTAAAGGGTCTCATTTTGAAAAGGAGGCTTTCAATAAGTATAACGGTCTGTTAATAATTATTACTAAAAGCTGAATAACCTTGAAGGATGTACACTTTGTATTTCTATGTAAAAGAAATACTTCCCAAAGCACTCCCAAATCTTCATGTATGAGCTTTCCTTTTATCCAAAAACTGAACACCAAGAAAATCTGTTTTCCTTGCAAGCACTTTGGAGTAAATATAGTCTTTAAGAATAATAAGAGTAATAAGCTGTAACAGGAAAATCAGTTTCTTATGGATCTTAAAGACTAACTCAATGCACTAATGCAATTTCTTTTAACTAGAGAGCTGGATTAGTTAAGTCATTAGAAAGATAATAACGCCACATGTGGTATCATGGAAGCTGATCTGTAACCAGCAAGAGTTGGCTGTTTTTAGTCTTACAGCTCTGGACATGTTGACACCTAGTGACTTAACTCCTAGGTGTCATGGGCTTTGAAGACACTTGAACTCTGGACGCAAGGGAGAAATGTGCTAAGATGAAGGCAAATCCACACCGTGATCAACTCCCACCAGGAAACCAATGTCCCCACTATGGAAGGACGTGTGGCTCCAGAATTGGCCTCCACAGTCACTTACGGAATCAATTGTTAAAACCGTGTTTATGGAAGACAATCTTACTCGGCTACGAGTAATCGCCAAAGAAGAAGAAGAAGAAGAAGAAGACGAAGAAGAAGAAGAAGAAGAAGAAGAAGTTCATTTTTAACCTCACTCACCTAATAAGAGTCCCCACTACCACTTCCCTGTTCACTTCACGCATCTAATGAAGTGGGCTCCTGCCTACAAAAGCTTATGAACCAATAGATTTGTTAGCCGTTAAGGTTCCAGCGGGTCCTCCACAAATGGCACCCCATGGCACAACAACACACTAGGAACCATCATTTCTTGTCCCAAACCTATTACAGCTTTCAGCTTGTTTAACAGGTAGCTTTCTTTGACATTGGACTACAAGATCACCATTCCTGCAACAAACAATACAGGAGCAAGGCCAACTTTTATACATATGGACAAAATTGGAGGCTTGACTCTAAAGTCAATGGAAAGCAGGGGGTTAAGTAAAGCACTTGATTTAATGTGTGGAGGCTTATTAACAAAACACATACTGCCCAAAGCTCAATCTTTGCCGAATCTGGAACATTTAAATACAGAACTGGGGGAACAGAGGGTAAATTAAGATTTCCCCCACTTTCTTCTCACTCAATGCTGGGTTCTCTAGCAACCATGGCCAACTTAAAACAGTGGTTAACATCCCCTCGGCTAAATTAATGAAAAATGTCAACAAAAGATCATTAAGACTCTGTGTTAATGGAACGCTAAAAGGCATTAGGCTTTTCATAACTCACGAGTGGGTGACAGGTATCTTTGGGCATAAAAAAAAAAGTTGGCAAAGAGACAGTAATCTTACGACACCCTTAAACTGTGGGTCCCCCACAGGGAACTTGGTGTGCTACTACCATTCTCTGGAAAAACTTCAGACTCTGCCAAGCCCCGGCAAAACTCATTTATCTTGTCGTAGAGAGCAGCCGAGCATACACTTCCAGCTGACAGAGTGGCACTTTTTCACCACACACCACTGCCTGATCTGGAACATTCTGCTCCCTCCGTGGGTCTCAATCAACGGAAATACTGTAATGCTAGCACTCCTCATTAGGACTAACAGCTGTCTCCCCAGTCACACAGAGACACAAAACTGTTTTGCATAACAATCTGCTGAAATTTCACACTCATGGGGGAAAAAAATATGATGCAGAAAATGCTGGACCATGAAATGCTGATGCGGTGTGCTGTTTGGAACCGCTTCAAAAAAATTAACACTGCAGTGCCCATTTCATTCACACAGCATGATATTTTAGAGAGGGTTGCCGGTGCATTGTGGGGGTGGGGGGTGGAGAGAGAACCAGATAAATCCATTACATTCTGGGAAGAGGTATGCCTGCTGCAAAATGCTAACGTGTCGAGGCAGAGATTGCAACTGGTTTAAATGGTAGTTCGTGAATAATTACCATTTCCCTAGCATGAAGTAATCCTTATTGATCAAATGGCAAACGTTAGCAAAGTTAGCCATTCAGAAACATAATGCTAATGGTGAAGAATACGTGCAGAAACATTTGGCTGGCGGGCGGGAGAAACATGAGGACAAACTCTGAGTGGGGGGAAGTCAGCCTGACCAAGTTGCCAACCATCAGAATATATACCCCCACCCCACCCCCAAATCATCGTTAAAATAAATGGGGGATTTTGAAAACAAGAAGCTCCTATGTAAGTTGGCTATATTCTGTTATCAAAGGACGCAGTAATGGTGAGGAATGCGCAGGGCTATGCCATCGCTGATGAAGCATTCTAGGCAGATTGGTAGATGTGGGCACATATGTCCTATATCTGACACAGCATATGTAGAGAACCAGTAACACGAGGCCTACTGTCACCTATTCCATGGAAGTGAAATCAGACTGGGTGGGAAGAGATGTGGACCACTGCCCTGGCCTCCCACTGCTCCAGATCCTTCTGTGGCCAGTTAGGTCAATACATGTGTACATGTGTCAAAGCACATCCAAAGCCTTGCTGTTGTTAAATGCATGGATACAGAGGAAGAAATGGGATTTAAATGTTGAATATCTACCTCCGCATAAATTTAAGCTAAAGGGTTTTCTTTCCAAGAATCTAAGAAATGCCAAGGTTCCCAAAGTCTCATTAGGATTTTACTTACAAGCTACTATACCATACAGACCAGGCAACTGATCAAGATAAACTGAAACATGTATGTGTCATTAAGGAAAAACACCATTCTTCCCTAACTACTCCTATCACAGAAAAGTCTTAAATATAGATTTTTCACCCCACAGATAAAGATGAGTAACTCACATTTTGTAGGGAGGTCACTGCTTTCAAACAATAATTCAGTCTTGAGTACACATGCACTTATGTATTAGAGTATTCAGTGAGACCAAGTGATTATACCCAAGATCGGGGCATCAATCTTGCATTTCTCTACAGTGTACAAGCTTAACGAATGTTAAAATGTTTGCAGAAGCTTATGTATGAATTTCCCTTTTCAAAGCAACTAAGCCTGCAATCATAACCACACTTAACTGGAAATAAGCCCCACTGAATTCAATAGGACTTACTTCTGATTAGAAATGTTTAGGATTGCAATGCAAGTTCTGATTCCAGTTTTGGTTCTTTCTTAGTAAACATGCATTAGTAAGATGTATTTTTAAAAAACAAAATCTCATCCTGGTATCCTTATTTTCTAGCAAGAATAAACACAGCTGAATTTTCTTAGCCTTAGTCACACTCTCCCTTGCAAACACCCTCTTATTATCCAGTGTTGAAAAACTTGCCATGTCAAGCCTTGTTTTATATTTTAATCCTGAAGTACTACATACACCAGTATCATGTGGAAGTTTCCAACCATCACTTTCTTACATCAAGTGTCACCAAGCCACAGAAGCAAACATTTTCTACCTGCACTTAATCCTTCATGCTGATCTTTCTTATCTAGAGAAAAAAAATATGTGTTTCTAAAACACACAAATTTAAGCTAAGGCACCCGAAAAATCCTACTGAAAAAAACCATGTAACTTAAATTTTCAAAAACTAAACCGCAAACTGCTTTGTTTTATAGTCTACATAGCTAAGCTTCCCATTCTTTATAGAAACTGTGTATGCCTGAAATGTTAAAGATAGTGTTTTTCAGGTTTAAAAACAGAATTAAGGCGCCATCTGCTGGAACACATCCAGATTATTCAACCCAGATTGGTTAACTAATTTTAAACCACAGCTGTAGAAGCATAGCTTGCATCTGTAAATCTGTAAATCAAAAGCTTAAAATTTTGCAGTTTCCCACTTGTCTGGGGCAGCAAACATGCCAGCCCTATCTTTCAGAACAAAGAAAACTGCACAATTTCACAGAAGAAACTGGATGAAAGCACCTAAGGGTCCCAAAGATCACTTTGGTGTTTTTTTTAATGTACCAAACATATTTTGTGTTAGCTGCTTTTTTTACAACAGAAAATATATATGCACACACATTAAAATGGAGTAAATAGGCACAGAATAATCAGACTGGATCCAAAGAACTGTGAGGAAGCAAAAGCTCCTCTGCAAATACTCAACACGAGGCTTCACATTGCAACATTGACACAGGCAAGTTCAGCTTCCACTTGTGCTAGATTCTTTGTCTTTAGTTTTACTTTTCTTTTTCTTTTTTTAAAGATATTTATTGAAATTTTCAAAATGTTACAAAAAATAAAAAAATAAAATAAAAACAGAAGTACAAAATAAAAATAGTTGACAAAGTAGAAAAGTAAAAAAAAAAAAACCCCTTCCCACCATATAAGTAAAAAATTCAAAATAAGAAAAAGTGACAGGGAAAAAAAATGAAAATACAAAAATACATCACAAACCTTTAAAAACATTTAAAAACAAATTCCTTATTTTCAGATCCTTAACTGTCATTGCCTTCTTTCTTAGACCTCCTCCTCCTCCCTTTCTTTGTATCCTAGTTATTAATTATCCCAGCAAATCCTTTCCATATTTCATAATATTCTGTCATTGCATTACCCTAATCTGTTTTGATCTTATCTTTCTACAATAAAATAAACCTTAAAGCTTAAAACTTAAATCTTATCCTTACCAACTTCTCATAACCATAATATTCTTTCATAATTCTTTAAACATCTTTGCTAAAGCCAAGTAATTTCATTCCAACATTTTTCTAACATTCATCAATTTTATAAAACAGTTCTAATGGTAAAGAAAAGAGATACAAACAAATCCAATCTTCATCCAACGTCCCTTCCTCCTGGTTCCGGGTTTTGTCAGTCCTTATTCCCGTCGATCTGGCCCATTAACCTGGCAACCTTATATCCGAGGCCCTCAAGTCTCTTCCATGTCCCTTCCGCGGCTCTTCTTCATATTTGTAACTGTATTTTCCCTTGTCTCCTGCTCGTGGTAACTCCAGCTTGACAATGTTTTTGACCCTTCTCGAGAAGTGAACCTTAAAGAGTTACCATAGTTTTCGCTCCATAACACACATTTTTTTCCTCCTAGAAAGTAAGGGGAAATGTCTGTGCGTGTTACAGAGCGAATGCTTCCCTCCTCCGTGGCTCGCTTTGAAACAGCAAAGCGGGAGAAGAGCCGCTGAGTGGGGAGGAGAGAGGGACAGAGAGCCTGCTTCTTTAAAGGAGCAAAGCAGGAGAGGAGCCGCTTACATGAGTGTAAGCGGCTCCTGTCCGATTGGCTCCTTTAAAGCAAGAGGCTCTCTGTCCCTCTCTCCTCCCCACTCAGCTTGCTAAATAGCACTAGCGGGGGGGGGGGGAGGGAGAGACGCAGAGCCTGCTTGCTTTAAAGGAGCAAAGCGGGAGAGGAGAGGAGCCTTCTCCCCTTAAACCCATCTTCTGCATTATTAGCAGCATCCTTCTCCACCCACCCCACGCGTGTTCCTTGTCCCTTGAGTGCTTTTCCTTCCCTCCCCACTTAAAACGTGGTTACAAAGCACAGATCCACATGGATCCTCAGGATTTTTGCACTGGATCACCCCAAATTCACCATCAGATCACATAGCATGTCCATGGCTACAGTTTGCACCAAAAAAATCATGCACCCACTGTTGCCTGGGGCCGCAGTGGTGCAAAAACGTGGTTACAAACATGGATCCACATGGATCCTCAGGATTTTTGCATTGGGCTGCCCCAAACTCACCGTCAGATCACATGTCTGTGGCCACAGCATGAACCACAAAAATCATACATCCACTGTTTCGTTTAGAATATTTTTTTTCTTGTTTTTCTCCTCTAAAAACTACGTGCGTTTTATGGTCAGGTGCGTGTTATAGAGCGAAAAATATGGTAACCTGGGTGGTTTCTGAAGACAGTACACACAGCGCACAATCCATTCCTCTCAAAGTCCCTCTCCTAAGCCATGTAGAATATCCTAGGCAGAAAGTTTAAAGCACTGACATTAATAGTGTTCACAGCACACAAAGCTAAAGTAGGCAACACAAGTAGACAGTTGTAAGAGAGGTGGAGAGCTTTGATAAATTTGAAAGTTAGGCACAAAGATACTTGTTAGCATAAAACTTCATTTCTACTAATGGAAGTATTCACAAAATTATAGAATTGTGGAGTTGGAAGGGACGCTGAGGGTCATCAAGTCCAACCTCCTGCAATGCAGGAATCCTATCAACCTCTTAACATACTAACACCTTTTTTACTGAGTATTCTCAATTATGTTTTACACAGAAATTCCCCTTAGAAGCCACAAAACTGGAAAACTATGTTTACAATGAAACGGAGCTTTAGAATCCTTGTCACAAGTTCAGGAAAATGCCCTAACCACTGTTGGTCTTCCGGGACCATATGCTGGTCTCAATCAACAACATTGTCTGTAGTGTACTAAATAATGGTTTGATGCCCACGATTCCCAGCTATCTGACAGCACAAAGGACATTTAATTGACACCAAGGATATGATCCTCCTTCCCAATACTCATGGTGACCCTTGCCAAAGTGTCAAACAGTAAACTGACTCCAGAGGGACCTTCCAAATAAGGGCCAATGCTATGTTTTGACTATCCCAAACTCCACTTTACAGATAACCACTGTACAACTAACTTGTGGGTTGCATGTTCAGCACTGATCAGTGGATGCCTCCCTCACTACAAGCAAAAATCCACATTGGCTAGATGATGTGGCTAACTAAAAAGAAAAAGAAATTATGTATATGGAGATCTGCAGTACTCCTTACTTATGGCTAGACCTGCTAGGAAACTCTAGCACATTTGTGGGATGCTAATAGACTGGTAATAGACAGAAAATTATGAGAGAAAGGGGTTGTTTTTAATGCGTTCACCTCTATTTCTTGGTGTCAAAAGTTGCCATTATGGAATTCAATTTGTCCGAAAGGTAATTACACAGCTAATTACAGTGCTAACAAAGCAGCTTTTTAATTTAAGCAGCACTAAAAACTACAGGTGGGGGGGGGGAGCCTAGCTTTTTCATCTAAAGCAGATGCCTAGAAATGTTGACACCTCTCATTCCTTAAACTATTTATTATTATTCAGTAAGCTTAAATGCCATTCTACAGCAAGGCTGACAGTTTACAGGAACATGCAATTATATATTACATACAAAATAAAAACAATTAACAGGGATATAGGACTCTAGCGCATAACCCAGTTCAGCTAAAAGCTTATTGAAACAAGGTGTCCACCTGTCACTTGAAGGTCATAAAGACAGAGGAGTTGGTGAAACTTCCTGGGAAGGTATGTTGGGCACCACCACCAAGAAGGCTCCTGCATGGCCAGGCACCACAGTTCAGATTGCAGAGAGAATTTATCCGGACAATCTTAAGATGTGGAGGGTGGGGTTATACAGGAGGAAGCTTCCTGCTGATAGGCATGATCTGTGGGATATTAGCATCCAAAATGCACATGAAATGGGTTAATTGCAAGAGCTGTCATACACTCTGGGGCAGTTATGGCAGTTGGTACAGTTATGGCACTTAGGAGAACAGTCTTAACAGTCAGAGCAACTTAAGAAACATCCACCTGCACTGTATATTTAATCTGCAACTGCAAGCACACTTTAAAAGAGAGTGTGGTTTTTATGGGAGAGAAAAAGAGAACTAGTTAAGGGGTCAAACAGCCCAGGGCTGTCTTCTGCATACTCTCCAAATGGAAACTAAGCTGTGTAGGGTCAAAAACAGCCCTTTGAATTGAGCCTAAAATCAAAAAGGTAATTACTGTAGATCTTTCAGCACCAGTTCTTTAATGCCGCCTGCACAAAGTAATATTCTTGCTACAACTTGTACAGTGCCTGTATAGAAGACCAGTGGGAGACCCAGGCAAGCTCATCTGAACTCTCTAAAGGAAAAGCAGGACATAAGATTAGTCAATTACTTGTGCTGACCTGTGGCATGCTGAGAGTCAGTGCGGGGATCCCACACTTCTAAGGTTTATGCTTCTGAATGTTACCTCCTTCATGGACTTTGAAGAACACTGCAGGGCATGTGATTCTACTGCCTTTACTTCTAGTCTTCCTGCCAACTGCACCATTGTAAGTGAGCCCTGGCAACTCACTTGACATTTAACCTCAATCCTTTGTTGCTACTACTGTGAATAATTATTGCAGGGCTTTTGCATGTCATGTGCTCTTTGTTTTGATAGTATCTTCCAGCTGAAATTTGAGCAGTTCCAACACTTTCCTCTTTTTTATATCTGGGGAGGATCATTATGATCTTCAAAAAAATGTTTTTAATATGCTTATGACTGCTTGCTACATGGTAACCTGAACCTAAGTCGCAGCACACACTGCAACATTAAGATTGCCACGCTATCCCTTGGAAATTGAGTAAGACTCATGTAGATCTGTCCCCGTTGCCTCTATCTGAGGGACTGCCAAAATCCAGGATAAGCACTCATCAGCAGATTATGGCAGCTGACCTAGGAAAACACCATTTGACCTTTAAAGGAGTCCAGAAATCCCTACTACAGCACAAATCTGGGGGGTATATTGAGCAGAATCCTATTTTGATGATTTATATACTGTATTTTGTTTTGTAAACTGCTGTGCAATCATTTTAAATGAAAAGCAGAATATAAATACTTCAAACAAAATCAAATACATATGAGCATCCCTAGTCTCTGCTAAACCTTCTGTTAAGTCCTCCTGCTATAACACTGGACAAGCCCTAGGACAGAAATTGAAAACCTATGGACCTCCAGATGTTGTTCATCTGCAACTGCCATCGTCCATGACCACAGGCCATGCTGGCTGAAACTATTAAGAGTCACAGTCCAACAACATCTGAAGAGCCATAGATTCCCAAGTTCTGCGCTAGAAGAACAGGGCTGCTCCAACATCCCCCAATGGGGATGGCCGCAGGTTCCTCACACCTGTCCTGGGGTGGCAGGACTTTTCCAGCAGCCTTCAAGGTGCAATGGGGGCTGCTGTTGGAAAACCAGCCCATTGTCCAATGGTGCTACCCTTTTCCATAATGCAGCATAGCTACAGTTTTTTAATGCAGCCTCTTGAAGTCTCATTCTCTGCAATAAGTAGATGGGTATCTTATCTTAATTCTCCTTGGCACTAACAAAGTTTTAATTGGGGTGGGAGAAAAGAGTTTTGATAAGAGAACATATCAAAATGATTACTGTTAAAACCTGAAGAGGTCTGAAAGTATTTGGTACAAGTTCATCCAGATAAACACTGCAAAGAACTGAACAAAGGAGGATAGTAACTCTCTCAGCACACCAGGTCTGGAACAAAAATATATACGAAGGACTACACACATGAACTGGATTTTATATTTATAAGACGTAACACAGGTGCTGTTTGTAAGGAGGAAAAAGCTGGAAGAATGGCTTAATGGCAAGTGAAGGATGACAACTGGATACTGTATAAGAAATGATACAGCTATGGGAAGAAATGATGGACATATGTTTGCAACAGGAGAGGGAAACCTGATTTTAAGAAACTGCATTAAAGTAATTTGATTCGATTTGAAATAATTTGGAAAAATAATAAAAATAATTCTAAAAAAGATAGTAAGTGTCTTGTACAAGTAGCCCAACGCAACCAGCCTCCCGCTTAAAAACTTTAAGAAACTGCTGTCACTTACTCTGTATGGCCCTGAAAGACATTCACAGAATGGATAGAAGGGTCTCTGAAATCCCACAGACGGAAAGTCGTGTCTCGTGAGGAGGTCACCACAAGACGTTGGGTGGGATGCGTGCAACAATGTGTAAGTTCTTGGTCGTGTCCTACAACCACAGATGAAAATATTAAGGCATTGAGAATGCATGACCTTTCAATTCCACAAACACTGAGGAGGAAAAACATCAGACACAATTCTTATGCTTTGGTGGCAAAAAGGTGGGTTAGAATTTTACTACCTACCCCAGATTCCTGGGCCATCATCGCTAACATAGATTAGACTCTTCCGTTTCATCTAAAGGAATGCATTTAAGAGCATATAGATCCAAGATTTTACCATTCCTCGGCAATACTGAATACAGTTTACTCTACAAAGATCTGCTAAGCACCAAAACAAAAACAGACAGCCTGACTCCTTGATTAACCATGCAGAGACAAGAAGGGCAAGGAAGGTACTCTGAATGGGGAAATACCACCTGGCCAACAACCCGCTAAACTATCTTGGTGTGCCTTTTTCAAAAGTGCAGGGTTCATGTTTGAGGCAGATGCACTAGAAAATTCTGCATCTAAAGTAGTGCCTGACTTGCCCACGTTGTTGAAAAGCTGTGACCAGAAATGTCAGACAAGTTAGTCTGCTCTTTGCATGTTGAGTTCTTTGTGGCTTAGACAAATTGTCGTCAAAGCTGATTTGCAGCAGCTGTTTACATTGACTGAATATAAAATTTAAGGCCTATGCTTAGAGCTGCAAAATCACAGGGCTGCAAGGAGCCACAAATCATCTAGTTCATCCCTCTACTTTAGGTACACACTGCAGTTTAATCTCCTACTAATTAACACACAACTGCCACATTATAGCTTGCCACTGGCGACAGAGCAGCTGCACACAAGTTATACCATGCCCAGTGCCTACAGACACAAAATAGTTTAGGAAAAACAATCTAGATGTCATTGCTCTATAGGGTGAGAGTGGTGAAAAACCCCCACCTAGGTAACTTGGTAATATGACCATATGTAGGAAAGAACCTCTTAATTAAAACTGAACCAAATTCCACAAAACTCTTCATTGGGCAGAAACTGGTCCAATAATCATAACCACATTACACGTTTCATTTCTTATGTCTAGTTAACTGAAGGCTTTGGTTGCACATCTGATGATAATCCATGATATATTAAGCTTCTGTGGCTAGTATAGCAGGTGGAAAATAGCTATAAGAGAAAGCTACATAAGCAGAATGGCCATCTTGGTCCATGTTTTGTGACAAAGATCTCATTTAAAAATTTTAACTGATAAACATTTTGTATGAATAAAGCAACAATCTGGCCACTTCTGCTTCACATATCTGTTATTAAAGGCAACTAAGCTGCCTGATCACAACAGAAAAGCAACCCCTTTGTAAACAGCTAGAAATATATTCTACTCCCCCTTGGGAGTCTGTTTTCAGATTGCACACTGACCCTTTGGGAGAAGAGGAACATGGAAGTTCAAAGAAGAAACGGGGCGACACAGAGTACAGAGGAATCTCACATTCATAATAATCAATGGGGGTTACTCTTCCTTGCCCGGAAGTTTGAATTTCTAAGTGCCACATTAACAGTGGCAGCCTAGAACCCACAATCAGCCTCTGAAACAAATGGACAAAAATGAAACTTCCACACAAAGAGGTACCTGTCAGAGAGTGCACCAGTTCAGATGTCTCCACATCATACAGGTTTGCTGTTCTATCCCATGAAGCTGTCACAGCTTGCTTCCCTCCAACTAGCCAATCAGCTGCTATGACTACACCTTGGTGGCTTTTTAGGAAAGTTAAAGGAGCCCGGATGGTGGGACAATCACTAGAACCATCTCCATCTCCTTCAGGTTCATCTTTATCAGAGAACTCAACTTCATCTTCTCCAGACATTTGCTGTTAATTTTGAAAATATTTAACATGTATTAAAACTGCCCAAGTTGAAAGTGGCTTCCATGATCCATAATACGGGATTAATCTATCACAAACACAAGGGTTTCTGCTATCAGGATTCCCACTGTGCAATATAATGCCCAAAGCAGGTAATCTGTGAGAGAGATAATGAGTCAGATTCCATGAGGCAAAGGATAGCTGAGCTGTTGAGAGTGTCCCTATTAGCATAGTCTCAACAACAAAAGAGGAGGAGATACTTGAAGAAGACATGGGATATAGGAAGTAAAGTTCAAAGATGAGTGATATTTAAAGGTAAAGGGACCCCTGACCATTAGGTCCAGTCGTGACCGATTCTGGGGTTGCGGTGCTCATCTCGCTTTATTGGCCGAGGGAGCCAGCATACAGCTTCCAGGTCATGTGGCCAGCATGACTAAGCCACTTCTGGCGAACCAGAGCAGCACATGGAAACACCGTTTACCTTCCCGCCGGAGCGGTACCTATTTATCTACTTGCACTTTGATGTGCTTTCGAACTGCTAGGTTGAGAGGGACCAAGCAACAGGAGTTCACCCCGTCGCGGGGATTCGAACTGCCCACCTTCTGATCTGCAAGTCCTAGGCTCTGTGGTTTAACCCACAGCGCCACCCGCGTCCCTGGAGTGATATTTACTCCCACGTAAATAAATGAAAATATTCTCTCTTTTCAGATTGTCAATTTGTTTGGGGCCTTTTGAGATAAATTTGCACAACAGCAGTAGGGTTTTTTAAAATGTCTTCTGAAGTAGGTATGAGGAAGCTGTGGCCCTCTTGGTGTTGTCAACATATTTTCCTTGAAGATATTATGCAAATCTTGATTAAACATTGTTTCCATACAGTCATGCCCTGCAGTAGTATAGTGATGGGCATGTCCACCTCTGTTGCATGAGAAACTGACTGCAAGCAACATAGATGGTGGATGAACTACAGAGTGGCTGTGAATGCTAAGGGAGCATTATCAACAGTGCCTGTTAGTAGGGCTAATGCCGAGTTTCTAATGGCAGAGATAACATGCCAGCTAGCTTCCACTGAAGCTATCATTAACAGCCACCTGAGCAGAGCTGCAGGGTGAGGCTGAAGGACTTTATGACACAGTCCACCTAGACGATGGTGCACCAAAAACATGTAACAGCAATGGAAAATGTAATCAGCAAAATGCTAAGTGGGGAAAAAATAATCACAAATTGTTTTAAAAGGTGCATATTCTCAAATAGATTAATATACTATTGCAAAGTTTTAAAATGCAGCATAAAACTTTTCTTCAATATCCAGCATCAAATTGGAGTTAAATCACTTACATTACAGTCTGCGGTAGGCTGAGGTGTGGGCAACTGCACCATGTACCTCCAGATATGAGCTGTCTGATCTCCTGAAGCTGCAGAGAAAGTTGAAAGAATATGGAAATATAGTAGATAATTCAGATGTCCACACTCCCGATCCTCTAAACTAGCCTTTCTCAACCTGTGGGTCCCCAGATGTTATTGAACTACAACTCCCATCACCCCTAGCTAGCAAGGCCAGAGCTCAGGGATGATGGGAGTTGTAGTCCAACAACATCTGGGGACCCACAGGTTGAGAACCGCTGCTCTAAACTATGGTACACAGGATTTGGAACAAGTTGTGAGTTAGAGTGCTTCCTGTCCCACCAGTCTCCTTTCCTTTTCTGCAGTCCTTGATGCAAAACCTCTTGGTTTCCTCAAACCATGGTTTACCCTAATGTATGAGCAGGCAAACAGTTTTAAGCAATCTCTCCAAACTGAAGTTTTAAATGATGGTTTGATCCTACTTTACAAAACTGGCTTGCTCAAACTATAATTTGCTGGTTTGCGCATCAAGGTCAAATGGTGTTTGAGGAACCCAGGTAAGAGGTGGGAGAAGGAAAGTTTGAACTTGTTCTCACTGCTTCAAACCAAAGAGGATCAGTGTTAAGGTCATTGCATTTTTACCATTTTGACTCAAATGCCTAAGTTACTTATGCATAAATAATACTTACTTTTGAACAAATACTGCTGCTGACCACTTAGTTAACATTCAGCCTAAATTAAATGTTTCATTATTTGGGGACTATACAATGTTCAATTAAGCAAAGAGAATGAAGCCAGCATGTTCAATTTACACACACACACACACACACACACACACACACACACTTTAACATCTAGTCATACATATAAATAATTTGCACTTATTGAGAGGATTTTTTGGTAAACCACTTGGAAGTTTTATTTACAGTTAAGAGGCTATACAAGTTTTATATAAACAAACAAATAAACATTCACCCCCTCCTCAGTATCAGCCTTTCTTGCTGCTGCATCCCAATGCAAGTTTTAATGTGCGTGCAAGTTCAGGAAAGCTTCCAACATCCCTTCCCTCCCTCCTTAATGGTATTGTAAACAATTTTATGTCGTCTATGTGGCCAAGAAATAATTGCATCACTCCTTAGGAGGTAGGGTACGGGATGACCTGTAAATGCCTATAATACACACAGATTACAGAATTTTCCTTTTTGACCCCAAAGTTAATTACCTTTAAGTCAACAGATAAAACTGCAAGCACCCCATCTCTCATACACAGGCTTATTTAAATAGAGCATGGCCAAAGAAAAGAGAAATAAAACCTTTTTAAGGTGAGTGAGTCAGGACAACAGAAGCTCTGGAGAAGATGCTCAGAAGTAGAGCACACATTTTTATTCCCAGGTACAATCTCAGACATCTCCAAGCAGGATGGGGGGAAATTTCTGTTTGTAACCCAGAGAGCCAACGATATTCCATGCAGAGTAGACAACAATGAGTTAGGTGAACTGATGAAGCGGAATGGAGGGGGGATTCGGGAAAGACAATACATCTTCACATGGCACAAAGCTAAACTGTGGGATTCGCTGCAATGAGACATGGTGACAGCCACCAAGTTAGATGGCTTTAAAGGGAATTAGACAAATTCATGGAGGACCAAGCCATCAATGGCTAATAGTCAAGATAGCTATATGCTACCTACAAAATCACAAGCACTGGAAAGGGCTATTGTCCTCATGCCTTGCTTGTGGGCTTCCCGGCACTTTGGGAACAATCTACTGGGTTAAATAGGCCTTTAGTGTTATCCAACAGGGCTGCTCTTAGGATGTGAATAGTCCGACTTGGTATAAGGCAGCTTCCTATACAGTACTAACCTGACAGAGGTAATCAGCAAACACACACATGAAGCAAGTGGTAAATTGACCATTCATTCCTAAGGGTATGGTGAATATTATTCTGTGAGCCCAAGATAATGACATACCTGTAAGAGCCACTTGTTCCGTCGGATGAAACTTGATGGAATTTACTGTTTTTAAGAAAAACAACACAATTATTATGACCAACCAATCCACAGGAAGTCCACACTGTACATGTAGCTAAACATAGGGGCAGGGGACACATCTGGACCTCCACTGTGCTTTAAGATCTGTTCAGTGGTTTGTGGGAGGGCTGGGATGTACTTTAACCTAGGAGTTAAAATATATGCTTGCAGTTTGATCAGTGTCTAGTATCATTGTGGGGTGAGGAATAACTTAAAGATAGAACTCCAGTGATTCTAGTGATATCCCATAAGCAAGAGGACTAATGGTGGGGAATGTTCTTGTAGAAAATTCCAGAGCAAAGATTTCCAGCAAGAAGAATGGTGCTTGTCGGATCCAATAAGAGTTATTCTACAAACTATGCAAACTGAGTTAGCACAATTCCAGATTTTTCTGCTTCACACTGCAAGGGAAGGAGAGGGGAAATGATTCCCCATGCAAAAATGCAAAAAAAAAAGAACTCCCCATATCCAATTTAGCTAGCACATCAATGGAAATAGACTGAGTGCACTAGCTCACTACAAGCAGTGACCTTTCTACATGGAGCATTCAGAAACCTGACATCTCCCACTTGCATTCTGAAGTGGTACTGTTCAGAATTCTACCATCTCAGTCTGTGTAATGGGTAAAATGAATCTGATCTTTGTGAGAATTTTAATAAGAGTTACACAACAATTATCAAGTTTGAAATCTGAAAGCACGTTTAGCAACCAAACATTTATATTGTTATTTCTTGCTTGCTCCATTGCATTTTATGGAAATGTTCAAATTATAACCACTGCGTTTCAAGTTTTTCCTTTGACTATTAATATGCTTCTCTTTGATTCAAACCATCTTAAGAAACTAGGTTGAATCCCACGGTGCACTTACGTTCATCAAAGGGACACCCTCACCAATGAAAGAGGAGGAAATGTTCCTCATCCTTCTCCCCAAAAATATCTCCTGGGGTGGGTTTGAGAAAGCCTACAGAATATGGTGAAAGGTGGCCAAAGGAATGCAATGGGGAAAGGGGAATTTGGCAGAAATTAGTGGAAGCCTCTGCCATACAAAACACTTTTCTGCAAGTTGAAGAACTCCTTCAGTTCGCACAAGCGAACAATTGGATTCAACCCTGTGGCTTTTGCATACTAAAACCATACATATATACATGCCACTGCAGGAAGAAATTATACATAAAGTTATTTTTCTGACATTCCTGTTCAACAGCAGGGATTTCATCTCACCTGATCCAGCATGCCCACCATATTTCACAAGGCACTTCCCTGTTTCTATGCTCCAAAGCAAAGCAGTGTGATCTGTCAGAATTAAAAAGGAAAAAGGAAAATGTAAGAAAAATGCTTTAATTTAGGCAATGGAGGCCCTGCAGAATTATAGTGACAGGTAACAAAGCATACGGCTACCAGTGAGACACGTGCTAGCAAAGTATGCCCCTGTATGTTGAGCTTGACAACAAAGGGAGTTGGAAGTTGTACATACAGTTATAAGTCAGAGAAAATGCATTTCAGGGGAGTCCTGTTCCTGTGGCTCTCAGTAGGAAGAAAACCTCTACAGTGAATGGAGGCAGTTTGTAGTTCAGGCTCGTTCACACACGCATGCCCATTGTTTGATTTCTCCTTGCCTCAATACTCACAGGAGAATGCCTATTGGTTGCACAGAAAAACACTGATTTTGAAGTGTCCTAACTTCCCTGTGCTGTTCTAGCTAAGATGGCTTATTCACACATGAAAAGCCCTACTCGGGGTTTCCAATTACACAGAAAGCTTACTCAAGTACCGCAGGATCCCTGCTGCAGACATTCATTCCCCAATGTCTGGGACACTAGAAGACTGCAAGTATGGTAAAGGGGGCATGTGGAAGAGGAAGGGGATGTTTCCCCCTGCTCATGGGGGCTAAGGGGCAGGGGAGAGAAAACAAGTGAGAAAGGCCTGAAACACCACCCAATTTTGCAGTCATCAAGCAATGAGCATGCATGTCTGAAGCAGCCTTAGTGAATTAGGAGGTGTTGGCGAGGAAGTTAGCTGTACAGTGGATGCTCAGGTTGCGAACGTGATCCATGCAGGAGGCACATTCGCAACCCGCAGCGCCACGTCTGCGTACGCGCGGGTTGCAATTCAGCGCTTCTGTGCCTGTGCAAAGTGCATGCGCGCCGAAACCCAGAAGTAAGCCGTTCTGGTACTTCCGGGTTTTGGCACGTCTGTAACCCGAAAACGCGCAAGCTGAAGCGTCTGTAACCCGAGGTATGACTGTACTTTCTTGACCAAGTGCAGGTCTCCAATTTCTCTGAATCATACCCTCCTGCTCTCTTTTGATGTCCAGCAGATGGTGCTAGCGTATCTCAGATTCCTCATTTACCTCTCTTTCAAAGATATATTGCCATTATATGCACATTTACGGCCCCTGGTTCATATAGCTGCCAGCATATTTCAAATTCTATGGGATTATCACTAGTCCCAATACATGAAGTGTCCTTAGCAGGATAATCTTTCAGCAATGGAAGCACAGATAAGTCTTAAAACGGATAACAGAAATTAGGTCATATTTCTAAAGTTTGGTTTTGGGGACAATAGTGGGTAGGCAAAGAAAAGGAGGTGAAAGACAAACCTGAAAGGGGAAAAATAAAGAAGAGAATGTAACAAGAGAAACCTGACACCTGCATAGCATCTGCATTTAGATGACCACTACCTCTTCCTAACTGTTCCCTCTTAAAACCTGAGGTACACTATTTTTGTGACATTTTGCTTAGCCTAATAAAGATACTGTCCCAAGGTATGACTTGAAGTCAGTTGAGACCACCACCTTGCTGAAGCTAAGCAGGTCTGAGTCTAGTTAGTGCCTGGATGGGAGACCTCCTGGGAACGACGCTGCTTGCTACCCTGGGTTGCATGATGGAAGAAAGGTGGGATGTCAGAATGTAAAATAAATACAGATTTTTAAAATGGGGCAAAGCAGGTACCTTTACTTTTTATGTAAATGTTCTCAGTAAAACCACACTTAAGAGAGATGAATAGCAAAACAAAAAAGTATAAATGCAACAAAAAAAACTGAGATCAAAACCATAATGGGGCTATATATAGGATTTGGTTAACACAAAAGTCAAATGCTAGTCTGAAAGCATGCCCTGATTTGGAACAGTGTTTCCCAAACTTGGGTCTCCAGCTGTTTTTGGACTACAACTCCCATCATTCCTAGATAGCAGGACCAGTGGTCAGGGATGCTGGGAATTGTAGTCCAAAAACAGCTGGAGGCCCAAGTTTGGGAAACACTGGTTTAGAGTAATGAGAGCGGTCTCTTTCAGTCTTGGGGGGGGGGGGACCAAAGCTAGGGTGGTGGTGAGAGTTTCTCCACATGTGTACAGTTTGGTTGGAGAAGATCTGGTCCCACCGACTAAAGAATCCAATAGGCAACCCTCTGTATCACAAACATGCAGTTTTGCATTTGATATAGGCAGGGCTAAGGGTCTAAATATGCGGCAGGATCTGAAGCCACCCATGGGTCATTAGTTGGCCATGTTTGGTTTAGTACGCTCTTTAAGATAGTACACCATCATAAACAGCAATGGAGACGAAAAATAAAGAGTATTACCAGCAGATGCTGTCCCCAGCACCAATGGCTGAGTTTTCGTGACACTGACATCCCAAATCCCATCCCGATGACCAATGTACTCTTTCACCAGCTGGCAAATGGCTCTAGACGTCGTAGTTTTGAAACTAGATACAATCTAAGGAGAGCAAGAGCAGATATGAGACAAGAAGAGATGTACAATTGTTTACTATCCAGCTCACAAATGCACAACATAAAAGCCATTAATACATTTAACTGTAGCACATTTTATGGATGCATAAGCTCTAGGATGTTCTCTCCTAAAAAATAATGGGACCAAATTTGTCCTGTGTCCAATCAGGACACTGTACTGTGTGCGCCAGAGCAGAATTTGGCCCAGTGTAAGCATTTTAGGAGGTCATAATGCAGCAAACTCTCAGATTTTCCTTTCATCTCTCCTGATAAACAGGTCGGTATAATCTGAGGAGCACTTAGCTTTTCTTCCGTCTATGTTTTATATATGCCATACAAGTCTGTTTCTTAAATTCAGCTGGCCAAAAATGGGTAAGGTGCGGGAGAAGGAAAGAGCTGTGTAAAGATCTAAAGCTAAGAGCCATTTGAAATGGCAAAATAAAGAGATAAATCAGCTGGTTTTAACAGTACACTGGAAATAACAATTAACCTGGTAGCACAGCCCAGTTCCTTTTGCTTGTTAATGAAACATTCTTTCCAAGAAACAAAACAAAAAGGGAGAATTGACAACACAAGGGAAAACTAGGGGGGCGGGGAGCAACTAATGTTTAAAGATGAATCCCTTTGTTTGCCTGTTCTGATTAAATGCCTTTTGGGGGGGAAATAGTGAAAAACCTTTTTGAATTTCAATTGCTACATTAAAAAACAGTGAAGAGGAAAAAAGGAAATAATAGTTCACCACCCCACCCACCGAACCTGTGGGCAGAGAATTTTTGGTACTATTTGTATCAAAGAAAGAGCTATGTGCTTAAACGCATAATTATGTGTCTTGATTTTGGTGAATGCTGGGAGTTCAGGTCAAAGGTAGAAGAAGCCACAGGAGACAGAAAGAAAAGTACAGAAATATGTATTGGACCAGAGGCCTAGGGACTTTGTCATACCCTTTTAAAAGGTTCCTAGCATGGCCTGCAGCTCCCCAACCACTTTTCACAGGAGTTGCTGAACCATAATTCAGGGTCAGGAAGCAATGCCCCCAAGATACAAAGGCTGGTCCACCAATGGCTGCTCCTGCATAGCACAGCATCAGACTCCCCTGGAGTTAATTTAAACCCACAGAGCAGGCTTCAAGAAGTGTGGTGTGTGTCAAATGTGCAGGTCTGGTTGTGTTTGCAGCTAAGGGGGAGAGGAATGGGTTAGGGAGAAGACCTGGACAAGGATGTGACTGACAGAATGGGAGGGAGTGGCAGCTGCTTTGACAAGCAAGAGGACTTTGGGAGGTCCTCAGTGACATACGGGGAAGGGAACTTATATGGAGCAGAGTTAGGGGTGAATGGGGTGCTGATGAAGGGGCTGTGGCAGAGGAGATGTGAAGGATAGCACGCTGGGGTTTGATGGCGAGGTGTACTTACAGATCCTACTTTTGCACCAATGCTCATTAAAACTAATGATTCTGCGAAAAGTTATAAGGGTGTTCAGTACTCCTGGCAGAAGATAAAAGCCTAAATGAAAATCCCATGATGCCGATTGAAGTCTCCGAGGTCTAAAAAGGTTGGTTTATGTTACAATAATACTTCTAATATTCCCCACCAACAAACTACACCTGCTGCAAAGCAGGGATAGGAAGCAGTGCTGATGGCTTGGTTTTCCAAAATAAGTAGCAATATCTACTCAAGATGTCAGATTTCGGGAGGAAACATACCCAGTGCTTTAAACTGGAAAGTATTTCATAGGACTTGTGTTTCCTGACCTCTCACCATCCTGATCTTCCTTCCCTGGGCAGTGCCCTCCTTAAAATGTTGCTCCCAGAACTGGATACAGCCTGAGCAGTGCAGGATTTAGCTGGGAGAAGGAGCACAATCGACAGGCAAGAGTGGGCACTTGCTTCCAATGGAAAGTAGGTAGGCAGGCTGACTGCACTGTCAGACCACTGAGAGAAGTGGAGAGGGAAGCTAAGAAGGGAAGCACCTCACCTGGTGCAGCCTACCTCCTTTTCTCATTCACACATGTGGACACAACACCTGCACAGCGGCTTCTAGCAACAGTGCAGCAAAGAGCATCATATACATAGCTTCAACTATATGCTGTATAGGCTCCCCTATGAATTATTTAACCTGCTTGGATGTGTTCATATTATTAGACTGGTTTTTGTGCGGGTTGTTTGATCTAGTTCTGTTTTATTGGGGGGGAGTTTATCTGAACCATTCTGGGATCTTCTATATTTAAAAGAAGCCTCCACGGTTGTGCTAAACCATGGTTTAGCTTAGCATTACATGAAAACTAGGTCAATGTTTTTAGGTGCATTTCTAAGAGCTGTTTTCAAACAGAAAGAAAACATGACAAGCAAGTGTTTCAAAACATGTGAGTTATTCCAGTATACTTGGAAAGTTGGACTCCTTGCTGAGGATATAATATATTCAAAGAGGTGAGCTCCCTTCTGAGCATAGGTTTGTTTATTGCTACACTCAGGTATTTTCCCCAACAGGAAATTTGCAGTGCAGCCAGTTCTATCCATGTCTAAGCCAGAGTTCAATGGAACCTACCATCAGGTAAGTATATATACTATATATTATGTATATATGCCTTCTGAACTATTTCAGATTATTAAAATCATTAAGAGAATTAAAATGCATGATGGGAGGCTACTATATTAAACTTTTTAATTAAAAAAAAATAAGAACCCCAGAAGCAGTCTTAAAATTACAAGTAGTTATATAAAGTATTTGGTAATCAGAGTCTAGTTAAGCCAAAATCCTGGATGCAACATGTACCATCTTGTAAGCAAACCAGGGGGGGGGTCAATTATTTCCAATTCTGTTATTACAAATAAGGCCCAGGTTTGTTCAGTGATTAAAAAACAAAAGAAAAAGATGTTCTAACCATATACTAAATTAAATTCAGGGGGGAAAGAAAACAGGAAGGACTAGAAGAAGATTGCAATGCTATGGGTAGTGAAAGTATTCCATTTTTTTCCTCTTTATTAATCTTTATAATGATGAAATGAGACCTAGATGGAATCATAATTAAGTGGTTAATGAGCAGAATTGTTTCAAAGCAAGTAGAAGCAATAATTACTATGGATGCATTGAAAAGGAAACAGGTTAATTCTTGCAGAACTAGGTAAAGATTAGTACTTGAACCATAGTGTGGAATTAATCATAAAATTTTCAAGGCAGTATTAAAATGCAGTTGTCAGACTTAATAAATGTCTTCAAACAAAATGGAGTTACGCATGAGAAGTGGAACAGTAGAATTACAGCAACAGGACTCCGATACCTCTCAACTGTTAAATAAGAAGTGGGGAAGAGTCCAACTAGGCTCTTGCACCCACCTCACCTCACAGAAGGAAATGAATTATGGGAAGATTTCTTAAGTTATTTAAACTTCTGAGGAAACTAAATATTCTAACGCTTTTGAATTCTAAGAAGCAAAAGGACTCAAGCATACATATAACCTCACAGCGTGTTATTTTTTTTGGGGGGGGACATTTACATTATTTCTTCCTGCCTTTTCGGCTGCTTTATTTCAGTTGGGAGAGTCCTCCTGCCCTACTCTACAGAATTCTACAAATCTGTTACGGATATGGAAGGTATGCTAAGCTAGAAAGGCAATTTATTTTCAAATGTGATCCATTAAAATGAAGTACAACCAAAAGAAAGAAACAAAAACCTGGTACAGTATTGGGATGACTGCAGATCCTCATATAATGAGTAGGGTCTATCTCCAATTGATACTCCTTGTCTGAGGATCCTGCCCTTTGCTTTCCTGCAAACCTACCCTGCTACTCAGTAGCACGTGCCACCAGCAGTTGTTCTAACGGCTGCTAGCCTCAGTAAGAGCATGTATTCCCATTTGTTTCCATGTCTGTTATGCATGGCAATCACGTTCCAAGCATAGATGTCCGTTTCCTTCTCCCAGACCACCCAGCGTATTGATTAGCAATCATTTCTCACTACTTATGCTGCTGTATGCCCCACCCAGGTGTCAGTGGAGCAGGACATATCGCTCCCAAGCACTGCAGAACTGGCCCAAGGCCACAGCACATGTGAGCACCTTCTATGAAGTGCTAGTTAGTCAGTTGCTAGGCAGGCTTCCAGTTTAGTAGCATGGGATGTACTATAGCTGCCTGCCAGTTAGTAATGGGCTTGGTTCTCATGCAGACAGATGGGACAAGAGAGGGAATGGTTGAGCCATCCCGATTATGGCAGAGGTGGCATCTATAGCGGTGGGAGCAAAATAAAATAATGAATCATGTGGAATATTAGGTGAAGAGCAGTTCTAGTTGCGGCTCTTATGGGATCTTCAGTAGCAATCAGCAGTGCTTGCGAAGGGGGAACCAACTCATCCTAGTCCCACTGCTGCCATAAGCGTCTTTGGCTGGCATACCTTTCCCCTGTTATCCCCATCGTGGCAACGAGCCGAGAATGTGATTTAAATCTTCCTGCCCATCACTGTACTGTGGATTAATATATCTCCCTTTCCACTGCATTATGGGGTCTGTAACTGCCTGAACAGGTATCGGTTGAAGCATCTACTTTTTACTTCAGCCCCATCTGCTTTAGGCAAGCAGCTCCCAGAGTGTTTGCTTGCAGGGCTATGCAGCCCTTGAGCAGAAAAAAATAAAATAAAATCCCCCGCCCCCATGTTTTGCAGACTGTATTTGAGATTAAGGTCCCTTTTGCCAGCACTGGTGAGATTGCTTCTAGAGAAAAGTTCTGCATCACTGACAGGATAGAAACCCCATGAACTGTTGAGATAATGCCTAGAACAGAAACAATCTAATGCAGATTCTACCACCTGGCATGTTAGGGCAAGAAGAATCTATTATGATGTGAGTGTTACCTAGAAACAAGTTTCACTCAATGTCCAGCTTATGTAATTAAGGCATGGCTTATTAAGCCAGAAAATGCCTAAACCTTATATACGCACATGCAGCCCCTTGGCTTCTTCCTTCACACCAGCAGGGAAGGAAACCAGAACACTGCAAGTTCCCATTACGTGCAAGCTGGGAACTATGGCTTGTGGCTTCCAAACAAGCCAGGATGCAAAAGTCAACACTGAACTAGTTAACTGCACTTTCTTGGGCTTTTCTACCCCCCACTCAAATGATGCAGGAGCAGAAGGGGTGCTTGCAAATGAACTAAGCTGCTGCATGTCCTGGCTTATGAAGTGAGGACTCGATTACACAATTGTAGTCAATGCATTTTCTGTGTTGCTATCACACAAAAAAGAGTAGGGTACACATTTGCTTAAATAAACTTCCCAGTCATTAAAAGACAAAATCTTCTTAAAGGAATGTCCAAGGAAAAGACTATATCTTTTATAATTTTCCATTCGTTAATGTTATTCTCGCTGCTTAATACATTGCATATGAGCTATTGTGAGGTTTTGAACTTTGCTTGATTTTAGTTCCAGCTGCAGCAGTCCTGAATTAGTCCTTTACTAAGTAGCCCAAGATTTTCTGCAGCATCTTCATAAGAAAATAAACACCAGTCTTTTTGCTACTTGTTCTCTGCAATACGGCATATGCTGAATCCTAGGTACACTTGATAAGCTCCCCACCTACCCACTGGCTTCAAAACCCCTAAAAACCAAGAAAAGCAGTGTGGAGAATTATACCAAATTTATTCAGTTTAATAAAGAAAGTAATGTCCTAGTTTGTTTTAACTGGGATGAACTCATCAGTCTGTATTAATCCAGACTGGTGCTAACACCTTCATCAAATGTAGCAAAGGAATGTGATGAGGGGAAAGCTGCTTTTGGTTTTCAGATTCTGACCTCATCAATTAGTATCCAAAAGCAAAAGCAAGAAATTGTTAAGGATGGGTGGCACAAGGTCCTCCAAGAGGGCACAGTTGACAGATATGATATCCATAGAAGAAAACTGGTTAAGATGGCATTCTGCATGTTCCACCGCTCACTACTGTTTAGCTGGGCATGCATACTAGCACACTGGGAAGCAAAGCAGTTACCCAGGAGTCTCCACCCCATATTTCCCAGCTTCCCACGTTGAAGTTGCGAGGTCCACCTGATTTGCCTGGGAAAGAATTTGAACGCTACATAGCAAGTAAGAAGAGATAAGTATTCAGCACTTTCTTTAAAAGAAAAACAATTTATAACACACACACACTTAATAGTAAATGTCTTTATTTTAATGACTATTTAAGAAAGTGAACTGCTGTTCGTATTTAATAGATTAATAATACATTGATGCAAAATGGAGGAGATATTTACATCCCACAACATTCATACTGACATTGCGAACTATGTAGAAAGACAAATAAAAACGAAAATTAAACTGAAAATGAACACTAAACACAATTCATTATCAAATTTAAGCATCTCGGCATTTTCTCATAGGTTTGCACATTCAAATTACATCTGATCGATTACCAACTTTTTAATCTATTGACTGTATTTGCCTAATAAGCGGGCATTAAAAAGTGCAATCAAAAGTAAGCTAAAAAAAAACTACCCTGAAATATTCTGTACTGAAGAGTGTTCCACACACTTTCTTCAGCTCTTTCCTGACCCAGTCCAAATTGGGGTGTAGGGCCTACAAATTTGAAATCAAAGTCCTTTTCTAATTCCCAGTATGGTCACCTCTCTAAGTAGCGATAGTTTGGGCAACATTCAGCATAGACTCAGCAGTGGAGATGGGAGTATAAGCTACAAGCCCTGATGGATTGCAACAGGTTTCTGAGTTTCCTAGAAAGAAGAAAGGCTGACCAACTCCAAACTGTGTTTATGCAGAAAAAAACACATGAGGTAGGAAAGTGGTCTTGACCTTAGTTGTTCCGGAAACCAGCCAGAAAGCAAAATAAGTAAATAGGGGCAGTTAGCAAACCCAATGTAATTTAATGATCAACACTGGGTAAGTGTGATGTGTCTGATCCTATATTTGACACTGCCACCATAGGAATTTATAATATTTATTTAGCTCTGTTCACAACAGACACCAAAAGTTTACATTTGAACCTAAAAAGCAATATATTTTGAAAGCCCTGTGGAAGATAACAGCATGAAAGGTTTGTATGTGACTTTCTGAGTAATACTTCCATGAGGCAAGAACACACTATTGATCGAAGTATTGATCAGGTCACTGGTAACTGCAATCAGAAGATGCATCCAGTTCATCTCATTTTGAACGAGGCCACAACAAAAATGATGTCCATGAATTAGTAAAATTCATGGGGGAAATGGATGTAACATCTATTTAAATTAACAACATTTTATTCCTACAGAATTCCTCACAATCAAAATGCTATTAGTTTCTATCTTCTATTAACAGGTTTTTTTTAAACCCTGTCACAGCTCTCCCTTGCTGCAAACCTTTCCTTTCCTTTACGATGCATTCATTACATTATTTTGAAGCAACAATTCAGAGGAGTGCAAAACAGACGCCAACGATTTTGCTAGCCTTCACTAAGCATATATAAAAATAGAAAGTACTTAACAGAAAACTGCCAAATTTAGGCTAGCAAGTAAATACTGCAGGGAAATAAAAGGTTCAGTGTGTTTCATACCTTGCTAGTAGATGCCTTGTAAGTAGTCTTTAATTTCTGAGACAGCTGACTGGTACTATGACTGGCTGTTAAGACAAATAATTTTAAAGGGAGTGAGTTTTTAAAGGCTGTTTCATAATTTTATTTGAACATTTGTGATAACATCCGTCCAACAAATCACCAACTTCAGTTATGAAAAGCCAACTAAGAGAGGTGTACTTGTCCACCTTCTTCTTACCTTTTGTTTTCAGCTGTCCCTTGCTCAGTTCAGCTCCATCAATGGTTTGGCCTTCAGCTGCTAAGCGTTCATTAAGTGTATCAATCTCTCTACGTACTAGCAGTAGCATAAAAATCAATGTTAATGAAGATAATAGGCATTCAATCACAACTTTTAAATTATCACACATTCCCTATTTCCGAGGTCTCAACTGTGCAGCCTAGTAGTCTCCAGTTTCCATCTACCAAAAGGGCTTTTTGCATCTGCGGTTTATCTGTATACCACAAGTAGTAAGCATAATCTTAAACCAGCAGCCATCAGATTCAGACATAATTTCACAGCAGGCTTTGCCATGAGTAAGTTGCTTCAAAACTACAGTTCCAATGGGAATAACTCTGATGCAAAAGAGCCATTAATAAATGCAAATAAAAATTCAGGAAGGAAAGACCGCTATCTCTCTTCCACAATCACCAAGTCACCGCTTGCCAAAGAGCTTGTTCCTGCATGTAATTCCACTCCAGATTGGAAGACAATGAACCCGGCATTAGAGCTTAACATATTTTTGCCAAGTTTAAAAAGAGAGAGCATCCAGTCTAGATATCTGGCACAGCAATCTTGAATCAACAAACACAAGTAATGATACTAATGGAGAATTATAATTCTTCACAAATTCCAAGAACCCATGGAAGTTAGCCCCCCACACTGGCTCTGTCCTCAACATCCCCTCCAGACATCAAGAACTCCATCACAAAAAGAAGGGGGGAGTTGAAAAGGAGAGCCTATGTACATTCAGCCAAGAACATGTAAATTTCCCCTTTCAGGATTTGTGTTCAATGTGCAAAGGTCTGGAGATGAACTCAAGGATGGAGGTGGGGGTAAAGCAGGCAGTTCTGCTGCCTCCCCTCCCACATATTCTGTAGAGGGCTTATACGGCAAACATATTATTCCTTGCTATGCATAGTTACATTTTTATGCTGCCTTATGATCAAACTGCTGTGGCTTAAAAATACTGAAGCATAGCTGTTACTTAGTTAAATAAAGAATTAAACAGGAAGCCATATCAGACATCCAAATGCTCTGTTTCTAATATATATATATATATATATATATATATATATATGTACACACACACACACACACACACACACACACACCCGTGCATACTGAACATGACAGACTGTATGGATCAAGTTAAGAGGAATTGGACAATGCAAGTGCTAGGACCTCAAACACGTGTGATACGTGGATATGTAACTTGGGAAATGTAAGCGTCCATTCAGAGTTGTTACTAAGCTGTTAATTCACAATCATGTATGGGGGCAGGGGACCAGAATAATTAGCTGAAATATAATGCATCTGGTATATTTTCCATGCCCTTTATTTCAACTTTTCAAATATTTTTCCAATACATTATATAAAGATCAACTCACATTCAAGATTTTCAATGTAGAGGTTTTCAAACTCTCTTTCTATTTGGCCAAAAAGTTCCAGGAGTGTATTTCTTACAGATGATGGCAGTTTAGAATCCTTGAAAGAATAAAAATATTAAAAATTATTGGAGTGCTTTATATTGCTTTAGTGCATTTTTGACACAATGCCAATTCTGTAATTTTACTCCAAAATCTATCCTGAAATAATTTTTCCATTATACCAAAGAAGAGTTCAAATGTAAATCATACTTCGATCTCCACTGTCATGTTGATTTTTTTTGGGGGGGGGACTATTAGTGAGTCACAGAACACTCTGCTAGATGAAGTGAGCGCTATTTTGCCAATTCTTTCAGTTTCCCCAGCTCCCCACCCCAAAAACTACTGTGAAGGGTCGAGGGACTCTCAAGAACAATTGACCATGATTCAGTCATAAACCAAGCAGCATGGAATGGTGGGTGCCTCAATAATGACGACACCATAAACAACTGTCTGAGCCAAGGTACAGCCTTGATTCCATGTTCAGCAGTGAAGACCAATGATGCGGCTTTGAGCGTATACACACCTTGTTTCACCTGAACATTCATAAAAGGATGATAAGTTGAGGATAAATGAGGTGAAGGACTGAATGCTTAGGCATTCCCAAGTTTTAAACTCGGAGTTATAGGCTTTTACATTTCATCATTCCTCACAGTATGGAAACCCCCCATGCTGCCTTGGCAAGTTTTGTTTTGTTTTTGAAAAAAATATCTTTTGTTTTTTGGAATTATATGGAATTAGTCTTGCTGCTCAATAGATTGTTATCAAGCTATTGTAACTTGCCTTAATAGGATTAAGTAGAGAATTTAAACAAACAAATATAAACAAACAAATACACACAAACTCCAGCCAAATTTACCTGGCCTTCCAACATCTCTCTCTGCAATCCTGACCGCTCCTGTTCAGAACTGTTTGTTCTTCGTATAGAAAGACTGTGAGATTTGCGTTTCTGCTTGGCTTGGCGAGCAGTGGCACAACTTCCACTTTCTGTGGGCATTACTTCAAAAAAATAACTTCCCAGAAGTTCCTAAGATAAACTAAAATCAAGTGTTAAGTATTAGAATTTGCCTTATATAATGAGTTAGTCTTAGAAGAAATAATTGTAATGGAAAAATTTAAGCCTGCAAAATTCTTAAATCATTTTTAGGGAAGGGATATTTTGTTTTTGTCTGAGGAAAAAGAGCTGCTTTTAGTTAAGATTATTTAATTCTGATTCTATTTAAAAAATAATGCTGCAGATATATGAAAGCAGGAGAATTGCGACCACATTCTCTGCCATTAATTGTTAGCTAAAAAGCCACTGTATAAATAAAAAAAATCATCCTCTAGGCTAGAGGCCTACGAAGTGCCTTCGAAATGCAAACCCAGTGAGAATTCCAAAATGCTTCCAGCAAACAATCAAACACCTACTGGACTTCAATGAAATGCATGCAAAGTCATAAACCCAGCTGTAAGTAAAGGAAGACGATGTTTGAAGGGTGGTGTCAGGTAATATTTAGTAGAATATTTGGTAAAATTTTGCAACAGTTTACTAACTTGTTCTGAACTTGTTCTTTCATAAAACGCCTTACGCAAAGATTGTGCTATAATCAAATTAAATTCTTTAAAAAGTTAATTCATTTAACATTCAATGCTATGAAGAATATTAAAACAGATTTGCAAATGTATCTTTTTTTAACATTTTGCTCTATTTGAAAATCACTACTATGCATTTCAAAAGTCATCTGAACTGTGTTTAAATTACCTGACAGTACACTTCAACCATACTTGCCCATGCATGAACCATACTGCTCCCATAAGAATATCAAGTTGTGCTTCATTTAGGGAACAGTGTCCAAGAAACTCCACTGTATCCAAATCTTTTGACAATTGATATGAATCTATTAAGAAAGAAACGTTTTCCAATTCCTCCCCTCCTCAAATTCCATTTTAACAAGAGCTGAAGCATTTTATCAATTAAAAACCTTTCAGTTAAGAAGATGGCCACTGTTCATCTGACAGCAGAATTTGTTCTAGTACAAGGACTTACATAACAATGGGAGGCAGACAACACTTTAACAGAGGTATTCCTCCTCTCCCCCATGGGAAAGAATGCCTCTTCTAAAATGGTGTCTATTCATGTGTCAATAATCTAAAGACAAATAATACTGTTCAGAATTATAATTCTATTTGTATACAATTTTAAACAATTATAGCTCATAGTTAATCAATTAAATTTTCTTTAACTGGTGCCAGCTCTAATCTTAACATGTGAGTTTTTAGCTTCAATAACAGAACAATGGCTAATTGTTACTTTGAATCCAAGGTTAAAAGACTATCAACTCAGAAGGCAACATTCATTTCCCCCACCCGAAAAAGAATTCCGAAACAGTAATGACAGTCCAGGAACTTGCAGAACAAAGAAGAAAGCCATAAAGTTAAGCAAAGAAGTTTGAGCAGCATTTAAAACAACTGTGTGGAAATCCCTGATGTAGGGAGGTTTGACAATACACGAACTCTCAAATTAGGAATGAGAACTGTTATATACATCTAACAACTAGAAGACTGTTGGGGTTTGAAAAATCTAGGTTATGAAATCTACAGCCAAAAAAAATGCATGTTTTGCAAACTGCAAGGCAATGTAGTGTAAATAATACTTGAAATTAACACAGAAAAATACTACGTGACTCTGTTTAATTAGACTTACTAATTAAGGCTGAGGATACTGTATGTTTTGGTACATGGATATGAGAAAGGAGCATTCGTCTGAAACAGCCTTTCCTACAAGCTAAGCACCCTTTTCACATGTACTTTTCTTGTGATTAGCAACCAACAGAAATGGTATCAGCGGTTTGGAAGATGTGTCCAAAAGGTCAACCTGTGAGTGATAATTTCCCTCCACTAGTCATTATTAAAATTCTTAAGCTCAAAGCAGACCCAAGGGGACTTAGATTTTCCTCATCTTTGTGCTAGCTCTGGCTAAAATATCTACTACACTCATAGAACAGCTGAACTTAAATAATGTATTTTAATCTGATGGTGCAATTTAACCTTCCCTTTTAATCATGGTCAAAACGTTCTGCAAAATGAACACTTTATTTAAGCCATTTTTCACAGCATCAAGAAAACAAGCGGCTGTTTAGATACAGGCCCTTTTTTATCATTTCCAACAAGAAAGGAAGAGCCACAATTCAAGTGATACAAATCAAATTTGGAGAGTAGGAAGAAATCATTTTAATATTTATTCATATTTATTCTAAATCATGCACCTACATCTACAAGGTGCTAAACAAAACACAGGTTAAAGTCAGGCCCTTGCCCAATGCGGTTTCCAGTGCAATTTAGACAAAACTAAAAACCTTCAAAAACTGGAAGAGAAGGACAAACATAATAAAGCACCGTCAAAAGCTTTGAGGGGGGGGAATACAATTTTAGAACTAGAGAAGTTATTTGCTCATAAAATGTTAACAGCTTAGTCAGTTGGACATCATCATTCTGCATTTCATTATACTAATGATCCTTTGCACATCTTCATGCACCAGAATGACTGCAAAATTCATGCATTATTCAGGAAAAAGACATGCTTAAATGCAAGCCCTCCTCCAGATCTTGCAAGAAGTTATACCTAAAGCTGAGGAGGCAGCAAGCAAACACACACACACACACACGCACAGAAGACGGGAAAAGGGAGAAATTAACAAGCAGGATTCAAAGGCCCACTGACACGTGATATTTCTCCTACACCATCCACTGTTGTGTGCAATAAACATGTACACCACTGTATGTGACAACAGAGTATATTTATCATTATTAACAGACACATCAGGAAGCCAGCGTAGGAAAAAATTTATGTGCTGCAGCTCCAAGTGTACTTTAAGGCTGCAATCCAATGCTAACATACATGAAAGTAATCCCCAATGAACTCAATGGGGCTTACTTCCAAGAAGATATATATAGCATTGTACTGTAAAACTATCCAAAAGACCGAACAGCCTTTAGCTTTTAAAGAGAGATTACTGAACCTTAAAAGGGGGGGGGAATATTATCCTTTAAGCTTTGGTAGCAAATCACTTAAGTTGGAAAGGTGATTTATGTCAAGATCAATTGCCCTTTCACCACAAAAATCTTACAAATTTAATGTAAGAAATGGAATTAACTGAACAAGTCCTTAGCAAAACAGTATGATACATGGAGATACACAGCACAATCCTATACATGTTTACACAGAAGTAAATCTCATTGAGTTCAATGGGATGTACTCCCAGATAAATGAGTATAGGATTGCAGCCACAAGAGGGGATCATTGCTGGCAGTTACCTGGATTCACCCTATTAAATTAGGTTTTCAAAATAATGGAAATTACCTGTCCAGTATATCAGTGTCATGTTAAATATCCTATGAAAACCATATTAAATATTGATTAGTGAAACAATACAAAAATTAGTCAAAAAGACTTTCACATTTTAAGTCAATTATTGCTGAAGCATGCAAAACTACCACCTATACTTTAATCTTCCTGCTATCATGCATGTTAAGGGCCACAATGAGAACATTAGTGAGAAATGAAAAAATCCACAGTTCAGATGTTGCAGTTTACCTTCAGTATGAGCTGACAGGTACACTTACTGCACCATCATAATCCTACTTCTTGAAAGCATATTTCATTTCTTTCAATGAGATTTAATATCAGTGGAATTGTTTTAGAGTAAAGCCTTATTCAGGTGTTCAGCCTCCCATGAGGGATGAGTGGTGCCCTGCTATGCCCCCTCCCCAATGCTATCCACACATTAGGGGCATGGCAGCAGCAGGACAGCTTTCCAAATGCACACTGGCTAGCCCCATAATGAGCATTCAGGGTTGCGGCTCATGGAGACAAGCAACACACATTTGGCAAGTTGTCCCACTGCAGACATGCCCCCAATGTATGGATAGTACTATGGAGGAAATAGTACCTGCATGCAAAGACAGGCTCTAGTAAATTGAGTGGACAAGACCAATAGTGGGTCTGATGGTCAAGAAGGCAGCTTCTGCACAAGCTCTAGATAAAGGAAAGTGAGGGGTTGGTAGAGCTCGTCAGCCAAGGAAGGTAGCCCATCTAGGAGAAGCAAAACTCTGATCCCAAACCCCTGCTGCCTTGGGAGATATCTTTGGTAGAAGAAAATGCTAAGGAGCAAATCCTGCCCACATCTGGAGTGCAGTTCCTAAAGCAGTTGGGTGGCATCTTGTATGCTTCCTTCCCACAACTCCTGCAGCCAAGCTGGTGCCGAACGTATTGCTCGACTTTCCTTTGGATCACATCAGCAAGGGCCAGGGGGTCTTGCCATCTGGGAAGTCCAAGACCTCCATACTCACTGCCCAGGCTTCTTCCCCAGGGAGGTCAATTTGCTGCTGCTAATGCAGCAGTTTGACTTCACCCCTGAAGATGCACTCCATAGTCTCTCGACAGATGGGTGCGAACCAGAGAAGGGCCATAGCAGAGCACAGGGACACACACAATGTGGATGTACCCAGCCCCACCTCACTTGATTACAGACCTGTGAGGATAAATACACAAGTACGGATGTAGTTGTAATCCAAGTATGCACATTCACTTGCAGGTAAGCATAGCGTGAACTGGATACATGGGATCTCTCAGCACACCACTAGCTAGGCCATACTGATCAAAATACAGTGTCAAAAGAACATAATCAGATGATTCAAGACAACAAGTAAATGTTAACTATAATAATACATTGTAAACAGACAGGAATCTATACAAACATCCCTGCGCGCCTAAGTGAAAATCACAAAAGGGGGAACACCCTCTAAACACGCGTTTTTTCCTGCTCTCCGCCTCTCTTCAATCCAGACCGAAATATCTACAGTTGAAGCTCTGGGGCTGGTTGGAAGATGTGCGCTTCAGCTGTTAGGTGTGGAGGCTGAGCAGCCTAAACAAAGCCTTGCTGTGCCTCTGGTCTTTTGGGGGCTTTCTGTGCCCTCAATGACATCCTCTTCTGGCTCCAGGGAGGGTCTCCTTACAAGCCCTGAGGACTTTCCCCCATTTCCTGATATGTATGTATGTATTTCCCAGTGCCACGCAGATATGCAGTCCCACACAAGTCAACTGTGCATTAAGTGGCGTGACACCTATATTTGGAGTTTCTCAATTTCTGTTGGGAGTACTCTCGAATTCATAGGCCAAAAGCTGCAATTGTAGCCTTCCCATGGCAACATATGAAACTATCAGGTCACCTAACATAGGCCTGGTTTCTGTAAACTGTGGATGAACTTGATTGTGTTTTTTAATGTCCCCTTCATGTGTTGCAACTGTTTTGCATGAGGAAGTCAGATAAAGGTTTGACTACACATTTGAACTATATTCATTTGAACTGGTGTTGCACAAATGGTATTTTCAAAGCTATTTGCTAACATAATGAGGCAGCAACTGATGAGTCCAACTGAAAACGGCATTATGGCAAAGGTAACATCACACTTGAGTATATAAGAACTAGTTTGCTAAGTTGCAAACAATGCTCCCTTAAATGCCCCAAGCAAAAAATTTTGCAACAGTGATAAATCAGGTCCACAGCAGAAAAATGACTTGCCTTAAGTTATTCACATCCTAACAAATCATCCCATAGAAGGTAGGAGAGATATAAAATATTCTACAATGGCAAAGAGACAACTACAGTTTTTTAATACTACTATTCCAGTATCCGAATTATCCTTTACTGTGCATGTTTTATACCTTTAAATAAAACACACAACATCTATTTTTTATTGAGTGTATCAGATTATTTCTGATTATTTATTTCTGGAAGATAAAATGTAAAACAAATTATCATTTAACTGTCAAAGATGAAACAAGAATAGCAAGCATAAAAGATCAAGAAACTATGTTACAAGGTCCCCCCAATAAGTCACCTACTTTAGCAATAGTTGGTATTCCTAATACGCTTACTTGTCCGATCTTAAGTAATCAAGACGAGTTGTGTAATGAAAGAAAAAAATCCCTCAGGCATTCATGTTTCTGAAAGCCAAGAGACAATATCTCTTTCAGGAAATATCAGAATGCGGAAAGAATTACTAAAGCAGTGTGCTTCCTTTTTTGTCCATTTAAAATTGCTTACGTTTGAGGGAGGGAGAGTGGTAGAGCGAGTATAAATGCAAAAGCAAGCTCCCCACCCCTTTCTGCTCTATTCTCCAACATAGAGTTTGATTTGGCATTCAAATTTTAAACAGGCATTATTATTAATAAATGAATACTTTCCTGGGAATGAAGAAGTGCAATTTAAAAGGAAGTGAAGCACTTGAAAGAAGTGTTTCCCTTAAACTTCTTTTTAACAAACAGACACAGAAGTTAACAGTTAAGATTTTCAGAGGGCTAGGCATGTTAATCTGTTGCGGAAGGAACAATAAAGAGTTCTGTTGTGCCTTAAAGACTACAACATTTATTGCAACATAAACAATTAATTAAGATTGTAGAATAAAATTAAACCTTGTTTAGCGGAGCAGGGATTTTCAAGCTGTGTTATAAGGAAACTAAGAATTTTTCAAAGATTCGTTGCATTTCCCACATACACAAAAATAGTAATGGTAGTCAACCTTTCCTAAATGATGGCTTGCTCACAACCAGTGTTAGATAACCAGTGTTATATAAGCTAATCACCAAATGGCACCCTAAACCTAGGTTTCGGGTGCCAAAACTGTCTAGTCACTTTTTTATGTGGTGGGGTTTATTATTATTATTCATTTCTATACCCCTTTAAACAAAATCTCAAAGCGGATTACAACATATTAAAAAAATCAAATGAAACAATCCAGAATAAAACAGCAACGAGACATTTCCACAAATTGGCTGGCTGGCTGGTGTGCAGCAGCTTCTTTTGGTGCTTGGTCGCACAACAGAAAATGTTGCTGCGTACTAGCCATATGATGAAGATGTCAGTCACCAAAAATGTTTTGAACTAGAACTCCCATTATCCCTGACCATTGGCCATATTGGCTGGGGATGATGAGAGTTGCAACCCAAAACATCTGGAGGGCACCATGTTGACTGGCATTGTTCTAGACCACCACTTTAGCTAGGGGTGGAGAAGCACTCCATGTGAATTCAGAGAACAATCATGAAAATTCCCTGGAATTCTCTATAAAATTCAGATAGTTATCAGCAAGACAAGTAAACAAATCTGCAATATTATGACAATTCTGACCACCAAAACCAGCAGCCATGATTCAGGGAAGCAGACAGTTCTGTTTATCCAGAAGATCTCTTCACTTTTCCTGGTGTCAGTGTCCCAGAGGACAATTCTTCAGTCTTTATATAAGATTTGCCAAACCAGTTTGCATTAGGAACAGGAGTGGAAGGGAAGTATTAAAATAGAAGGATCATAACAAAGAATATTAAGCCAGGAATGGACCCAATGGACCCCAGTTAACTGAGGAAAGCCAGCAGATACAGGAAGGGAAGAAAACAAGCAACAGGAAACCCAGTTCTATTATGTTCTGGTAAAACACCGCTGAGACACTGAGGCAGGAAGGAAACAGATTGAAACAGGATGCCATGTGGAAAGACTGGTACATGCATATCACCTGACTCGAGCACTGAAGTTCTCAAACAGCGGCTACAGGAAAAATGAGCCTCGTCTAAATTTGGCAATATGCATCTACCTATACCCAGCCACTAGCAAATGGTGGCCCAAAGAGTTTGACTGTGATGACCTGACAGCAGAGTTCTTCTCACACACTATCCACAATGCAGTCTGCTTTTTCATTCAGGAGTTCTGTGGCACAGCATGGGAAGCAGATGATTGGGTGGATAGGCCTGTTAGATGGGCTAAGGACAACAGGCATATATGAAACAGTCCTCTGGCCTAACAGCTAAAATGTCCAACCAAATTACATGATTCTTTTCAGCCAGTAATTTCCTGCAGTGGATTTTCACTTGCTGTTGAAATAACCTAATCGCTGAGTTCTTTCATAGCTTCCAAAGCTCTGCTAATTTGCATGAGCAAAACCAGCAATTTCCTTAGGTCACATCATTGTTCACTTTCCTTATCATAAACACACCTGGCTGAAGTGCGTGCTTTAAAGCCATATCTAATCTCCATTTACTTTGCATAAACCCAGATATTTATCTGCACATTTCATTATTCCATTAACAATATTATCTCATTCTGTTACACGTCTCTCTTAATTCCGAGCTTGCCCAGTGTTGTTAAAAAGCCCTGACCAAATACGAAATTTCTTCACATATTGCTGGAATCCAATGATTTTTATAACAGCAGAGATGTGGTCTTGCTTTCCTCAAAATTAATAAAGCTTTATTCTTGCCTATTCACAGTATACTCGCAAAGTTTCTGCTTATTTTAATATTGATTTTGTAAAATAATAATAATGTTCATAAAATATAAATATGAGTAGGAAAATATGACAATTTGATTTGAACTTGAAGTCTACAAGCACTTGGAAAACACTCAGTCGTTTTCCTGATTAACAGCTAAATAGGAGGAAAGCACCTCCATCACTGGCTGATAAATACATTTTTTAATTCATCATTTTGGGAATTTGGTGGCTATTCAAACAGTACCAACAATTAATCCAAAATGATATTAACCATGGTCACATCATATAGCATATATGTTGAGTACAATAACATAAAGTACATGTTGCTAATTAAAAAATGAGCAAGAATGGTTGTGAAGATTCCACATAGTTCAGAATATAAGAAAAATTCAAAGCCTACTTTGAGGTATTTTTCCAATCAAGCCATGTATAAATTTTATAAAATAAATAAAATAATGAAACTGAACAAAACTGTCAAATCTAGCAATTCCACTGTCATTTTTGCAACCTGGGGGATGTGCCACAACTTGCCATTCTAACCTAGTAATGCTGAAACTATCTGAGCTTTTTTATCACATACACAGTAATACAATCTTATCTCAGCCATCCAGTCAGGAATGAGATTGTTCATGTCATACATGCACTGCCCAAGATATCCTCTGCTGCACTACTTTTAAAAATAAATTTCACCTTCCCCTTTTTCTCCTTGATGACAAATAGCATAAGGTAAAGAAAATTAGAATTCAACTAACCAGTGACAAAAGGGTTTTGAAAATTATTATTTTGCCACTTTAATGCAAATGTGGGAGGATTATGTGTCAAGGGATATTGGAAATAGTTATTTCTTCCATAATCAAAGCTTGAGAATTGATAGCAACATGGGAAGCTGCCTGGTAACAAGTAAGACCAACCAAGCACTCATCTCTCTCATTATTGCCAAAACGGACCTGCAGGAAGTCTTCAGTGATTCAGAAAGGAATCTTCAAAGTCCTACTTGGACATGATGGGAACCTTTTGCAGACAATGAATGTGCTTTACCTATTGAGTTGGAATGCCTCTCCCAAATTTCTATGTCAATATGTGATTTTTTTTATGCTACAGTATTTTTAATTTTGTTGTGATATATATTTTTATTTGGAAGTCATGTCACGTTTGATTTTATCACAGAATAGGAGGATATAAATGCCCAAATAAACAATCACCACTGTACACAGAAACATAACCTGGAAACATTACAGCAGCACAGTAACCTGGGCATTCAAAATTTCTTGCTACTTCATTAGAAACAGAATTTCAGTGTGAGATTCTATCAACAGTCCATCAAGATCAGCATTATTTTAAAATGGGTAGCCAGAGGCTACAGGGTGATTTATATGAATGGCAGAATGGCAATACCTATGTCTCATTAGTCCTCACAATCTGACAACCTACTGCCTGCATCACTTTTAAAGTGGGTTGCTTATTTCTGCATGTAGCATTAGTACCTTAAGAATCCGTGATGCAGATGAAAGGCATGCTAATATTCTATGTATAGGAACAAGTAGTCAAGTTTAAACATTATGTTAAACATAATGCAAACATTAAACATCATGGGCAACACCCACATGGGTATGAAGTTTTTATACACTAAATGTTACTTCTTCTTGGGCCTAATATCTGGAACATACCATCTTTCAACACGATGAGTAGTAGCAACTAACAGATTGATCCTGCATCAATTTATCAATTCTTTTCAGCCATGGGGAGATTGTGGCCTTCATGAAACCTTAAGAAAATAAATTCCAAAGGATGTGACATTCCATAGGTTTTGTGTTATATTAAATGTTTTCTTTAGCTTAGTTATCACAGACAATACTTATCCCCAGTCTATACATTTCAGCAAGAGACACCAAGAAACTTTATGTCTCTTAGGGACAGCTATTTTTCTCCTTAAGATCATCTCATTTCTAAACCTAAAGGAGATGCATCCTAAAAACATTTATATATAGCCTGCAGGTTTATCAGAGAGGCTCTCTTTTGTTTTGGTTCAGGCAAACAGCATTAATCACTTGTTCAAGGGAAACAAATGCAAGTGAAGGCTTCTCTGCCATGAAATCATTAACCACATCACTGTTACAGAAAAGGTCTAACCAAACTAGGTGGCCTCAAGTAACTACTCTGTTTGAGCTCCCACTGCATAATAAGTGAATAATATTAATTTACCTTAATTGGACAACATAAAGATTACTGAGAATTTATTTGAAGTGGTCTGAATACTTAAAATGATATGTAAGCGATTACTACTGTTGGAAATACATATATGTGCTATGTGAATGCTTATTTTCATTAATAATACAGAGTTACAACAGATGCAACACTGTTTCAACTCACTTGGTATGAAACTCAAACACCACAAGCCCTGTAGAATGCAGCCTAAGCTATTTCCAAAACTACAGAAAAAGCGCTATTATTTTATTACAGAGAATGTGTTTGGGGATGTGAAGTTCACTGAAACACTACAGGCTCTCTGAATCTAATTGGCAGCCTTCCACACACTAATTGCCCTGATTACCTCATTTGTTCAAGAAACATACACCTTGGAGCAAGGGTACCGGTGAACACCTCAGCATTCAAACAGCAGGATTCACTTTCAGGCTATTCAGAACAACCACCACTTAACTTAAGATAGTTAATGTGACCTTCTCTCTGTGTGTGTGTGTGTGTGAAATGTTCTCCCTTTTGAATGAGTACTGTAAATCCTCATTTATTTATCCTGGGCTTTCCCTGACCATTAGTACCAGCCGCAGATGTCCTTGGTTCTGGCTGCTCCGAACTTTTTAATCTGATAATGTTAGCTTGACTGGATTCCTGTACTGTGAACGGTTTACAGCATAACGCCGTTCCTGTTACGGTAATGATAAAGCAGCACAATTGTTATTGTTTTAAGTAAAATAAAGCAAAATTCGGCTGCAGGCAGCCCCCTTACTCCACCCCCCCCCCAGCGCCTCTTTCTTCAAATACCCCATTCCTGTAAACCTGTCTATTTTATCAAACTTGATTTCTGCCCAGGCACGCACACACAACTGAAAAACAAAAAAAAAGGTTGAAAATGAGCACAGACATGTAACGGAAACACAAAGAGGCATGCTGTTTACATGGTGTCCATCAACTCCCCACCCCACCCCCCACGTTGCGGGATATCCCTCAGCAGTTCTCCTAACCTTCACACACACACACGAGGCATAGCGCACCTATTGGCACTTCACCCCAACCTTAATACAGATCTTGTCCCCCTCCCCCAAATATACACAGACACGCTCCAGTTCCCTGTGGAGGAGAAGCAGGTGGGATTCCTTGGCTTCCCCTCCCCCCGGGGGGCTGACGTTTCCCCCTCAGGGATAGGAAGATGGCGGGGGGGGGGAAGGGAGAGAGGCGCGGGCTAAAGGCCCCCCCGAGCTCGGCTCACCTCTGAAATCCAGCTGGGAGGCGGAGGGGGCGGCTCCCGAGCCCGGAGAGGGAGGGAGGGAAGGAAGGCGGGGAGAAGAACAAGCCAAGCCGAGGAGAGAGGGGGGAACAGAGTGGGGGGGAGGCAGCTCCGGTTAGGAGGAGAAAGAGGAGGAGGAGAAAAGAAAATGAAAAGAGGAGGAAGAGGAGGAGGAGGAGGAAAAGGTCGCCGGTGCAGCTGGTCTCCCTCTCCGGCACGGAATGCGCCAAAACCGCTAGCTCCACCAGAGAAGCTCGAGCCCACTTCCGGTTCCCGCCGGAAGCCCCTCGGCCGCCAGCCAGGCGGCTTAGCCACCACAGAGAGAGAACGAGAGAGAGGCGCGCCGAGGAAGGGGAGGGGGGGAGCCGTGTTGGAGTCGGCGCGTGTCACGTGACTCCGCCACCGGCCACCACCCCCCCCCGCGGGTTCTGCGCTGCTGCAGCCGAGCGAGGTCGCGAGGCGCTTCCTTCCCGCCCCGGGGGCGTTTTAAGCCGCCTCTGGGATGGCGGCGAGGGGGATTCGATTTGCTGGGCGGCTGTACATATCTGTCTATAAATTTGTCCATAAATGTCGCTGCCATTATTATTGAGTTCCACTGGGTTCTAACATTTGGTAAAAGGTAAAGGGACCCCTGACCATTAGAATCATAGAATCATAGAATCATAGAGCTGGAAGAGACCACAAGGGCCATCGAGTCCAACCCCCTGCCAAGCAGGAAACACCATCAGAGCACTCCTGACATATGGTTGTCAAGCCTCTGCTTAAAGACCTCCAAAGAAGGAGACTCCACCACACTCCTTGGCAGCAAATTCCACTGTCGAACAGCTCTTACTGTCAGGAAGTTCTTCCTAATGTTTAGGTGGAATCTTCTTTCTTGTAGTTTGGATCCATTGCTCCGTGTCCGCTTCTCTGGAGCAGCAGAAAACAACCTTTCTCCCTCCTCTATGTGACATCCTTTTATATATTTGAACATGGCTATCATATCACCCCTTAACCTCCTCTTCTCCAGGCTAAACATGCCCAGCTCCCTTAGCCGTTCCTCATAAGGCATCGTTTCCAGGCCTTTGACCATTTTGGTTGCCCTCGTGACCAACTCTTAGGTCCAGTCGTGACCAACTCTGGGGTTGCCACGCTCATCTCACTTTATTGGCCAAGGGAGCCGGCGTACAGCTTCCAGGTCATGTGGCCAGCATAACTAAGCCGCTTCTGGCAAACTAGAGCAGCGCACAGAAACGCTGTTTACCTTCCCACCAGAGTGGTACCTATTGATCTACTTGCACTTTGGCGTGCTTTCAAACTGCTAGGTTGGCAGGAGCAGGGACCGAGCAACGGGAGCTCACTCCTTTGCAGGGATTCAAACCGCCGACCTTCTGATCGGCAAGTCCTAGGCTCTGTGGTTTAACCCACAGCGCCACCTGATACTTAAAACGGCAGCTTTCCAGGGCTGCAGGAGCATCGCATGTATGCTCTGCCTTTGCCTTTTGACGTACGTGCGGAGCTTAGGACATTTTAGGTACTTTGGGTGTTGGATAGTAATGAGTTTTTGTTGGTACCCAGGGCTTGCTTTCAGAGAGAACTCGCTGGAACCCAGTTCTGGCACCTCTCAGTTGGGTGCCCTTGCCATTATAAGAGAACAAGGGAGGCGATCATAGGGAGTTCCGGGACCTTTCCCGAGAAAAATAGCATCTGTAATCCCCACAACAGCCTCGCAAACCAAACCAAACAACAGGTGTTGTTTCACCTGTGGTAGATGATGGGGCTCAGAGAGGAACATGGGAAATGCTTAATGCTGAGCCATTTGTCCATCCAGGTCAGTACTGAGTATTCACATTGGCAGTCTGCAATGGATTCCCACACAGTGAGATGCTGTCAGCCTTCAGATCACGTTTGCAGACATCTTTGTAATGCACAGTTGATCTGTCAACGGGCTTAGTGCCTGAGATCCGCTCTGGATGCCTTCATTTGCCCTAGCTGCAACAAAACATCTACCGTATCTCCAGTGTCAGTCTCCACAGCCACAGCAGGCGCTGTAACACCAACGGTTTGACTTCATGCACTCCTCCATTGTTTCCCGAGACAGAAAGATGCCAACAACAATATTATTATTTATTAACTTTGCTGGTCACTTTATCTTGCCCAGGACAACCCAAAGAAAGAGACAGATTTGTAGCTCAAAATACCAGCTCCCAAAGAGGGCTTTGTTTTTTTCAGGGTTGCTATTTTTTTGTTCCTGATATGGTATGGCTATCGGATGTACCTAGATTTTTGTATCAGCCACTATTACTGACCTGTGATACTTGTATTCAGAAATCCACAGATAAACATCATGGGGCGAGAACAGACTTCTTGTCCATCACCCAGTGTGTCTGCTTTGACTGGCAGTAGTTTCCCAAGGTCTTGGACTATAAGGTTTTTCACGTCATTATTTCTGATTATTCCTAAGTGAAGATGCCATGGATGCACCTAGGACCTTCTGCATATAAAGTGTGCTCTCCCACTGAGCTGTGGTCATTCTCCACAGTGAACCCTAGTTTACAAGGAAGAGCATAACAAGGAACCTGTTGAATCAGATCAATTCAGTCTAATCCAGTCAACATCCTATCAGAAGCCCTCAAATATGAAACAAGGACAATAATCAGCAGCAATGGTGCTGTCTCCAATGCTGGGCACCGGACTGCAATATTATTCCCAAAGGTGTGTTCAAGTGTTTGCCTGAATGCAGCAAATACAAAGTATGGACAGCAGAATGCAAAGCCCCACCACCAACATCCTCATGTGCATGGTCCCTTGCCTCAAGTCTCCCCAGGTTGCATGAGGAAGGTGTAGGAGGCCTTCTACTTACATTTCCTTTATACAAGTAATTGGTGGCCTTGATAAAGCAGGGTTTCTGATCATGTGGAAGATGCACAAACAAAATGTAAGAAGCCTCCTGCAGATCTTCCCAGCACTACATGGTGAAAGCTAAGGACTGAAGGAGGCTTCTGTACATGCCACACAAACACACTGGATCCCCACCCACACTTTTAAGCCTTTGCATGTTCAGAGGAATGCCTGAACACACCTATGCCATGCATTATAAACCCTATGATTGGGCTGCAAAGCTTATCTATGCTTCTTGGAAAAATCAGTGAGCTCACTTTGGAGTTCTCCAGAATTATATCCAGTTAGAAATTGGACCACTGAGTGGAAATTGTACAGCTTGGGCTCTTCCGCAGTTCATCATGAAAAGCTGAGCAATTTTTGTTACAAAGCCATACAAGGGCAAAATGGCAGATACCCGGAGTGAGCCTGTTGGCATGTTTATGTCTTTTTCTTTACTATGAAAGCAAAGCTTGCCTATTTTTTATTAGTGTTACTTTTATATTCCATATTTCACTCAGGCAGCTCAGTGTACCATATATGCTTCCCCCTCTCCCCATTTTATCCTGACATTTATGACTGAAAGTGACTGATCCGGACTTCCGGGGTGGCGCCATCGGTAATGGCGGACTCCCTCTGATCCGGAGGGACTGGCTCCACGGAAAACGGGTCTTTCCCACTACGGCGAAGCGGGGACCCTTTGAAAAATCACAGGCGGATGAAGCCTGTGACCATGGGACTCGGCGGGCACCTTTCATGCCCCCCCAACTCGTAAAGGAACCCAGTTACGGGCTCTGGAGCGAAGAGGGGCAAGTGGCGCGGTGCTGAGAGTCAACTGCTTCTTCCGTGGAGCGAAGCCGCATAGCCGTTGCCGGAGAGCGCTGCCTTTTTCCTGGGACAATTTGGCTTTTAAAACAATTACCCATGAGTAGCTCAATTTCGAACAATTGGACTTTAAATAATGACCTGCGAGTAGAAAGGAAAATTGGACTAAGAAATTCTTCTCAATTTGGCACTGAAACGGGAAGGTCTAAACAGGAAGTCAGCCTTCCGTTTCTTGTAGATAGATTAAAGCAAAGACATGGCAAACTAGAGTTCAGAAAATCGTTTGTAAAGGATTAACTTTCATCATTTAAAATTGTTGAACCCCCTTCGGAAGCAGGAGAAGAGGGGGGATTTTTTCCGGACTGGTTAAACCTGCAGAAGAGAGTGTAAAGAAAAGTAATTTTCCACCGTCTCGGACCTGGGAGCGGGGTGTCAGGACTGACGTTCTTTGGGAAGTTCATTGACCATAGACAAACGTCTTTGACAGATAGTTAAAAGAAGAGAAACATAGTGATTCCATCGTTCTCCTTCGCATTTTAAAGGAACAAATATTGACAAAATATCTGAAAAAGGAAACTTTGTTGCTAGATCTACTTTTAAAAGAAAAGATCAAATAGAAGTTCTTCCCCTAGAGGGAGCCTGTGAAACTGTTACTAAATCTAAATCGGGGAGCTCTGCAGCTGCAACAGATTACGATCGTGGGAACAGACTTCTGACCTTCTATAACAATGTATTCAGAAGCTCTGGCGCGTGCTTTCTGCAAAACAAGTGCCCTATTGGAACAGTTACATGAGAAGACGGACTTGATGACTGTTGCGATCAGAAATTTTGGACAGGTAGTGGGTAACTATACAGAACCCACCCAGGAATCAAATCAGGAGTGTGCTCTGACAGATCAGATAAGAGAAGAGGATGTTGCTGGACCTTGGGTGCCAGAGATGGAGGGAGCTGTGGCCCAGCAGGAACATGAGTTGTTGGATTTGACAAATGAACTTGGAAAAAGCCAGGCTTGGAGAGATAGAGTTTTGTTTGGTTTGGAAATGGGGGGTTGGATAGACCCCCCTATGCAGGGATGTTTTGACTTTCCAAGTCTGGCAATGGGCCGTGAGATGTTTGGGGTTGTGGGGGCTCTTAATTCTGGAGGGATTTTGAAACATGTTTTTAAATACCACATGGAGTTTAGTGTGGACTATGGAAAAGGGGCTGATTTGTCGAGCAGGGTTAAAAACACTGTCAAGCTGGAGTTTCCACGAGTGAAAGGAGCAGGAGACAAAGTAAAGTACAGGTATAAATATGAAGAAGAGCTGCGGAAGGGACATGGAAGAGACTTAGGGGCCTCGGACATAAGATTACCAGGTTAATGAGCTAGATTGATGGGATAGAAAGGACTGACAAAACCCGGGACCAGGAGGAAGAGACGCTGGATGAAGATTGGAAGAAAGTTTTTTTAAAAAAAATTTTATTAGGATTGTTTTATAAAATTGATGAATGTTAGAAAAATGTTGGAACGAAATTATTTGGCTTTAGCAAAAATGTTAAAAGAATTATGTAAGAATATGTTATGGTTATGAGAAACTGGTATAAATAAGATCTAAGTTTTAAGTTTTAGGGTCTTTTATAGTAAGATAAGGTTAAAATAGATTAAGGTAATTTAATGACAGAATATTATGAAAAATGGAAAGGATTTGCTGTGATAATTAACAACTAGGATACAAAAAAGGGAGGAGTGAGGAGGTCGATGAAATAAGGCAATGACAGTTAAGGATTTTGGAATACTGGATTTGTTTTTAAATTTTTGTGCTTTATTTTTGCTTTTTGATTGTCTTGTGTTACGTGTTTTGTTGTTACTTTTTGATTTTGATTTTTATCAATTTGTATTGCCTGATTGTGGTTTGTTTTTCTTTTGTTTTTTCTCTTTCTTTCTTTTTGTTTTTCTTGTAATTTTAAAATTCTTAATAAATATCATTTAAATAAAAAAAAAGAAAGTGACTGATCCAAGCGGAACTTAATGGCTGTGTGGAAACCTGAACCCTTGTCTCCCAAGTCCTTGTCTAACACGTTGTTGTTGTTGTTGTTGTTGCTGCTGAAGTAATTATGTCCAGTTGTGGTTAATCCCATGGTAACATACAAAGAACTGCCGGTAAATATTTCTTTAAGTAGGCAACAGGTCTAACGTGTCTATTATCATTCATATATTTATCAGTTTGCAAATGCTCTGTAATTTTGTTTCAGTCATTCTGGCAACATCATCAGTGTAATTACAATCACACCACATTATCATTTTCAGGTAGGGAGCAGAGGCTGAATAAAACTAATTGCAAAAGGCCTCCCATAGCCTAATTGCTATACAGAGTTTGGCACATCGTTGAGATAAAAAAAGCTTTAGCATGCCTAATTTTGCTTAGTAACATGGGATTGGGGTTGACCTGGTTAATTTCCTAAAGTCCATCTAACCCTGACATTCTCTGATTGCAAGAGAGATCTGCTAAACTGGTCAGACTGATAAAACTGCTGGAGATTATCTTAATGGCCCTTGAGTTGTGGGGTGAGAAGTTGAGACCGTTCTAACCCCTGGATCCAGTAAGTGTTAAAATATAAGCCAAGCAAGCTTCCTGTGTTAAGGTGATCGCCTGGGTGATGATCCATTAAGAGAACAAAGGAAAGGGAGTTTGGGAAATAGATGGAGTCCCTCCCTTAGCTTGCAATTAGTTAGAAGGACAAAGCCTAAGTTTAGAGCAGTGATGTGAACTAGAAGCAGAGAGAGAGATGCTGGATCTCTGCTTGAATCAAAGATGGCAGCTATGGGGAAAACAAGACTTTGGGGGTATTGATACTATGAACACCTCCACTGTAGATTCAGGTTGTATATATGTGTTAAATAAACTATATATCATAAGACACCATGGTATCTTCTGTGCCTCATTCCAAAAGAAAACACAAACTCTGGGTAAGCAGCTAGAACCCCTGCAATCACACACCGCTCAGAGTTTGGGGTAGCGTGCAACAGTATGTTTGTTCTGGAAGTAATTATGGCCAATGGTGGTTACTCCCTTAGTAATGTGCAAACAACAGTCTGGCTTCACCAAGTACCCATGTTTTCTGTGCATGTGGGATAGTAGGGACCGTGCTCAGCATTACACGAAGAAGGACTGGCCTGTGCAGGAGGAATTGGTGCCTTGCAAAGAAAGGAACGTCATCAATGACCCTCTGGTGGACAGAGACTTACGGTAATACTCTTCCCACCGCTGCACATCAAGCTCGGCTTAATCAAGCAGTTCACCAAGGCTCTGGACTAGGATGGTGACTGCTTCACTTACTTGTGCCAGGCTTTTCCAGGATTGACCATGGAGAAGTTGAAAGCTGGCATCTTTGACGGTCCTCAGATCCGTCAGCTCATCAGAGATCCAGAGTTCGGAAACTCAATGAACGAAGTGGAACTGGAAGCGTGGAAGGCATTTCTTCTGGTAGTGAAGAACTTTCTTGGCAACAATAAGGCCAGAAACTACGCAGAACTTGTCAACAACATGCTGACTGCTTTCAGAAACCTGGGCTGCAACATGAGCGTCAAGATGCACTACCTATTTTCACATATGGACCAGTTTCCTGAGAACCTGGGTTCAATGAGTGACGAGCAGGGGAAGAGATTCCATCAGGACATGAAAGAGATGGAGACCAGGTATCAGGGTTGCTGGGACGCAGTCATGATGGCTGACTACTGTTGGACTCTGAAGAGAGACCTCCCTGCCGCTGAGCATTCCAGGAGTTCCAAGAAACGGAAGTTCAAGCCCTGAAGTTTGAAAAATGGTGAAGCAACATGCAATTTACGTGTACTTACCTTTATCAATGCCCACCATTCAGTTTACAGTAAACCTGACCTGATGGAGAGAAACGGATGCCATTTCCTGATTCAGCAGTGCAAAAATACCCTAAATCAGTTGTAGAAATCTAGACAACATTCAAAAAGTAAAAAATTGTTGCCCAGTGTTATCATTCATACATTTATCAGTTTGCAAATGCTCTGTAATATTGTTTCAGTCATTCTGGCAATACCGTCAGTGTAATTACAATCACATAACATCATCATAATTTCCAAGTAGGGAACAGAGGCTGAATAAAACTAATTGCCAAAGGCCACCCATAGCCTAATTGCTATACAGAGTTGGGTGCACCTAAACTCATTGAGTTAAAATAGCTTTAGCGTGTCTAATTTTGCTTAGTAACATGGGATTGAGGTTGACCTGGTTAATTTCCTAAAGTCCATCCGAACCCTGAAATTCTCTGATTGTAAGGGGCATCTGCTGAAGTGGTCAGACCAATAAAACTGCTGGAGATTGCCTTAATGGCCTTAGGACAGGCATAGGCAAACTTGGCCCTCCAGATGTTTTGGGACTACAACTCCCATCATCTCTAACCACTGGTCCTGTTAGCTAGGGATGATGGGAGTTGTAGTCCCAAAACATCTGGAGGGCCGAGTTTGCCTATGCCTGCCCTAGGAAATATCTCCTTTGCTATGAGGGTTGAAGATAAATGACCCACAATACTGCAATGTGAACTACAACTCCCATAATCACTGATTATTCTGGCTGGAGTTGATGGGCGCCATAGTCCACAACACCAAGAGGGCACAACACTGTTTATCCTGGGGATGCTGTAAAGAAAGAGTCTGTGCAAACAATAGATTTTGCAGAATGAGTCGTACCTGGACTGGGACATAGAAAGCTAAGCTGCTGTCTACAAGAATCTTACGGTGCTAACACCCACACCAGAAATCTTCAGGGTAAGCAGTGATTTTGGGGGCACCTCTTAGGTTCCCCAGCATGGGTATACCTCCCCCTATGCTCAACCTATATATTTGTAAATGGACACAAGTATGACAAAATACCAGTAACCCTCCACTGACCACATTCCAAAGGAAGTCAACGCTTGGGGTAAGCCCTGCAGTCTTGGAAAGTTAACTTTTAAATGAAATGGAAACGTTAAATGAAATCAGTATCGTTAAAAGTGTTGGTCTGAAACCCAGAGTCCGTTACAGTTTCACTAAGATTTGAACCAAAATGTAAAGTCTTTTCCAGGCGCAGAGCATGCAGGGAGAAAGGATGGAAATCAATCCAATTCTATATAACCTTACTAAATCCAGAATGTTGCCCCCACAATTTTGTTGGATTCCAGCTCACATCATCCTTGGCCAAACTGGCTGAGGCTGATAGGAATTCGAATTCACAGCTTTCGCAGCCCGGCATGGCCAGATGTCATTTATTTGGTTTAGTGTGTGGTTTTGGCTGTTTGTAGGGGTTCCAGTTTTGTTTGGGGAGTGTAAGCATTTTGACTGTGTTTGTTGGTTTTTTTGTTTTGGGGTGCGTGTGTTTGTTCTCCTTGGTGTTGCAAGGGGTACCTCTTTTTTGGTTTGCTATGTGTTTTTCCTGGTTTTGTTGTGTGCCTATTTTATCAGGGGGGGGTCATTGCCTTTTTTGGGTGGGTGTTTTGCTTTCTGTTTCCTATGTGAGTTCTTAGTTGTTTGTAATTTTACAGGACGTTTTGTGACCAGTCGGCCATTTTGTACAGGTGCCCAGGAAAGTTTCTAAAAATTTTCAAATGTGGCTCTGCATCCAAAAAGTTTGGGAACTGCTGCTCTGGGGGTTCATGGTACTGCAGCATTAATCAGATGAAACGGGTCTCATGCTGCTCAGTCCCTTGGGTGGGAAACCATGGAAGGCCCTATGCCAGAGCAAGATAAAGAGGAGTATGATATAAAAATATTTCTTTTCTTTTTTTTTTTTTTAAAGCATAAAAAGCACAGGAGTTTGAGATGGGTGATTTGTACTACCAATTCTGAAGGCAGCACTATGCCTCCTAGTGGTGACTATGCATTGCTACCTGGCAAACCAGAAAATGGAGGAAATGAGACATACAGTGGTACCTCAGGTTACATACGCTTCAGGTTACAGACTCCGCTAACCCAGAAATAGTGCTTCAGGTTAAGAACTTCGCATCAGGATGAGAACAGAAATCGTGCTCCGGCGTCGCGGTGGCAGCAGGAGGCCCCATTAGCTAAAGTGGTGCTTCAGGTTAAGAACAGTTTCAGGTGCAGCAAGAAACACACCCCCCCCATCATTCAGGTTGTACAAACTTCACTCACACTCACACATTACATACGCTACGCTTCTGTTATAAATTCATAGAAAATCAACCATACATTGGATTTGCACTGTTCCACTTTTATTTTACTCCATGAAGGAAAGACTACAAAATGGGGAAGGTTTGATACAGGGCACCATAATCCATTCACCATCCCAGCACATCCACAGGAGCCCTGCCCAGTTGCTATGCCAACCCTGATGGTCCTAGACAGAAGACAATCAAGATCACGAAGAACTTCCATATGGGAGTGGATTCAGCATGGACTGGAACAAAGGACAATGATCAGATCTTCCCTCAGGGGGCAGGAAACTGCGACTACCTTTTGTCTTCAGAAAATGACTCATGGGGAGGGGGAGAAGGGAACCAGCCAGGTGACAGGACACTCAGGTTACCACCACAACTCCTCCCTCAACCCCTCCTTTCTGTAATGTATGCATGATGTTTCTGGGCTTGACCTACAGGATGGGAATTTCAAAAGTTTTTATAAGGTCTTGCACACCATTTTTCTGTGTCTTTCCTCTCTCCTGCAAGTGAGGGGAACACCCTGTTGCAACAGTTCAATAAAGGCCAAGCCTACCGGCTGCTGATTTGCTCCAATTTACTCTGGTTGGTGTCTTTACTTTTTGTCCAAGGGAGCCCTCGGATTTTTCCGGTAACACAGGTTAAGAACGGACCTCTGGAACAAATTAAGTACTTAACCTGAGGTACCACTGTAATTCACTGAACAGAAGAGGGGCAGCCAGGGGTGACTGGTGCCCATCATAGCTGTCAACTTTTCCCTTTTCTTGCAAGGAATCCTATTCGAAATAAGGGAATTTCCATTAAAAAAAGGGAAACGTTGACAGCTATGGTGCCCACTGGGACCAGTGAGGCAGAAAGCAGAGATCCCAGCAGGAGAGTCTGCTAATGTTAGTTTTCCCTCATCCATTTCCCTGCTGAGTTCTACAATGGCAACAGATACTGAAGAGGAATAAGATGAAAGGCAGAGAGATACCCTCTTGACATAAGTGAGAAGGCAGGCAGGTGGCGGCTGGCTGGCGCTGACTGATGTTGGTGGGAAAGTGTTCCATTTGCCCAAATGGACCAGTCATCATGGAGGAGGGAGCATTTAGGGTGCATAGCTCATCTGGATTTCAGTTTCTTTGCCAAGTTCAGGCCTGAAACTGAATGGAAATGGACGTAGTCGGTCCCATCCAAGAGATCATGGAGTTGTATAACAAACAACCTGCTCCAGCATTGCCCAGGAAGGGAAAATGCAAGGTAAATTGTTGCAATCCTCCTGGCTTAGAGAGGGGCTCTTTCAGGAGCAGCAACCCGGCCACCGGCTCTAAAGAGCAATCCCTCTTGCAGAGATGTGTCTTCTTCTTCTTCTTCTTCTTCTTCTTCTTATACCCCACCCATCTGGCTGGGTTTTTCCAGCCACTCCGGGCAAATTACAACATATAAAAAATTACAACATTAAAAAATTTCCCAATACTGGGTTGCCTTCAGGTGTCTTCTAAAAGTCAGATGGTTGTTTATTTCCTTGACATCTGATGGGAGGATGTCGTATTTATAAGAACAGCAACTGGAACCAAGGTTTGAATTAATTTTAAACTGCCACAGCAAATACAGGAAGATTGTTAACTGATACGTTTTGCTGTCCTATTTGTTTCATGCAGTATATTAACATGTATCGTTTTTTCATGATCTGGTAGCAGTTTTATTTTATGTTATTCCGGATAGACAACACAATGCCCTCCATATGCTGTTGGGCTATAACTCCCTTTTCATCCGTGGCCAATCATCATGCCAGCTGGAGCTTATGGATGCTGAAAGTTCAACAACACCTGGAGGCTACTAGTTTGATCAACCCCATCTATATAGATAAAGGTAAAGGTAAAAGTACCCCTGCCCGTACAGGCCACTCGTGACCGACTCTGGGGTTGTATGCTCATCTCGCTTAAGAGGCCGGGAGCCAGCGCTGTCCGAAGACACTTCTGGGTCACGTGGCCAGCGTGACGAAGCTGCTCTGGCGAGCCAGCACCAGCACAGCGCACGGAAACGCCGTTTACCTTCCCGCTATAAAGCGGTACCTATTTATCTACTTGCACTTAGGGGTGCTTTCGAACTGCTAGGTGGGCAGGAGCTGGGACCGAACGACGGGAGCTCACCCCGCCGCGGGGATTCGAACTGCCGACCATACAATTGGCAAGTCCTAGGCACTGAGGTTTTACCCACAGCACCATCCACGTCCCATCTATATAGATAATTATCTATGAATAGGTATTTCTAATAAAGGCTGTGTTACCACCCTGGTGAGTCAATTATAATAAATATTTTTAATAAATAAGGATTCTGTTACCACAAATTACCAGTCTGGTATTTATACAGATGAATATCTATGAATAGATGAATATCTTTAGCAAATGAGTAGTACTGAGCTACCACCAATTATCGCTTTTTGTGTGTGAATGGCACAACACAGTCAAATCTCGCATACATTTGAGCTTTGTACAAAAATGTCTCAAAACATACCTCTCACATTTCAAGGCCTTTTTGGACCCTCGGCTTACACTTACTTTCTTTATCAAGCTGTTGAGATTCTTCTGCTGTAACAGTGGAATCTGACGTCCGATGGATGCAAGTGATTTTCTCCTCAAATTGGTTTGCAAACAAGTCAGAGGGAGCTGCTGTTGGTTCTACCACCTCCTTCGGGCATAAATGGCCCCACGCTACTTGGAAAAGCTCTGCTGGGGCAGCGTAGTGAGGATGCTATGGAGGCAACAATGTATGCCTTCTTTGCTACCTTCACTGCCACTAGGTAGGGTTGATTATGAGCCCCCCCAATGTTGGATTGCATTCAACTGGAGTTTTCTTCCACTTCCATTCAAGCAGTCTCCCAGCCTGTTTCTTCACCCTAACTCTGGAGTATACCAGGGAGCCAAATGGGCTCCATGAAGTGGGAGAGGGTGCTCAGGGGTAATCGTGTCAATGACGCGAGCAATTTGGATGCTCCAGAGGTCACCCACGGCTTTGACAGGAGCGCCAGTCAAATCAGCAGGGGAATTCAAGAGCCGTCTTAGGAATCATTACACTTAGGAATCCGCTTACACTTACTTTCTTTATCAAGATGCTTGGTATCTCATTTCATTATTTATTTCCCTTATGAATCATTTCCCCCTCAGGCATCCAGAGGCTATTTACAACACAATAAAAGTTAAATATATTGTAATGAGTTTGATTCCCCTGTGTTATGAGTTTGTGGGTGCCAGACATTTAATATCTGGACCCAGATATTAAGAGCTAGATAAACTAAATAAGTGAACCTCATGAGGTAATTGCCTGGGAGAGGAGCCATTTATAGAACAAAGGAAAGGTAATAAGCTATTAAGGCAAAGACTCTGGACCAGAAGGCAAATGGGTGGAGCCCCTCCTTCAACTCAGAGTCAGAAGGCAAAGCCAGTGTTTGAAATAGTTTTAGGGTTGAGTGTGATGTGACGGGGGGGGGGGGGGAGGTTGCAGTCTAGTAAAGGCAGCAGCTGGAAAGAGCATCAGAGCAAAATGGCTGGTGTCTGTTTGAATCATAAACTGCAGCCATGAGAAAAACAAGACCCTCTTGGGCTGTTAATGCTGTGAACCCCTCCATTATACTCAGCTCAGGTTGTATATGTGTGTGTGCGTGTGTAAGTAAACCATATATTCTATAGGCACCATAGTGTCCTCTGTGCCTCATTCCCAAAAGAAAACACAAACACTGGAACCCCTGGAAACTCACACCACTCGAAGATTGGGGTGGCACTCAACACTATAAACACACACACACTTACATGGTTTAAAACAGCAGCAGGAACACACACACACACACACACATGTTCAATTGAGAAGCAACCTTGATTTCAGCTACCATGAAGATCTCCTCCAGAAGGTTTGGTGACAGAGGGGCATCTTTTAGCAGGTGCTGAAAAGACTTCAATAGAGAAGGTGGACGCCTGATATACAACGGTAGGAAGTTCCAAAGATCAGGTGCTAACTCAGCGTATAATACACTCATCTCCTACAAAAACTGCACTCAGCTGCTTCTACTCTTGATTTTTAATTTTTTGCTTTTGCTGTTATCCTTTCCTTAGTCCGTACAGCATGAGACTTAATGTCAGGGTCGTGGGATCGAGCCCTACACTGGGCAAAAGATCCCTGCATTGCAAAGGGTTGGACTAGATGGCCCTCGGGTGTCCCTTCCAACTCTTAAGAATGTCACGCTTCTGTGAAATTACATCCACTCACCCTTCCCCTCCCGCCTTTCGCCCTTTAGCCACACCCCCTCACGCCTTTAGCCACGCCCACCCCTCTCTCTTCCCCCCCCTCCCCGCTGAACCCGAGAGCCGCACGCGACCGCTCTCCCGCGGGCGATTGGCTGGCGCTTTGCGTTCCCTGTTCGCGGGCGGTGGCGCGATCGGCCCACCTGATGACGCCGCCGCCCGGGGCCGCCGCCATTGGTCAGGCGCCGAGCGGGGAGGGTTGCCAGGCGATGTGGCGCGCGGCGCAGCGGTTGGCGGCGTCGGCAGCAGCTGTTGCTGCCGGGGCAGCCGGAGGAGAAGGCTCTGCAGCGCGCGCGCTCTCCGCTTCTGCTTCTTCCGCCTCCTCGTCTTCGTGGGGAAGCTTGTATCGTCGCAGCCTCGGGCAGGTGCTGCAGCCACTCCCGCCTCCTCAGTCTCGGCGGCCGCTTCCTTCGCTTTGCGTGAGTGCAGAGGCCGCGTGCCGGCCCGGGGACGGAACGCGGTAAGGACCAAAAAAGGCCCGGGGGCGGAAGGGAGTTCGAAGCGATGCCGCTGAGTCACCCGCGGGGAAGCGAAGGGAGGTGGCGGTGTAGCGTCCAATAATAATAATAATAATACAGTGGTACCTCGGGTTAAGTATTTAATTCGTTCCGGAGGTCCGTTCTTAACCTGAAACTGTTCTTAACCTGAAGCACCACTTTAGCTAATGGGGCCTCCTGCTGCCACTGCACCACCGGAGCATTGGATTTCTGTTCTCATCCTGAAGCAAAGTTCTTAACCTGAAGCACTATTTATTCAGGTTAAGAACAGTTTCAGGTTAAGAACGGACCTCCGGAATGAATTAAGTACTTAACCTGAGGTACCACTGTATTATCTACATCAGGCGTGGCCAAGCTCGGCCCGCCAGCTGTTTTGAGACTACAGTTCCCGTCATCCCTGACCACTGGTCCTGTTAGCTAGGGATGATGGGAGTTGTAGTCCCAAAACAGCTGGAGGGCCGAGTTTGGGGGTGCCTGATCTACATCAGTGTTTCCCATGCTTGGGTCTCCAGCTCTTTTTGGACTACAATTCCCATCATTCCTGACCACTGGTCTTGCTAGGTAGGGATGGTGGGAGGTGTAATCCAAAAAAACAGCAGGAGACCCTAGGTTGGGAAACACTGATCTACATCCAGTATCTACTTCCCTATTGAAAAGGCTTGGGTAGGGAATATGTTTTCAGGTTTTTTCTCTGCATCTGGTGGAAGTAAGTTCCCTTCCTCCATCCACAGCCCTGAGAAATCTTACTTAATGTCCTCTTGTTCTTATTGCACTTTCCTTTAAAGAGGTGCAGATGGCACCTGTTGTTCTCTTCCTCCTTCCCCCACTTTTTCCCCCACAACAGGCCCCTCAGGGGGTTAGGTGACCAAGATAAAGATTGTGTAAGCTTCTGGTAGAGATGGGATGGATACCAACCTGAAACTCTGAAGAGCCACTGCTAGTTTTTGTAGACAGTACTAAGCTCGGTAATTTCCTGTATGTTTATCCTTTGTAGTTTCCCTTGGGATTTTGAAAGAGATGGAGCTTTTGGAGACGGAGCATGTAGCTCCCTCTCTTTTCCTAGTGTAGATTTCTAAAACATTTTTGTTAAACAGCAAAAGTAGCATACTTCCCACTATAGCAACAGTTCTTTGCTTCCAAATTAAACTTTCAGCAGCAAAGCTCTGCTGCTGGAGTCCACAGCTTTATAAGCGCTCAGAACTTTTGCTACTGGGGCTGACAAGTGACATGGACCTGAAGTAGGCTGGGGGATTAAAAAAAATTCTATAGCATTCCCAATATACAAAGGTGTTTCAAGGTATGCTCATAGTTGTACTTTTCCTCTCTTTGTTTAAGCAGTTGGGTAAGTCTGCCACATGTTTTCCTGGCAGGACTCTCATATTTTTAACAAAGCATTTGCTACATCTTTTACTAGCCCTTTACTTTTGTCAGCAGTGCAATACACAGTTTGAAAGCACGGCAGTGCAAGTAGATAAATAGTTACCACTGTGGCGGGAAGCTAAACGGCGTTTCCATGTGTACTGGTTTCCGTCACGGTGTTCTGTTGAGCCAGAAGTGGTTTAGTCACGCTGGCCACATGACTCGGAAAGCTGTCTGTGGACAAACTGGCTCCCTTGGCCTGAAAGCGAGATGAGCGCCACAACCCCATAGTCTCCTTTGACTGAACTTAACTGTCCAGGGGTCCTTTACCTTTTTACCTTTATACAGAGAAGTATAGCAGGTGAAGCCTTATCACTGTAGACAAATCAAAAAAGCTTCCATCTATTAAACAGGTACTAATAAAGGCATTGGCTCAGGGCTAGTTAAAAAGGAGGAGGTGGTCTACTTTAACAAATGCTAAGTATAGTTGGTGCCTAAAGACACTAAAGGCTTTGTGTGTTTTCCTGTAAAGTCATGCTAGTGCAAGATAAAACAAGTAGTGATAGCTATGTATTGTGTAAAAAATGGTGGACTCATATTCTTACTGAACTAAGAATATTGGCTGAGGATCAAAATTAACTTTGTCTAGCCATCAGAAATTATATGCACACTTGATGGTTGCGTTGGTTGTGAAGTTTAGGCAAGTTTCTAGCTTTGGCAAGTATAATGGACACTCATCTGCATGCCTGTGCTCTGCTGACTCTAGGCAAACATTAGGAAATCTTGTAAGTTCTAATACTGTTCATTAAATATTTGTGTAATTGTGGGTTGTTGTTTTTTGTCATCAGTATTTTTATTAGGAGCATCAATACTGTAACCATGCCTGAAATAAATACAAATGAACTGGATGAGCAGCAGGTAGAGTTGCTGGCAGAGATGTGCATCCTTATTGATGAAAACGACAACAAAATTGGTTCAGATACCAAGAAAAACTGCCACCTGAATGAGAACATTGACAAAGGTATCTATCACTGTTCAGATCCCATTGTATGTAAACTGGTCCTGCCTGGGTACTAAGCTGCATCGAGCACTTCTACCTCGCCCCATTTTTTGCCTCTAGGTTTTTTGCAATCTACTTGCACAACAAGATGTAGCAGTTAAAACGAGAAAGGGAGCTGGAGGAAATGGAACAAGGAAGATAGAGGAATGTGGTTCAGCAGACTAGTCTTATGCATCCATGTACAAGATAACTTTGAATTAAGAGTTCTTTAAGTGGTAAAGAAAATCCTTTTCATGCTGTGAAGTCAAATAGCAATTTAGGCTTGTTAATCTGTTTTGAGTCACCGATTACTTTGACACACAGCCCACAGAGCAACTTCCTGCCCCACCATTTAGCCGTACCTTATATAGTTCTGCCCAGCACACAAATTTAGACTGCGGGTGGCTTCTTCAAATGTTTATGCCAAAGAGCAATAAAAGATGAATGAGTGTTCTTTTCAGGCTTCAGTTAAAGAGGTAATGGGCATATTCCGTAAGCCAAGGTACACAATTATTTCTGTGGTTGAAACATCACGTTTGGTGCATAAGGATATAGGCAATTTCCCTACTGCACACAAGAACAGAAGCAGCATGAGTTAAAAACCCTTTTCTTGTGCTGACTTATGCTGCTCCAGGAGAACATCTGACACTAACCTGTTATCTGACAGAATAAAGACTTTAGTCTTCTATGATGTCTTTGATTACAGATCTGTAAGGAACTGCTCAAAATAAATAGCTCTGTTCCTCAGACAGTGCAAAAACACCTAAGCACTTGACTTTTGCAAAAGTAATATATTGTAGTATATTGTAAGATATGGCATACAATAATATCTTAGGTTTACTCCTACAAAGTTCTCCAAAGGGTACCCAAGCAATAATTTATTCAAATACATATATATCCAACCCTCCTTTCCAAGGCAGTTACCAGCCTAAATGAGAAACCACAATGCATACAGTGGAAAGTTTTGTTTAGAAATAGGCTTCTCGTTTCTTTGTTTAAACTTTGGTTTTAAACTGTAAGATCAAGTATTATGATGAACACGAGTGAAGTTTACTCCCCACCCCCTTGCAGTACATTCTTTTTAAAAGCATATTGCCTATCTTTTTGTGCTAGGACTGCTGCATCGTGCTTTCAGTGTCTTCTTGTTCAATACGGAGAATAAACTGCTATTGCAACAAAGATCAGATGCCAAAATCACTTTCCCAGGTTTGTTACTAAGCAACAAATTCTTGTTTTCATTGCATAGCTTCTATAAAATACCACTTTGTGTCCTCATATATTTCTGGAATGCTTGAAAAATAGAATTATCTGTTAAATTTCAAACAAATTTACTTACTTTCATTTTCAAGTGAGCAGATACTTGGGTAGCAGTAATGTTTTCTCTCTCTGAAAGAATGGTGGGGTGGGTGTGTTCATGACCTGTATTTGTTCGGTTAACAGCAGAAGCGTGAGAAACATGCAAAGATTTTCTGATAGGTCAAATGCCCAAAAGACTATTTGGTGTGGTGATGTTGTCTTTGGTCTAGACTAGCACACTTTTAGTGAATAGGTGAAAATTGAAGGGGGGGTGGAAATCACAAATTAAATAATGACTAGTGCTTTGTCCTTTTTTTCTAACCATATATAACTCAGAATGGGCTTGGGAACACAATTGCACTTTATGTTTACATGCTGGAAATGTATTCTTTATGGTGCTAAGCATTGATAGGTTTATTTTGCTTTGAATATGGCAGTATGTGCTATTGTGTTGTTTTTTGGAACTTTGTTTCAAATTTTGGATACTTGGTACTGTCAACAAAATGAGATTGGCTACTTCAAGGATTCTAGTATCTGAAAGTCTGCAAAGTATTCTCAAAACTGAATCCACAAAACTTTTTTGGTAGATTGCTTCACCAACACTTGTTGCAGTCATCCCCTGAACACCGTGCTTGAAGTAGAAGAAAAGAATGCAATTGGCGTTCGAAGAGCAGCTCAGAGGCGCCTGAAAGAAGAGCTAGGAATTCCAATGGAACAGGTAAATAATGCTCTTATTTCAGAGTAATGACTTCCCTAGGGGAAAATAGTTGAACAGCATCTAGTTATACTTGCAGTTCTAAATACTAATCAGAGCTGCAGTATTTATTTGGAACCTGTCGGCCCTATTCCCAGAAGCTTAAGAGAAGGGAGCAATTATCACAGTGTGTTTGTTGCTACTTCAGCTTGTGTGTGCTTTTTCACTAGTCAGAATGACCAGGTTTCGTGCATGCCCTGGATTGAGTTTCAGAATAATCACAAATGATCAAGACATGCTTTCTTACAGATGTTAGTTGATAGACTGATTGTAACAATCTGTCCAGCAAGCACACCAGAAAGGTTTTTTGTATAATCTAAACATATAAGAAGCAAGGAAGGAACTATTTTAATAGTATAGTTTTTCCCAGGGCTGGAAAGGGATTTCAGATGCCTTTGCTCCAGCATAAAATGTTTCTGTCTGGGCAACCAAACATCAAAGTCTTTTTCTGGCATTAGGTTTTTCACAATATTGCAAATTCCTTCATTTTCTTCCGTCTTGAGAATTGTTGAAGCAAAACAAATGTCTCTGGCCATACCCATATGACTAGAGCTCTGAGGTACTCCTCTCTGCAGTTTATATTGGGGAGAATGTTTTATCTGATATATTCACTCAAATGTACATTATTCAATTAAATGCTCACTTGAGCCTTGAGTCTCTCACCATCCCAGGCAGACATGCACTCTGTCCACTCCATTATACACTATTCCAGAGTCCTTAGGAGCAGATTAGATGGGGAAGGAAAGTCCAAGTGTCATTCTTTTGATCTGAGCAACTGACTATACAAATGTTTTATTAAAAATCAACCATTTAAAAGCAAAATCAAACTACCACAGCTCTTTCTCCATCCAACCCACCCCTTTTAGGTTTGTATTGAGGAGTTCTGAAAAAATTATCATAAAAATGCAGAAAGGAAGTAATAAAGTACTGTCACTACATGTTTTTGGTTGTAGGTAACACCAGAAGAAATCTTGTACTTAACCCGAATTCACTACAAAGCTCAGTCCAATGGGATCTGGGGAGAACATGAAATAGATTACATCTTGTTTGTGCAGAAGAATGTGACGCTGAATGCAGATCCCAATGAAATTAAAAGTTACTGTTATGTGACACAGGAAGAACTGAAAGAACTCCTGGAAAAAGCATCCCGAAATGAAATTAAGATTACTCCATGGTTCAAACTGATTGCAGAGACTTTTCTCTTTAAATGGTGGGATAACTTGAATAATCTGAATAGGTTTGTGGATCATGAAAAGATTCACAGAATGTAACAGCTTGTAGAATATGCTGCTCTAAAAACGATATAGTACCATTTAATACTGATAAATGGCAATATCTGAAGCACTAATTATAAGTTGACTGCAACACAGGGAACGAATTAGGAATGAGAAGATATCCTGTGAAAGGAATTTGATTTTATCTCTGGCTGATTGTTAAAGCTTGAGTCTTTTCTGCCTTTCATTTCTTGGAGTAATTATTTGGATTATTAACAAGCTTTCAATGGGAATGTATTTGTTGATATAATCACTAGAATCTGAGGTTTAATACTGACTAGACTACCAGTCAAGATTGAAAATTAAATCTTAGCCAGGATACCCCTCTATTTTTCAGGGTAGGCTGTTTGCTGTACAATAGGGAAGGAGTTAGTTCCCAGACTAGTTTTGTTCTTGGCTTAATGCAGGGGAGGGGGACACTAACATGTGACTCTCCATCACTCCTAACTAGCATAGCTGTTGAGATTTCTGGTCCTAAAGGCTGCATCTTGAATGTCATACTAAAGTCCATGTTAGGGGATAAGAGAAACAGTACTTACATTCAAGGGTTGGCCTATTTCATCCACTCATTTTCAGTTTTCTGGTGCGCTAGCAGTATGGAGTATGTGGGGTAATAAGTAAGTGTGGTGTTAACTGCTCTAATAGTACTTGTTCATGTGTAAACTGTGCATGATGAAAACTATTACGGGGCAGAACTAGGTGGTATTCAAAATGTCAAGTGAGAATTTGTGCTTCAGTTGTCTCCAAATGTGCCTTCCTTTTTTGAATTATTTGCTGTAAAAAGGAAAGGAATTCTTGACTATAAGGCCTGCCTAGTAACTCTTCACTTTACCTTGACTTAAGGGTGTTCCATTTTCAGATATAACTAGATAGTAAAATCTGTGTATATTCAAACATTCTGCTGTGTTCCAGAAAGCCGCTGGTGTATTTTTAATCATTAAAATGACTGAATCCTAACAACTGAACTTAATACTTCTTCATGAAAAAAATTAATGTGTTCCATTTTAATTTTCCATAACCTGTTAAATTTAGGCTAGTTAATAGAAAACCAATTTTTGAGGAATACAATGACAAATGTTAATAATTATTGGACAGGCCCATTGAGCTAAATTTCTGATCTTAAAAATGCTTGTTCTTGATCAGCATCCCACATCTTGGAGGTTCTTTAGAAGCTCAACTGAAGTGTAAAATGCAGATCAAGGACGGTGTCACCAGAGCCAGGAGGACACCAGTACAGCTAACAACCAGTCTCAAAGAAGCTGTTATTCCTTCCAAACAATGGAGGTCTTGCCCAAATGAGGAAAACAAAAAGGAACACAAACTTTGGCAAATGAGACAATAAGGGTTCTTTAAAAAATGGAGCAGGACACTGCTAAAAACATGAACAACAGAACATTTAAATACCTTAGTAGCAGATGACTGGCTAGGAAGACAGTTGGTATCTTGGATGACAAGGGAGCAAAAGGAGTGCTAGAGGTGGCTCAGAATCCGAATGAATTCTCTGCTTTTGTTTTCACAGCAGAGGATATAGGACAGATCCTGTACCTGAACTAACTTTTGCTATCTGCGGTAAATGAAAAACAGTTCTAGGCTTAATAGACCAAATAAAAACTAACAAATTGCCAGATTGAGATAGCATCCACCTAAGGGTTTCAAAAAAATCAAATGTGATTTTCTAACAAAAATATGTAACTTTTGCCTCAAATCAGCCTCTATTGCTGGGAACTGGAAAGTAGCCAATATAACACTGATTTTAAAAAACGGATCCAGGAGGAATCCTGAATTGGTCCATCTAGCTCAGTATTGCCTACACAGCCTAAGAGGGCTTCTATATGTTTCAAACCTGCATATAAAGTTAAGTGCTCAGCTTAGACCACTCTGCGTGTATCTTGATATTATTATAAATTGCAACATTTTGTTACCACTAAATTTGTTAATATAGCTTTATGATAGAGCTGCTGCTTCCCATATCTAATGAGATGTAGTTAAAATAGACCTTTGGGAAATGATACTTACTACCAGACCTCCAGGTATTCAGTACAGAGGAAAAGTACCCCAGCAGATTGAGATATGCATCATTTGGTATGTACTTCTGCTGAAGTAACTGAATGAATGTTTGGGTTATTTATTTTATACTTCATTACGACAGAACTAACAATAAAACCACAACTTTACTGGAATAAATGCTCCACAAACTATTTCTTATATATATGTTGCCTTTAATTTGCATTGCTATTTTCATACTGTCTTTGTAGAGCCAATTATCTTCGTTGGTTTGTACCAGATTTCCTCTTGCCAGAAAACAGATGTTTGGGCTTAAGGTCAAAGACGTGCCTATCTGCTTCCCCTTTCCTGCCCAACCGGTTCATTTTCGTTTGAGCTTTCTTCATCATAGTTTTAGTCTTCTTCACCATCTATACAAATTAAAAAAAAAATCATAAGTGAAGCATTCTTTCTCCACTTGAGGCTCATCCTCCACACCAATAATATGACCCAAATATTGCCTTATAGTCCCTTTGGGAAGTAGTGGTTAAGAGTATAAGACTAGTATCTGAGACACAGCCATAAATGTGCCTTCTATAGAAGCAATTTAAAAATACAAAGGGATTGGTCTCTCAAACACTCGAAGTGTCCTTGCATAAGCTACATATATTACATAAAAAGGCAGAGCTAAACAGCCAGATGAGTCCTGAAGTCATTTGGCTATTCCACATCAGTATGTAAATTCAGCCATTTTGCCTGGCGACCTGGTACCTCCTTTTCCTAGGACTTTCTCCCTGCCCTACCTGTCCAGTATTAACAGCACAATCTTACACAGAAGTATTATGTTCAGTGGAGCTTACTCCCAGCTATGTTTGTGCATGGCAAGTCTTGGACACCTCAGCCAAATAAGTGACAAGCTGGCCTATTGCCATCACATCCCCTTAGTGCAGGCGTAGCTTACCTGTAGTCCTCCTAGATTTTGTTAGGCTCAAACTCCCATCAGCGCCAGGCAATATGGCCAAACAGGGATGGTGAGAGTTGTAGTCCAGCAACATCTGAAGGGCCACAGGTTAACCATCCACCCTTATACATGACGGTACGGATGATGAACTGAACACAGGCTGATTCTGCTTCAAACGTATTACAAGTCAATTTAAAATGCTTAAAAACCTAATTACAGTAGCTCAACTTTCAGATTTATAAATGCCTATTTGCAATACTACATCCTATAAAACCATCCAGAACTCTAATAAACTTAAGACAGACCTTTACGTCTCGAAGGCCAGATACATCGCGAGGTGTGCGGGAGGAACTGCGACTTCGTGCCACAGATGTAGGTGTTACAGATTCTTCTCGTTTACGTTTACGGGTAACACTCCGGGATCTTCTTGCCTGGGCTACATAATGTGCCTGAAAATTCACAAACCAAGAAAAGCCCAATCAGAACCCCTCATCTTCTAAATTAGTTATCAGGTGCTGCACACTGTTCCTCAGCATAAATACTACTTAATTCAGCTAACAGCTTATGAGTACAAACTTTATTAAATAATAGGATTTTTCGACTCTGAATTCCAGTCTTAATCCAATATTAATCAATTCCCTTAACACAGCTTTATTCCTGGAGCCAGCTTAGCCCAGCGGTTCCATCAACCAACACATTGCTTGGATCCCACAATCGCCTCCTGCGGTGTGAGACCTGCAGGCGCCACCTGGCTTTAAAACAAACAAACAAACAAAAAAGCCACAGCTTTATTTCCAGTGGCAGTAAAATGAAGTATAATAAGGACATTTAGAAATAATGGAAGTAATTCCTACAGCAATCAATGCAGAAAAAAGTCTGTCTTACCTCATTTTTACCAGTCATATCAAGCCCAAGATCAGTCATCTCCTTCTCTAATGTCTTCCGTTCAACCTAAAGACACAAGTCATCAATTATTTTCCTTGTTATCAATACACTTTTATATTGACGTGGCAGAAAGGAGCCTAAGAAGCAATCCAGTACACTGTCCAAAAACTACAAGAGAAATCCTACAGTGTACGTTCCAGATAGATTTCAGTGACAATTTGGAGACAAACAGATAAAAGCAGGAATGTCAATGGTCTGCCGTTCTCCCCCCCCCTTTTCAAATTAGTTTAGGTGTAATTTAACATGTACCAGAACACACATTCCATGCATACAGGATGCTCAACACGACAACACAGAGTAAGGGTAGCAAATGAGCCTACGCTTCTGGAAGCAGGCAATAATAATAATAATAATAATAATAATAATAATAATGAACTGTTGTGCTTAAGGCAGACATGAGGAACCTTACCCCAACCCCAACGGGCCAGAACTCAATCAGCCCTACGCCTTGTAGGAAGAATTTGGATGAAGGAATGCAACTTGTTCTGGCAAAGGAACAACTGGGAGTTCACTTAAGCTCCTGTTTGTTACTTTGAAACATGCCAGTGCAGGCGGGTGTGTGGCCTATAGTAAAATTTGTTTGTTGAACTGCTAGAAGCTTATAATGTTGGGCGGGTGTGGGAAATAAATAATCATGTCTGAAATAGGGAAGGGCCAAACATACTTAGTATGAAAAAAGGTCCCGGGCTCAATCCAGACATCTCCAGGTAGCCTGGGGGAAACTCTTGTATGAAACCCTGGAGAACCTCTGCCACTCAATGTTGACAGTGCTGAGTTGGGTGGACCAAAGCTCAGACTCAACAGAAGTCACCTTCCTATGTCCCAGTTCATTCCACAACTTTGTTCTGCTGACTGCGTAGAGTCAGGCGTGATCCTTGTGTTTCTGACAAGTCCTAAACTAGAACATACCTTAATGGAGATTCTCATTCTTCTTCTTCTATCGCTTACGGGCCTGTTACTATTTCATCTGCCTAAGCCATTATTTTTAATCTGCAGTCTAACAGGCATTTCTAGCCATGACAACTTCGATTTTTGTTTTGTAACGAAAGTGAGTGGGTGGGAGGGAACACACGTAAATCCCTTAATCCCTTAACTGCAGTCAGGCCCCAACACATTCTTAACAAAATGTTTGAAACCTGCCTTTCTCGCCGTTCTCGGCATCCTGGGCCCCTGTGTATCTTTCTCTTTGGATGCCAACATCTTGAGTTTCTTTTTCTCTCGAATCTGTTGTGCCAGCTGTCTGATGCCCATCATTTCCTCATCTTCGCTTTCTGAGTCGCTGTCATATTCTCCAGCTGCTTGCCTCAGCTCCTCCTCTTCCTCCAGTTGCTCCAGTTTCTTTAAAGACGTCACACACAATGCATTAGAAACTTTTACAATATGCATGCTTCAAATATTCATCAACAGAGCCTTTCAGATAGTTAATGCTCAAACTCCTAACTGCCATATCAGAAGTTCTCAATTTCTGAACCAAGATGAAAGGCAGAAGCAGAGTGATGGTTTTGCGGAGTCAATCAATTCATTCTTCTTAGTTGTGATTCTTCTTAATAAGAGGCTAGACAAGAAATGCATAGCTTGACAGAATGTTCTGTATATTCATGTCATGACAAGAATGCACACATTTTCTGTACACTGAAGTGTGAGGTTAATGGGGATAACTCCTACCTTCATGATATCTGGGTCAATATAATCTGCTATGTTGTGTCCTTCCCAGATCTCTGGCACCTTATCATATTTTTCAGATGGATTCATTAGATCCCAGTATTCTAAAAGGCGGAGAGGGGAAGAACACACAGAATTATTAATTTGTGAGGCACAGAAGCTACTATTTCATTGTTACAGCAGGAAGTTACCTGATAGCAGGTGATCCAGAGTTGATAAACCTGTCTGGCAACCAGAACAATCTTCCTTTAACCTTAGGCTTCGTCAAAAAAACCCTTGTAGTTTGAATTATTATCTGTCCAAAAAACTGACTGTCTAGAAAGGTCACTCACTTTCTGACACCTGCTACCCTCCCTCCACCCAAAGCAGCTTTGCCAGTGGCAACACAGGAGAGGGTAATTCGGGAAAGGGATGCATGACATTAGGCCAAAGGCTGCAGGTTGTTCACTCCTTATGCAAACCGACAAAGCCCTCCATCAACTTTAACATATAGTCCTTGATGGAAAATTAGGTGAACATCAGTATTACCCAGTAGACTAAGAGCATAACGTAATAATTATGTTAATAATAATAATAATAAAAAAATTTATTTATACCTCACCCATCTGGCTTGGTTTCCCAAGCCACTCTGGGTGGCTCCCAACAGAATATTAATAATAAAAAAGCAGTAACATCAAACATTAAAAACTTCCCTAAACAGGGCTGCTAACCACACACAGCAGCTGAAGTTAACCTTGCAGTTTTCTACCTGAATTCTCTGCAAAATGGGAACACTACATCCAGTGACACCTCTAGTGTGAACATTAAGATTACTGTTACCACTTACTCTTAAGATCCAAAACATACTCGTCTCCCATTTCCATTTCAATGTCTTTCTCCTGCGAACAAGCACACAGCATTAAAATGGGCCCTTTTTTAAAAGCTTCACACAAATTTTGCTCTTCTCCTGGGAAAATCTTTCAAAAGATGCTTACCAGTTTCTTTTTAGGCGCATCAACTTCCATGCGTTTTTTGCGGAGCAGGGCACCTTCAGGGATAAAAGGTGGCCTTTCCTAAGATTAAACGATAAAACCAAGATGAGCTCAAGGAAGCAGTTTAAAAACAAAAAACAAGCAAATCATAATTGCATTTATCAGCATGTGAAAGCAAAAAAAAACAAACAAACCAAAAAACAAGGCTGTTTTGATTTAGATGCATGTGTATTATATAATAATAATAATAATAATAATAATAATAATAATAATAATAAATTTTATTTATATCCCGCCCTCCCCAGCCAAAGCCAGGCTCAGGGCGGCTAACAACAAACAAATAATCAAACAGTCAAATAATCCAACATTCTAAACCATTTCATTATAAAAATTAATTAAAATCAAATTAATGGCAACCGTTAAGCAAAGTTCTGTGCAGGTTGCCGGAGGAGGGAGTCAGGCTGGGCCCTGACCAAAGGCCTGGTGGAACAACTCTGTCTTGCAGGCCTTGCGGAAAGATGTCAGGTCCCGCAGGGCCCTCGTCTCTGTGACAGAGCTGCTCCACCAGATTGGAGCCGCAGCCAAGAAAGCCCTGGCTCTAGTTGAGGCCAGCCTAACCTCTCTGAGGCCTGGGACCTTCAGGATGTTTTTATTTGCAGACCGTAGGTTCCTCTGTGGGGCATACCAGGAGAGGCGGTCCCGTAGGTACGAGGGTCCTAGGCCGTATAGGGCTTTAAAGGTTAAAACCAGCACCTTAAACCTGATCCTGTACTCCACCGGGATCCAGTGCAGCTGGTATAGTACCGGATGAATGTGATCTCGCAGCGAAGACCCCATAAGGAGTCTCGCCGCGGCATTCTGCACCCGCTGGAGTTTCTGGGTCAGTCTCAAGGGCAGCCCCACGTAGAGCAAGTTACAATAATCCAGTCTGGAGGTGACCGTCGCGTGGATCACAGTGGCTAGGTCAGGGCGAGAGAGATAAGGGGCCAACTTCTTAGCTTGGCGGAGATGAAAAATGCCGCCTTTGTTATAGCTGTAATCTGCGCCTCCATAGAGAGGGAGGTATCGAAGATTACACCCAAACTCTTAACGGACGGTGCTGGCACTAATTGCACCCCGCAAGAGATGGGAGTTGCCCCCAATCCCATATCGTCCCGTCCCAGCCAGAGGACCTCTGTCTTCGAAGGATTTAACTTCAACCGGCTTCCACGTAACCATCCAGCCACAGCTTCCAAACATCTGGTCAGTGTGTCTGGGGCCGAGTCAGGATGGCCATCCATCAACAGATAGAGTTGGGTGTCATCGGCATACTGATGGCAACCCAGCCCAAAACTCTGGACAAGCTGGGCGAGGGGGCGCATAAAGATGTTAAAAAGCATCAGGGAGAGTATCGCACATACATTGCTGAAATCTGAGGGGACAGGGGATGACAGAGGTATAATGGGCACACACACCAACCTTGTTGTCTCTTTTGGACGGGATAGCTAAGTGGAGCCTGTTCAGTACATCGTGTACTTTGTTTCCTTTCATTTTGGTATCAACACGATGGGCCAGCAACCTGTCACAGGCCTGAAAACACACAAAATAGAAATTTAAAAAAAACCATGCTGATGAAAGCAGACGAATAACACGCAAACATAATGGCTCCCAATTTCTTAACGTCAGTTTCATTGAGCAGGAGTACCCCACGGGCTCCCAAATTCCATCCTTACTGTCACTGAAAAAACAGCAGGGGAAAGGAAACTGGAAGCACCCACAGGTTCACAGGCTTTCCATCTCATTACCACAGTGAAAAGGAAGCACTACATCTGCACCAGACTGGGTGTGTGTGAAATCACCAAGCAAGATGGCTGCCCTAATTCTTTAACTACTCATGAGCTATCAAACCTCCAATCTGAAATCTTAAAAAAACTGACTCTGCAGGGCAAAATCATTATAAATTTCCGGAATTTCCCTTTTAAAATTTCCTGGTTTAATCCCATCTTCCATAATATTAAGCTTAGTGTCTCTGATCTAGAATTCACCTACAGAGCAAGCCGGTGCTTGCATCAACAGGCCCATTATCACCAGACTTTTCTTCCTTTCCACTAAGGAGGCCATTTTAAAAGAACTTCGCATACTTGTCAGTCTGGAACGGGAGGGCCAAAAGGTCTCCCCAGCACATATAAAACACTCCTTTTTTTTTGGATGACCCTCTCTAGCTTGTAAATTGTTTGGCAATCAACCACCTGTTCCCTATTAAAGGGAATGGAACAATGAAGAAAGCCTATCATTAATGTTCCTCCTCTTTACAGTTGTCCAAACAGGCTTCCAGTCCAGCTGCCAGCAGCTAACGGAACAATAGGTTGGTCAAAACAACCATGAGCAAAAGGTAAAAGAGCTGGTGGTCCTATGCCATAAACATTTGCTGAAATAGGTAGGTTTTGTGGTTGCACAAGTCGCTTTTGATTGCCTTGGACAAGCTAATGCAACTAACAAATATAATAAATAATAATAATAATCAGCTTTGGATTTGGCTTCGCATTTCTCCTGCAGTGTCCTAGTGCAAGGTATTAAAGGTAAAGGGACCCCTGACCATTAGGTGCAGTCGCGGACGACTCTGGGGTTGCAGCGCTCATCTCACTTTACTGGCCAAGGGAGCCGGCATACAGCTTCCAGGCCATGTGGCCAGCATGACTAAGCCGCTTCTGGTGGACCAGAGCAGTGTCCTAGTGCAAGGTATTACTATTATTATTATTGTAGCCTTTCCCTAAGCAGCACAAATCTTTTAAATGTGGAGGAGGTCACTGTTGGTCCAAACCAATGAGTGTGTGTGTCTGGAACATAGCTTATACAAAAACAAACATACATACGACTCACTTCTGTTTTAACTTGAATCACTCCTTCTTCGGTTAGGGTGCTCGTCTCGATGACAGGAAGCCCATCTGCTTCTAAATCAGCAAACATTTTCTAAAACATGATGGACATACGTGAATTCAGTAGTGAAACGAAATGCTTAAACCCAACAAAAATATTGCTGCCTTCTATTGCTAAGGTTTCAAAATAAGCACAAGATCTTCATGAACTGGAAGATACAACAGTTATGTTAGAATGTGTCACATCGGCCGTGAAATAAATTACACATAAGCAGACCATAGTTCCATCTGTTTCCCTCCTCAAAAAATTATGGGCATGTAATCGGTTAAGGGTTGCTGGGAGTTGTTAACTTTGTGAACTACAGTGCCCAGAATTCTTGGGGGGGGGGGAATGTGCTATGGGTGTGCTTTAAATGTATTGTGCCTGAAAAGTACAGTGTGTATACAACCTAAACTGTTGCACTTCAACTCATTACTTGGGTATGTCTGACTCCGATCAGTTAAATCTGAAACCACCATCGACTAAAACTAGAAACCAAAAAATGGATTCTGTTTTTCTTTTTCACATGTGGATGAAATTTGCATGCAAAGGAACCACTGCAGGTGGATTACACCTGCCAGTTTCAGGCTAAAATGCCTGCTAAAATTCAGGAAACTGGTCCAGGGGCTATCATGCTAGGTGATATCACCTTTGGTATAAAAAAACTAGAACAGTCACCCAAGAAAGCAAGTTATGGTTTTGAGCTGTCTGTTAGGAAAAAAGATGACTGGGGGAAAAGCAGGCTACTTGTGCAGTGTGACTCTGCTGCTTACTCCCTGCTCTCACAGCCAAAATTCAGACAAGAATGAAGACCCTCACAAAGAACAACTCTTTGAAATAAACGAACTGCCTCCCCCAAATCACTCTGATTGGGGTGCAGGGGGGGAAATAATTCACAGTGAATGGAAGCTAAACCTCTTCGTCAAAATGAAAAGATCTTACCAGAACACCACCTTGTCCCCTCTCAAGTTCTGGCCGTTTCCCCAGACCACCTGGTTTCGTTTCTCAAAAAATGGTGAGGGTAAAATTGTGGGTTTAACTTTTTAGAAAAATGGAGGCGACGGAGCCACTCAGAAAATTTCGTTTGATCCTGATCCACTTCAACTTGCCTTGTTAATGGCATGACCTGACTCTGCAAAGGAGGAGTCTTCTCCATATCATCCTGATCTACCCCATTATTCAAGGTGCACTCGGAGCCAGTGCACAACCTAAAGACAGACGGACGAACAGAATTTCCTACCTGGTTTTCCTCAGAAAGCTCAGAAATCCTCTTCACGTCACATTTGTTTGCTACAATTATTAGAGGCTGAAAGTTAAAAAGGGGGAAATAACAGATTGAACTAAGCATCCGGTCTAGATTTTATAACCAAGAAGGCAGCAACTCGGCATCAGATATTAAATCCCAGCCCACCTTGTTAACAAACAGTGGCTTGATATTGCTGAAGAGTTCGAGCTGCTCTTCGAGGCTGTGCCCACACTGCTCTGATATATCCATGACGTACAGGACAGCTGAACGAAGATGGGCAAGCGCTGTTATTGCCTGCATCTCAATGGTGTTTCTCTCTTCCAGGGGATGATCCAGAATACCGGGGGTATCCACCACCTAGAATGAAGACAGACAGAATTAAAGTCCTTGATCTCACATGCATTGACAAGCAAACCAGAAATTGGGCCAGGGAGGAAAAATAGCCCCACTTCTGGAACAGCGTTTCAAGCACCTCTGCAACTCAAATACTATTATACTTTCCTCCTAAACTGCAAAACAGAAGGCAAGGATGCTGAAATGGTATCGCTCAGAATACCAAAGAAATTCTTGCTCCTACATGTAATATCAATGGCTGCAATCCCATACCCACATATCCTGCGAGTAAGTCCCATTGAACTCAGTAGATTTACTTCTAAGTAAACAAGCACAGCATCTGGCTACAGGACCCCTAGTTGAAGTCACTGTAGTCATTCACTTGGACAAACTGAAGCATGCCAACTGATCTTCCTAGGCAGATTTGGACAGGTTTGTTTTACAGTTTTGGCACAGGGTGTTATGTCTTTTGGTAAAGCTCCAGAACATGAAAGTTACATTAATCAATGGCTAGGCAGCTATGTACAGAGTGTCAACACCCTTCCAAGGGCTAAAAGCCCAGGACACTCTTTTGTAATAGGTTTATATTGCCATAGAGGATTAAAACTATTTCGTCACAACCCTCGAGTCTAGAAACTGCAGTCGCCCACATTTTCAGACAGCCTGTCTTATGTAGTCATGTGGATAGCTGAGCTAGAGTATCATCAGATGACTCAATAAGTGGTGAGAAGACACACAGGAGCTTCACCCCAATCAGCTCATCTACAGGATCACCAAATGAGCTGTGTTGGGGTCCGTGGCCGAGACAAGACTGGGCAAACATTATTAAAAAGGAGAAATTCCTTTGAAAACTGCATTGAGACAAGGGCTCAATCTTCAGAGGGTTACAGCTTGGAAGGAGTGGCCATCACTGTAAAAGAAGACTCCCAACCTAGCTTGCAGTTTGCTACAAAGGTAAAGATTGCAAGCAAGGCAACCTCCAGAGCAAACTAGTTCAATGCAGACATCATGAATCCTAATCAGCTAATTGGAAGTTCAGAAACTTTATAAGGAACTCTAGGAAGCCAAAATACGATTCACAACAAACAACACAAACAACACGATGACCAGTATACTAGATAGCACTGCAATTCTTATTGCATAATATACATAATTTGGTAAAACAAAAACAAAACGTATACACTTGTAAATTCTCTAATATATCTGAAATCAAATGAACACCGTAGAAGTATAATAAGTCTATAGTTGAAACAAAGTAATAGATGCTATCCTGTGGGCTAAGCGGTAAAACCTTTTAGGCGTTCAGGTGCCGAAGTAGTAAGTGAATAACAACGTAGGATAGTGATCCCGGATAATCTGACTGTTTCACTGGAATCTTCTTCATTACAAACCATAGATTAGAAAAATGCACAAGGAGCAGTGGTCATAAGAATATGTAACCACGATTCACAGCATTACCCTGAAGGAGAAATGCGATTCACAGCATTACCCTGAAGGAGAAAGTTCTGTCCCAACTAATTGCTACAGCAAAGTCCTTACCTGCCAACGCAGATACTTGTAATCCATGTGGCCCACAAACAGAGATTTTGTGGTGAAGGCATACGGCTGCACCTCTACATCTGCTCTTGTCACCTGAAACACAAGAAGTCCCAAAGTTGCAGCATCTCTCCATTTATAAGGCAATTCCATTTTTCAAACAAACAAGGGTCATACTCGGCTTCTTACAAGAGAAATGTCTGAGCCACTGCAGTTCAAACTAGAGCACGCTTATTTAGGTGTGAGGTAGGAAAGAGAAGATATTTTCTGTTCTGGATCTCAGACTATGTAAAACCAAGTATCTTCTGTTTAGCACTCGGGGTGGAACTTCCAAGCTCCAGGTCTCTCTATCCAGACCCTGAGATTCTCCACAGGCTACCCTCTTCCCTGGTCCTACCCCAACCTCAAGGATAGAATGTGTCCTTTTTCATGTAGTGCATAGTTAAAATATCGAAATTGCTTCCACAGCAGACTGTGATGGCCACCAACATGGAGGGCTTTAGAAGAGGATTAAACAAATTCATGGAAGACAAGACTATCAATGGTTACTATCCACCATAGTTGTGTTCTACCGCCACTGTCAAAGACATTATACTCTGAATACCTCCTGGGAATCGCAGGCGTGCAAAGTGCTACGGCACTTGTGCCCGGATGGAGAGATTGTGCATAGAAACCTCCGAGTTTTGCATAGCTTGAAAGCAGTACTCTGTAACGCATGTTGATCTGGCCCTGGCCATGACCACCACTGATATTGCAGCCCTTAAAAGAGAATGTGACCCTTTATCTACTCAAATATTTAAAATATCTATTCACTCATTAAGAGGCAGCACATCCCTAACTGAATATAAACTCAACTAAGGCTACCATCCTAAACACATTTACTAGGGAGCAAGTTGCATGCAACTCAATGGGATTTACTTCCGAGTAGAATAAGTAGCTTATGATTGCATGGTACTTTCCTTTGGCTCCGAAGCCATACAAATATCCACAAACCTTGTTTATAAAGCTGGATTTCCCAACATTCGGGTAACCACACAGTAAGAGAGTCCGTGTGTTAGGGTCGATGGTTGGCAAGCGAGATAAATGCTGACGCACTGTAAAAAATAAAGACAATCTTTCATTTGTTGAAGTCTAAAAATACTTAGCATCTGGGCACTGATGCACAATTACCAATGGCTGAGCTATGCATCTGATAGGCCCAGTGTAAGCAGAAGAGTCCTAAGCAGGCATTTTGAACAAAAGACAGTATCCACAAAGCAGTCCAATGGTGCAACAGAACATCCCTGCCGTCTCTTCGAATGTTCCGTAAATTTGTTCTGGGGCAGAAGAGTTATGGGGAGGGGGTGTTTCATTGCACAATTGGAAATGTACTAACAGCTCTTGCTTAATATTAATTGGCAAAAACTTCCACACCTTAAATGAAGACACACCAGGCTACCTACTTCTTGTAGAAGCAAGGCAAGTCTCGTATACTTTCTCTGGCTGAACATGAAGATTGGCCAGGGATATTATTGAATGGGCCCATTTCTGGCAGATTAACTTTATTACTACTAAAATTCATTGTCTAATGACAGCCAAAGTGCTGCAATGATTATTGCTGCCAGAAGAGTACTAGAACCATCACTCAGCCATGGCACTTGGGTGATCATCAGTCTGTCACTTTCTCAGACTCACAGGGCGGTTGTGAAGGCAAAGTTGGGACAAGAAGTCTGAGAGGCCGGTATGAACTTACTGACTGAAGGGTGGTATCGCAATAAAGTAGTAAGTCTGTCCTGCTATAACCCCGATATACTCCACCTTGTTCTAAGTACTCCAGGCTCTGCTTCTGTCTTTTGATGATTGTACACATCCGTCCCAGAGCAGCCCGCTTCAGCTGCTTGCATCGGTAAAGGGAATCTCCATATTTCATCAGCCGTACATAATCTTTGGCAACGCTGTATTTCAAAAACAGAAGTCAAACTTGTATTGAGGCTGCTAGAAGCTTGTTGCCCTCTCCACCATCCTAATACCTGAGCACAGAACTGGAGTGTTTGGAAAGGGTAAGTCCCAAGGAACATGCAGGCATTCCTTCATGTTCCAAATGAATGGCTTTATAAGGAGGAACCGCTAAAGACTAGGAAGCCTTTTCCAAACAAAATGTGTGTGTATGTGTTAGGCAAAGGTAAAGGGACCCCTGACTGTTATGTCCAGTTGCGGACAACTCTGGGGTTGCGGCGTTCATCTCGATTTAGTGACCGAAGGAGTGGGCATACACCTTCCGCGTCATGTGGCCAGCATGACTAAGCCGCTTCTGGCAAACCAGAGCAGCGCACAGAAACGCCGTTTACCTTCCCGCCGGAGCGGTACCTATTTATCTACTTGCACTCTGACGTGCTTTCAAACCGCTAGGTGGGCAGGAGCTGGGACTGAGCAACGGGAGCTCACCCTGTTGCGGGACTCGAACCGCCGACCTTCTGATCAACAAGCCCTAGGCTCAGTGGTTTAACCCACAGCGCCACCCGCGTCCCTATGTTTATGTGTTACAGTGATCCAAACAACAGAAATGTTTTTTGAAGCATGGACAACAACTAAATATTAAGCTCTTACTTGTCAATCAGATTTTTTGCAATGTTAATTTGCCCCAAAGCCAACTTGTAATGATCTTTGTCATAAAGAACGTTCATCAAATCTGCATAAAATGGATGGATGTCCTGGGGGGAAAAAAGAACAAAACATATGTCAATATGCAAACTTCTTAGCGATTTAACCTTTGCTAAGTAGCACAGCCAAGGTCCAGAGGGCTGACTACTTCCGCAAGCTCAAGGGAATTTTGGGCCATAGTAAACTGATTTTGAAACTAGATGAAAGTTCAAAAAAGCATTCTATGATGCAGCATAAATCCAGGAGCAGCCTGCTCATATTTCTGTTTGCATCCATTGTTTGTGGTGCAACAATGCAGAACAGGGCTTTCTCTGTTGTGGCACCCTAAATGTGGAGGTTCCTTCCTACAGGGCAGGAGTAGGGAATCAGAAGGCAGTTTTCCTCAACCATTCACCTGCTGTGTGGCTATCCATCTGACAATCATCCGAAATCAATATAATGGCAGGTGACCATAAAAAGACCCCCACCGCTGTCACAAAGATACTGCTGTCTCCTACACTATCTGTTCTTATGCACCAGATTATTTCCCTAGGCTTATCATTTGGGCTGATGTAAAATGTAAACTGTTGCTATGTTGTCTGAATTACTGATTTCTTGCTTTTTGTTTGGTTTTCATAATGGTTTTATGGCTCTTGTATTGGTTTGGGTACTTAATATATTGTTGAGTAGCGCCCTGGGAACCATCAGGTTAGAGGATGGAAGACAAACTTAAGAATAAGGCTGTGTACACATTACTAGTTTGAAATACAGCTAGGTTGTTCTTTTTCCTCAATTCAGATCAAAGGTGGTTTTAAGACAAAACACATCAAAAACAAAGAAATAACAAGATATATATGGACTGAGGCTAATGTCATCCGTACACCACTTCCCAAACCAGGAGTGGAAAAGTGCACTCAATGAAGAGTAAACAGGAGTGTGTACACAGCCCAAGAGAAAGAATAACCTGCTCAGAAGAAGAATGTCACACAATTCAACTAGGCCAGGGTTTCCCAAACGTGGGCCACCAGCTTTTTTGGGGACTACAGTTCCCATCATCCCTAACCACTGGGTCCAGCCACATAGGGATGATGGGAGTTGTAGTCCAAAAATAGCTAGAGACCAAAGCTTGGGAAACTGTGAACAAGGCTAACATAAGCTTCTTGTATGAGTCTGTGGAGCTCATTGAATCCTAGGTTAAGGTTTTTGTATTTGTTTGATGACCATAGAGAGCACAGACCTAGGCAAAAATGGAGGTTCCGCATACATAATGCACTGCAAAGATATTTACTCTCTTTAGCAAGGTCTTTCTTGCTCAACCTAGCCTTCTTTTGCATAAAAAGCAACTAGAACGATGCAACCCTAAGAAGAAACTGAACTATGCTACACCATTGACCATGTTGAAAACAGCAGATTTTAAAAGAGTGTTACAAATTAAAACAGCATTCATTAGCTCGGCCCAGGTCGGTGTAAGAGCACGCAAGCTTTCAGGAGCCAAGGAGCAATAAATTCTACAGAATTAGAAACTTGCACACTCAATGATCAACTCAAGCTGTATCAGCAGGTGGCATCTTGTCTACTGTATAATACAGTCTTTAAAACACATGATTATTCATTTTGCCAGAACGACTCAAACAAACCGCGCATATATTTTCACAGAACACTATCCAAAATCCTACATGACTCTCTCCTTCTCAATAAGCAGCAAATCATAATAAAATAAGGTTAACAGACATATCATGTTTTTAATGTCTGTTGTACAGGGCTAGTCCTTTAAAAGAGACCCCATAGATACAGAATACACATGTTCCACCGGGCCTCTTTTAAAAGACTCACCCTGTACATCGCCCTGAACTTTTCCAGAGGAAGTATCCTAAATAAATAACTTTGCTTACTGTACTTTATCAACATATGCTACATTGTTTCGGGGATTGATAGCCAAACTTCACCCTAAGCTGTCACGGGGCAAGTTGCAACATATGCGTTACATCAGTTTCATAAAGCAATAAAACAAATCCAGCAAACCCAGACTAAAGCTGATGCAAGTGTTCCCCATCTGTTATAAAAATGTCAGCTTGTGGGAACCAGGCAAAAGGGGAAGATTTCCACTTGGCACTAAAAGCTCATTAATGCCAGTGCCACTGTAAGGTACGGGCGAAGAGAATTTCACAGCTGGGGGGGGGGGCAGCTATTGAGAAAGCCCTATACCAAGTTCCAGGAATCCAGACTTCATCGGGTGATGGTGCGATCAAGAGAGACGTGCCAGCAGAACTCACCTTATTGGCAGGATACTGCAGGCATTCCCCAAGATAACTGGTCTCCAAACCATTTAGGACTTTATAGACCAATTTATAATATTGTAAAAGAAAGAACTTGAAGTAGAATTTTTCGCTCTATAAGACGCACCAGACCACAAGACGCACCTAGTTTTTGGAGGAGGAAAACAAGAAAAAAAAAATATTCTGAATCTCAGAAGCCAGAACAGCAAGAGGGATCGCTGCACAGTGAAAGCAGCAATCCCTCTTGCGGTTCTGGCTTCTGGGATAGCTGCACAGCCTGCATTCGCTCCATAAGAGGCACACACATTTCCCCTTACTTTTTAGGAGGGAAAGAGTCTTATAGAGCAAAAAATACGGTTCATAACCTTTCTCTAAGAAACCAGATATGGTTTACCCAAAAGAAAGATTTTTGCAAGATTTTTTGGCCATGTATCATGCAGAGAGTATAACACTGGGCTTAGAATAACTTTTTGTGTTCAACTGCCTCCTGCCAAAGCCACTTACATCTAGTTTTGGGAAATCCATGATGATTTGAGTGAGCCTGTCGTGGTAATTTTGTTGGGTGTATTTTACTTTTCTCATGTAAAAATGACGGATGCGGTGAATCTGGTAATGCTTATGAATTACTGTGGGCGTTTTCCGCTGCGTCTTGGATAACGTCAGGTCTATGAAGTCCTGCAGTTAAAAAACAAACGGCAAGGAAGAAGATGTGTTTAGTGTTTTCAAAGTCACCAACGTCACAATAAAACAAGAGTCAAAAACTCACATCTGTAGTTGAAAGCAGAAAAGAAGAGTTCGGTCAAGTGTGCTGCGACAGGGCAAATAACTCTGGAAAGCCCTTAAGACTAGGGATCATGAGACATGCAGTCATTGCCTGCTTGCCTCTGAACAAAATGTTTCAACCCACCGTTAAAAGAACAGCAATTTCACATAATTTTACTGATACTGATTGTGCTTAAAAATCCACTCCAAACCCCTTCATTGCCCTAACAGACTTGCTCTCTGTTCTTAAGCACATATGCATCAAAGTTCCACTAATTTCCATCATAACTCATTTCAATATAAAGTGTCAACATCAATCAATCAAGTATTTTGGGGATAAATTATGCGTTCTTCAATTCCTTAATAAAATCTACAGTAGAAAAATACATGAGAGACTGTTTCAAGCTCTCTCATGTTCCTTAAAAGGCTCCTTAAAGAGAACCATAGCAAATCTGCCATCTAGGATCTTGGAGGGTAAAATGTACCAAAAAACCTGATCTTCTACATGTAGGTACTGTTAGAAAATTTAGATACAATATGTTTGTTAGAAGCAGGTCAACTCCAGCCCATTGAGATTAAAAGTATAGCTTTTAGATCTACAGACTTAGTCACTGAGAATTAACAGCAATTGGGAAAAAGCTTAATTTAATACAACAAACTTAATATAACAAATACAGCAAGCATGCTTCCTGACCCCAGAAATAAAGCATTCTAGGCAGTCTTCACGAACTCAATGTCTTCCATCTGTTTTGGACTACAACTCCCATCAGCCTCAACAAGAATGGCTGTGCTGGCTGGTGGGAGTTGTAGTCTCAAACAGATGGAGGACACCAGGTTGCTTAAGGCCATCTTAACTGCAATGAAATAATGCTTCAGAAAGTTAAAATCTTTTTCTTTCTTTCTTTTTTTTAAGGAAAGCAAATGTTCATGTGATTTTAACAGCCATGCAAAAACATGATCTTCCACTATGCTGCATCAGACCATTGCTTCATCTAGCATAGTACCAACAGATCATCTGGATGGTGATGCTTGCTTCTCTACTAGGCCTGGGAACAAGCAAAGGAAAGGGTGCTGTGCTTCAGGCTCCTGACACTGTGTACCAAAAACATTTAAGGACATACAATGACTGGGGAGAATTTATCAGAAACTGAAAGCCCATCAAGCACTGATCCTGTAGCTTCCACCTCCAGAACAGAGCCCTCGTTTCACTTCCAAGAACCATGGGTGTGAACCAACACAGAAACACCCATTCAGTTTAATTCCTCTCATGGAATGTTACAAGAGTAATTCAGATAAGCATCACCTTGTACAAAAAGGAGCCGCTAGCAGTATAGCACTATTCTCTCATCACTCGTTTCTAGTGGGAGGAAGGAAAGCCATTTGCACTGGGCAAAACAATATTGGAAGAAGGGCAAGCAAGCTGAGAATAGAGCTGCAAAAAAATAAAATAAAGGCACCACCTACAGCAAATATTCTGTGGGGGTGGAGATAGGGAGTGGTGCTATATTAAGACAGCTGGAGTCTTCTGCACACATGGAGAGGTTGCCCAGAAAAGTGAGGAGACTTCACCAATTCACAGTGAGGATGCACCTGCCACATTCACCCAAGACTGTCATCTGAAGTGCCAGCAGGTGATGATCAAATGAAGCCCTTCTCAATGGTGGCTTCCCTTGAGAATGACCCCCAAGGAAACATGCCTGGAAACCCCTCTGCTATCACTTAAGCACCAGGCCAAAAAGAAAAGTACAGTTCTTTCCCCAGATTTAATTTTTTTTTTTTAAAGTCAGCCTTTTTAAAAACAAGAGCAATTTTATTTAATTGTCTGTTTGATTGCAGCTTTCAGCCATTGCGCCTGCTTTCATTTGCTTATTTCCCTGTTGTTGTTTTTTATGTATTTTTATTAAAGATTTTCTTGGTTTACAAAAGTACCTCTTTTTTTCTTTCCAAGTAACATTTTTTACAGATCAGTTTCATTTGTTGAGAGATTATTTGCCCATTTTTTTTGTTGTGCTTCTGTCTTAACAGCCACAGTTGTGAGAAATCTCTGGCCCAACCAGACATCACTGAACTACGACCCCCCTCCCACCCCTCGCTGCTGGCCACACTCATGGAAGTTGTGATTCAGAAACATTTGGAGGGCCAAAGGATCCCTAGTTCCTTGCTTAGCACATTAGGAACAAAAAACCACATCAATAATTGAGGGGTTCCTGGCAAAACCATTCCTTTGGCAGCAAGCCTTTAACTATCTGCAGCCTTTTAGAAGTGGCAGGTGAGAAGTTTTCTATGCATTTCTCTTCCCTTTAAGTTTAACGTGGGGTTTGCTGCCTATTTGACTGGTTGTTAAGTCGCAAGATTAAAGCAGCTGATAGGATTCTGTGTTGAGATTCCTGAATGGCAGGGGGGTGGGACTAGATGACCCTCGGAGGACCCCCTTTCCAAACTCTACGATTCTGCGACAAATTTAATACATAAACAGTGTCACTATTAGGATCACTACTTATTCCTACCCCTCGATGGCACCCAGGGTCGGATTTAGGTTTGATGAGGGCCTAAGCTACTGAAGGTAATGGTAATTTATATGTTCAGCTGTCCTTTGTCAACAACAAATTGTCGCTGTTTTTTGTGTTGAATATAAGTTATATGGTAATTTATGGACCTAAAGCCATTTGCTCATAACAAGTTATGTATTTTATCAAAGTAACGGATATAGAAATGAGCAAACCAGTGATATTTTAGGGAGCAGGCTAGCAGCCAGGGCCCATTACTTACATCATAGGAGCCTACACAACCCAAAACACTGTTGCTGTATGCAGGTTTTATTTTATTTTGTTTTTTATCTTATATTTTGGAAATGTACATCCAGGTTTTTTTCCATGAAATCTTTTTGGGGGGCACCAAGAGAGTGGGGCCCTAAGCTACAGTTTGTTTAGCTTACACGTAAATCCGGCACTGCTGGTACCAGATGCAGCAACGCTACAGGCAGAAATTCAACAGGCAGAGCTCCCCCCTCCCAAAAAAACACACACTGTGGAGCAGCGCAGCCGCGAGAACAAGAGAACCAATGAGGGGCCAGGCACGTCACGTGGCTTCCCCCTTCTCCGGCACGTGGCCTCTCCCTCCCCCCCCTCCTGCCACGCGCTAACCGGGGCCGCCGTGTTCCGACAGAAACGGCGCAGCCGCAGTCCGAAGCCCCCGCGCGCCGGTCGAATCCCGAAAGAAGGGAGCCGTCCTCCTTTTACCTTGGCAGACGGGACGACCATGATTTTCTTGAAGTTGTAGAGCGCCATGGTTGCGGCGTGTCCGTCCGGCCCCTTTGCCGGAGTTAAAGAGAGAGGGACACGGGGACCGGAAGGGGAAGAAGGCAGGACGTCCGGTTTCGTCCGTTTTCGCGAGAGGAAACGAGACCGGAACGAGAAAAGCTTGCTGCGCACGCGCAGATACGGACTTGAGCGTCAGTTACTTATTGGAAGTTATTAATCGGAAAAACGCTGTAGTAGAACGGAAGTGACTCTTCTCTTTTCCTAGGTCTAGAAAGCGCCGTTGGGAAAAGCGGCTCCTGTTCCATCGCCAGTAGCGGTCCTGTAGCGCCGCCTGGGCTTCAAAGGTATGAACTGCAGCGTCATTTGCCAAGCCAGCATGAAGCCCAAGCAATTCTACATAGCGCGGATCACAATTATTTGATACATGAAGGAGGGTGTACGTGTGTACGTAACGCCACGTATCACATTACATACATAGGCTACATTTCAAAAACAACGCTTGCAACCTTATCATGAGTTGGTCTCAAACGTATTTCAAATGCAACTAAACTGCAAGGATTACTATCATAGTCAGGTGGGAAACGGGGAATTGGCACGCTAATATTAATTTAAGGGCCACAGAGTTCTTATTTCAAAAACTTATTTTCTCCCGAATTTTCAAACACACAGCAGCTAATAATGAATCACACAATATTAAGATGTATCACAACAACAGGACATCTGGAAGGGCTGTTAGAGGAATACAGTGGTACCTCGGTTTACGAACTTAATCCATTCCAGAAGTCCGTTCTTAAACCGAAACTGCTTTTAAATCGAGGAGCGCTTTCCCTAATGAGGCCTCTGGCCGCCGGTGCCCGTCCACTGTTCGGATTCTGTTCTTAGACCGAGGTAAAGTTCTCAAACCAGGACACTATTTCCGGTTTTGCGGAGTTTGTAAACCAAATTGTTCCTAAACCGGACTGTTCTTAAACCAAGGTACCACTGTACAACTCTTATTGAGACCAACTGAAAGGGGGTAGGTAATTCTGGACTGGGCAACCTCTGAAATATCACTGGGGGGAAAGGTTGAAGATCTGAGGAGTTAAAATACGCATTTGTATAACTCCTTAGCAGTATCAGAGACACATTTTATTCTAGGCTTCTTTAGAATTTGCATTGTTCCCTGGTCCTGAACTAAAATTGCTATACTAAACCAGTGGTCACATATAAATCTTTATTGAAAATGTGTGTGTGAAGGATCCTTTATTACGCAAACAAAATGTCAATGAGCATGCCTCCAGGTCATCATTGTGTGTTCACACTCCTGATTACTCTACAGTGCACTCACACTTCTGGTTTGTGAAGCTGTGTACACACGTTAGCCACAAACCACATCTTGAGAAACACTGTTTTAATGCATTTCCCCTGGAAGCCATCTTCAGTCTGATTCAAAAATCTAAGCCATATGAAGACATCTTTCCCACCTACTTGTGTGGACAGCAGCTGATCTGGAAACATTTTCAACCCATTCTGACATGTAAAAGTGATCTGAAGTTCATTGGAGGTGGGTAGGAACAACCTTACTGCATTATAAACTGGTGATGTATACACAGCCAAAGTGAGTTGGGGACAAGGCCATCACATTGTTTCATTGCATGTGTTTTAACTTATAGGGATATAACTTTCCCCTCCTGAGAGCCAGTGTGATGTAGTGGTTAAGAGCGGTAGTCTCCTAATCTGGTGAACTGGGTTCGATTCCCCGCTCCTCCACATGCAGCTGCTGGGTGACCTTGGGCCAGTCACACTTCTCTGAAGTCTCTCAGCCCCACTCACCTCACAGAGTGTTTGTTGTGGGGAAGGAAGGGAAAGGAGAATGTTAGCTGCTTTGAGACTCCTGAAGGGGAGTGAAAGGCGGGATATCAAATCCAAACTCCTCTTCTTCTTTCTTGCCTGCAGTTAAAAAATTATCTCGAGCCCAGTATTGCTGTGTGTGTATGTAGGCTGGTTCTTACAGCTTTAAAGGCCAATATTGGTCCCTGTGACTTAAGTCTACTGTTGTGTGCTTACTTTCCAACTGCAAATTTAGCTGCACTGTATTTTTGCCTTCAAATGGAGCCCAGGTAGACAAAATCGTCTACCGCCCCAAGCATGTGGTCATTAATGCTGATGCGTGGCGTGTGGGTGATGTCCTGATCCAGGATGTTGGTCTTCACATGGCAGGACAGTCTCTCAAACAAGGATGTGCTCTCCCAAATCCACATCTCCAGCATATTTGCACTCCTGTCTCTGCAACATCTATGCTTGTAGAAATAACGGAGCCGACATGGGAGTTGGGATGCTAGTGAGCTGTGCGGGAGCAAGCTGACTGCTAGCTTAGTGTGGTGCCACACTGTGCCAGAGCCAGTGTGGTGTAGTGGTTAAGAGCGGTAGTCTCCTAATCTGGTGAATGGGGTTCGTGTCTCCGCTCCTCCACATGCAGCTGCTGGGTGACCTTGGGCTAGTCGTACTTCTTTGTAGTCTCTCAGCCCCACTCACCTCACAGAGTGTGGGGAAGAAGGGAAAGGAGATTGTGAGCCGCTTTGAGACTCCTTAAAGGGAGTGAAAGGCGGGATATCAAATCCAAACTCCTCTTCTTCTTCTTAGCGGAGGCTCTTTTTATTAGCAAGATATGCAAAACCAGGAAGATACATTCAGGGCTTTGCCCTTTACACTTCTCCAATCCCGAGACCCCTGGGTGTTGCCTATTTATCTACACAACTTGCTCCACCACGTCATGTTCCCATTACAGGGGGAAATGAGCAATACTTTTGGCAAAGGAGATAAAGGTCAGGGCACTGAACACTGCTGAGGAGACAAAAGGTCAAGGAGTGGGCATGGCAGCTAGATAGCTGTGGCTTGTCTTATGCTGCAGGGGAAGGTGTGCCATCAGCCTGCGATGCCATCCCTACAATGCTGGCTTGATCATGTCTACGGAATGGAAGATGGCAGGATCCCCAAGGATGTGCTCTATGGGGAGTTGGCTTCCAACTTCACCCCCAAAGGTGCACTCTTCCATTCTCTCCCAAGACGCATGGATGCTAACCAATAGGTATCAAGTGTTTAGGAAGCATGGAGGGCGGGGGGCTGCAAGGACCAGCACTCATGCTGTGCCCCATTTCTATGCTCGTCACCTTCCACACCGCCTTGGAATCCTCTCAATAATGGGTGGTTAAGAAATATTCTGAATAAATGAATTAAATAATTTTGTAAAAAAGCAAATTTTGTAAAAATGCTGTGTGTCTCCAGTACTATTCCTCAAAAAGAAGCCTGACCCAGACAGAGCTGCCCCTGGACTCTCTCGCTACTAGGGGGCCATGCGTATGAGAGTCTTCATTTACAGTGGTACCTCGCAAGACGAATGCCTCGCAAGACGGAAAACTCGCAAACCGAAAGGGTTTTTGGTTTTTTGAGTTGCTTCGCAAGACGATTTTCCCTATGGGCTTGCTTCGCAAGACGGAAACGTCTTGCAAGTTTGTTTCCTTTTTCTTAAAACCGTTAATACAGTTGCGACTTGACTTCGAGGAGCAACTCATAGCACGCGGTGTGGTAGCCTTTTTTGAGGTTTTTGAAGACTTTGGTGATTTTTGAAGCTTTTCCAAAACTTTTCCGACACCGTGCTTCGCAAGACGAAAAAAACCGCAAGACGAAAAAACTCGCGGAACGAATTAATTTCGTCTTGCGAGGCACCACTGTATTTAGACAATTTATATACCAGCTCATTACAGTTGGCTAAAAGGGGTGTTCATAAAACTCAACAAATGCAATCAAGATCAGTTGCAAACCAACTATAAAATTAAAAATTTAGTTAAAATGCCTGCTAGATTTGAGAGAGAGAGAGAGTGAGTGAGTCTTCAGCAGCACGTGCTGGAAGTTTTGTAGGGAGGGGCTCGTGTCTGATATCAGCTGGGAGTTCCAGAAAATTGACCCTACAATACTGAACACATGCTGAACATGGCTCCTTTGCAATATGATCTGTACATCTGAGCTATGGGGGGGGGCCACTAACAAATACCTCAGTGATCGGACAGGGATATAAGGAATCAGGTGTGGACTCAAGTCATTAAGGACATTGTAAATTAATACAAGAACTTTGAACTCAGCTCAGTAGCATATAAGCAGTCAGCATAAGTACCACAGGTACCGGTATGTGCTAGCGATAGTACATGGCAAAAACTCAGTACTATTTGTATTGGTACATGTAGCAGCCTGGAAACAACACTGCTTCTCTGAACAAGTGTACAACATTCTTTTGAGGACCACAACCCCTTAGTCAACCACTAGGCTTCAAGAGTTGTGGGCAAGCGCCTCCAACCAAACTTCTCCTCTTTTTACATAGCAAAGGATCACATCCACCACAAAACTAATGAAAGATAACGTTAAAAACAAACAACAGTTTATTCTGCTGTTTCTCAACACCCCCGTGGTATCTTCTCAGCTGCTCTGGGCAAATTATAACATCTTGGCAAGTGTCAGTGTATCTGAACAGCATTTATATTCCAATCAGCTGGGCAATCAACTAATCCTTTTCGCCGTTTAATTTCAGTAATGAATAAATGAACAACACTTATCACAAACAAGGCTGATAGAGCCACAAGAGTTATGGTCCTTGAAGCCTATTTATGACCGGCTTATTTATCACCCTGGAGAATGAATGTCTTTATATAAAGGCTTTTTAATTCATTCACGTCCTTCAGCCTGCTTTGTTGAAAGCGGTGTGAAGATTGAAGCGTCGTCAAGATAAGGGTTCGGGATTGCGTCTGTGCACCAAGAGGCTGAGCGATGTACATAAAAGAATTCTGTTTTATATTATGAACACAAAGGTGAGGTTGATGGCATGCGACAAGTTAATAATCACTTGCAAATCTGCAAAGGCATTAATGTTGCTTATTGAGCTGGAAGCGCACTTCCAAAGGCTTGCACTCCTTTGTTCAATAATGCCTTCTCCCAAACCCGGCTCCTACAAGTCCCCTTCAACTGAATAAATGGGGGGGGGGGAGAGGTTGTAGGGTATCAAAGGCACCTGCAGTCAAGTTGGGTAAGAGAGGGGAGGATTCTTCTCAACACAAGTAGGATCTCCAGGTTGCTTAGTCCGTTAGGGAACAGATACATTCTAAAAGGACAGGTTTTATACTGTTTGGTTTGACTTTATTGAACATACAGCAAAATCAAAAGATCCCAACAGTATGCACTTGTATATGGAATTAATAAGGACCATCTTGTCCTGGGGGGAAGGGGGAAGAAGCAGTAACAACTTTTTCTAAGCAAGCAAGTTGTCTTTTCCATTCTAAAGTAACTTTAAGGAGGGGGAGATGCTAATTTTAGATTTTATTTACTATTTGTTGTTGCTAGGATTAATGTGTGTGCCGTGAAAAATGGTCCACGGCTGTTTCTCTCCCCACCGCCCCACCCCAATTATCTGTAACCATATATACTTAATGTTTTACTCAATGGGGGAAAATTGAGAAGAAAAAAAAGAAACTCTGGTTATTCAATGGTAGATATTCCTTTATTCACCATTGTATTCATGGGAGGGGGAGTAACCATGGAAACAATGCCATGATATCTTACCTAGTGGCGAGACTTTCCTGGAAGGGAAAAATGAAAAGTGACCAGGAGCTGGGTAGAAAAAAAACTTATTTTCCTATTATATATATTTTTCCTCATTTCTCTGTGAAAGTAACCCTGCCCAACATAAAAAGCTCATGAACTCTACCTTCACCTCTCCAATAAATATCACAATGAACAATTTTAAGCATCATAGTTTCTATTCAGCCAGAACCAATGACGATGCAATGAAAAGAATGATAAAGAACTCAAGCGAGTGCCTTCCTGCTGCAAAAATGCAACAGCATTCTAAAGGCACCTTCTGGGTGACTTGCCATGCTCCCTTTTTGTAATCTGTCATCTTAATGCTTTAATGATTTTCTCCCCCAGCCCTGTTATCAGAGCAGACCCAGCCAAAAGATAAAGAGCTGGATCTGACTCCGTAAGCAGGATTTCAATCAGCTGCACCTACATATATTATTGACAGCAGCCAAGCTGCCTAGGGCTGAAGTCAGGTGCAAGAGCTATCGCTAATATCCGGTTGTACTGCATACCAGAAAGAATTCAAGCCCATCTCCTAAGTCTCATTTGGATTACTTCACTTCTGGGAACGATGCCAGAAATTATGCTGTTACGAGAAACAGTGCAACAGAGCGCTGAAACGCAAGACCGGGAAACCCTGGGTTCAAATCCTCACTCAGCCATAAAATCATAATACTAATTACAAATATTAATATTTGTACCCCGCCCATGTGACTGGGTTGCCCCAGCCACTCTGGGTGGCTTCCAACAAATATAATAAAACAGCAAACATTTAAAACTTCCCTAAATAGGGCTGCCTTCAGGTGTCTTCTAAAAGTCAGATAGTTGTTTATTTCCTTGACATCTGGAGGAAAGGCATTCCATAGGGTGGGTGCCACTACCGAGAAAGTCCTTTGCCTGGTTCCCTGTAATTTTGCTTCTCGCATTGAGGGAACTGCCAGAAGGCCCTCGGAGCTGGACCTCCGTGTCCAGGTTGAACGATGGGGGTGGAAACACTCCTTCAGGCATACAGGGCCGAGGCTGTTTAGGGCTTTAGGGCTCAGCACCAGAGAATCAAATTGTGGAGCTGGAAGGGACCATGAAGGTCTTCAGGTCCAACCCCCCTGCAAAGCAGGAATATTTTGCTTCCCATGCAACAGATAGTTAAAAGCCAAAGGCCTTATTAAAAAAGGAATGTCTTTGCCTGGCAACTAAAGATGTGTAACGCTGCACATTAGACCAAAATGTCTGCAAATCTTAAAACAATGAAGAGATGCAATTTGGTAAAACACAAACTTCTTTTGTTAAGCGATCTAGATTGCCTTGTTTTCTCGTGTTATCGTTTTTCATTGCTGTTATGGCCAGGGGCCTCAAAAGCTGGATGTCAGTGGACCTCTGAGAGAGCCCAGTTCCTGCACCTTGCTGGCTAAAGGCTGGTAGATGTTTTCTCAGTGGGAGCTGATGGTTTAAGAAACCAGGACATTTCACACTGCTAGTAACAAGGGCAGCCCTGGTAGCAAACTATCTGGGAACCTCCAGACTTTTTTTTGGGAGGTAGGGATTCAAGGGCAACCTGTTTACAGTTTGGTAAGTCCAGGAGGAAATGCACTGATACGTGTGGGATGAAAAAAGACTAATGAAAAGACATACAGACACCCAGCAAGCAAATCCGGCCATTAGTTAAACTTGCTTCCTTGCCAAATGTCCACCCCTCTACTGGGCCATTTCCCACACACTAGAGTAGCTAAAAAGGTAAAGGTAAAGGACCCCTGACAGTTAAGTCCGGTCACAGATGACTCTGGGGTTGCGGCGCTAATCTCGCTTTACAGGCCGAGGGAGCTGGCGTTTGTCCGTAGACAGTTTTTCCGGGTCATGGCCAGCATGACTTAAGCTGCTTCTGGTGCAACGGAACACTAAAACCAGAGCAGCACACAGAAACGTCCTTTACCTTCCCGCCAGAGCGGTAACTATTTATCTACTTGCATAGGTTGTCAGGAGCTGGGACCGAGCACCGGGAGCTCACCCCGTTGCGGGGATTCAAACCACCGACCTTCTGATTGGCAAGCCCAAGAGGCTTAGTGGTTTAGACCACAGTGCCACCTACGGCCATTTCCCACACACTAGAGTAGCTAGCTTTTACTTATTTCCTTGTTCCTGTGCCTTTAAAAGGTAAAGGGACCCCTGACCATTAGGTCCAGTCGTGGATGACTCTGGGGTTGTGGCGCTCATCTCGCTTTATTGGCTGAGGGAGCCGGCGTACAGCTTCTGGGTCATGTGGCCAGCATGACTAAGCCGCTTCTGGCGAACCAGAGCAGCGCACGGAAACGCCATTTACCTTCCCACCGGAGCAGTACTATTTATCTACTTGCACTTTGACGTGCTTTGAACTGCTAGATTGGCAGGAGCAGGGACTGAGAAAACGGGAGCTCCCCGTCACGGGGATTCGAACCACCGACCTTCTGATTGGCAAGTCCTAGGCTCTGTGGTCTAACCCACAGCCCCACCTGCGTCCCATTCCTGTGCCTTTAACTGCACTTAATGTGATCAAGCCCCTCAAACTTTTCTCTTTTCTGGATCCCTAAGCCAGGAAAGGCTTCACTTGACTTTTGAGTCCATCCTGTCAGCCCTTTTGTGTCTCACTGTTTTCTTCCTAGTGAGGGAACCACCAGCCTGCCTTCCTTCTTAAAAGGTTTTCAGTACAATTCTCCAGCTAGAGCACTGGGCTTTTATGCTGATTGAGGTCAACTGGGATCCACCAGCTACGAATGACCCCAATCAATTTTCTCTTAACTTAGACTATTGCTTTACACTCACACACAGTTAGCTCAGAAGTCATTTCTATCTCCCCAGATGCTCTCAAAGACTTTTACACTGACAACAGGACTTTTTCCTTTTTCTCTGTGCTTAACATCCCTCTACACAGAATGCCCTGAATTTCTCAAGTGAAAGTCATTATCAAAAATATTTCTATTAATCTGAATGAGAGCTCCCGGTGACTGAATTTTTAAGCCTAAGGGACACGCTGGTATAATTCAAATTGCATTGAGGTTTATGTTAGAGTTGCTGCAATAGAACCTCTGGTCAGGACATTATGGAGAGTCGAAACGTATTTGCTCTCCACCACAAGAATGAGTTTCAAAGCTTTACTGAGGAACAGTTTTAAAATAGTTACAAATAAATGTTTACAAAATATTTAGTAACACATTGCTCTTAAGCAAGCAAGCAAGCAATGTGGTCTTGTCTTCTTTTTAGTCCTGAATACAGTTCAGGACTAAAATAATTTTCCTCTCTGTGCTCCCAGAGATAGATCCTAAGCAACTTGCTTCTTCATCATCCCAGAACTGAGATTCTGCTGCTCCTGGCTCCATTGCTGACAAAAATACTGAGTTCTCGGGTCTCATTTCCCTGTTGTAAGAGATCTGCAGTTCCGTTTCTGGATGAATCAACAATTAGCATAAAGGCTGAAACGGAAACATACAAACCTTTCTGCCGCATTTTCCAGAGTGAAACCTCCCATGCCTAATGAAAATGTCTCTTTGCAAAATGTTTTCAGACACAATGCATACAAACTTTACATTTTATGCATATTAAACTTATATCTTTAACAGTTTATTACAACCAAATGGTATATCATTTTTATAAAATAGATAAATAAACAATCAGGAGATCAAAGAATTGGAAGGGACTCAAAGATATAGCCTACCCCACACCCCAAACTCACAACAATACTTTGAATTTTTTCCCAAGAGGAGAGAAAAAAAACCCAACACTGAAACAGTAGAAGTAGAAGTAAGTTTGAGGATATACACTTGCGAATCGCTCATAGCCTTGACTTGGAGGATAACATATAAACTTTTACTTAAAGATTTATTCCAGTTATATGCCCCTTATATATGCCAAATGTTGCTTCCCTAAAATTCATCTCTGTCCTTGGCATTTTAAGAAAAAATTGTTGTGGGGTATTACTGCATGTTTTTAAATTTAACACCTTTGAATTACTGATAAAAGCTGAGGCTGAAATATCTAACAAAATAATTATGTCCTTACCTGATTTGTCAATCACTTCTTTTCTCATAAGTTTTCTGTGAGAGGTTGCATCCTCCTAAGGATCCAGAGCTCATCTGAATGCATAACCATTCTACCATTTTTCATTCCATTTTTATGTGGATAAAGTTCCTGTGTACCAAAGTAAGTTACAAATCCATCGACAAGCATATGCAGCTGCTTCTACAGAACAAAAAAAGCAGGTATTCAGCACTGTGAATTTAAAGTAGCTATCACCTTGAGTTTATTAAGGACAAATCTACAGGGGGCATTTGTCCTAATGGCTTGATGTGGAATCTATTCCATACATAGAAGTTAAAAAGCTTAATTGGGCAAACTGAAAGCTTGATCTTTGACTCTAGACAACTTGAGTGCAAGTAATGGCTATTCAGAGGTTAATTTTCTCCATCTCATAGGCAAAGAGGCTTTTCTGTCTATGTTGTCTCCTTTAGATGCAGAATGTGAGCTCTCTATACAGGATGGCAGTTTATATTTTTTGAAACCATTCCAGCGGCCTGCCTGCATCAGTATGTATGGGGCAGTGGTTCCTAAGTTATTAAAAACCAGATTCTCTCATTTGCAATTATCGTTACAAAAAGGCATCAATGCTAATGAGCCAAAGAGCTTTGGAGTGTAATGAGTATGTCACTCAATGGATTATAATGCACTTACGGCAGCCTGACTACTCCACTCTCAGTAACGCAAAGCATAACACACATCAGCCAAGGATTATTTCCTCCCCAGCTCTGAAATAACTTCCCACTTTGACAAAGTAGAGATAAATGCAGATTGTGCTCAAGGCCTGCAAATCCTACAGGCAGGGGATTGTCCGTACCACGAGGCAACCCTAGGCAGTTATGCAGAGACACACTTTTTTAGAGAGAGAGAGAGAGAGCAGTGTTTTTGTTGTTGCCAATGCACGCGACAGAACAGACAGGGCAGGAGAAGGAAAGATGCTACCGGGCTAGTGGTAGGAGACAAGTAAAAAATTAGGTAACAGACACTGAGGCTGTTACCAGCTTAAAATGCAGCCAGGTTGATGTTTTTATGAATTCAGATCAAATCAGGTTCAGGGAACAAACGCATAAGAAATGGCAGGATAGAAATGGGATAGATGCGGATTGTGGCTAACGTCGTATGCACACTACTTTTCAAACCAGAGGTGGCAGCGCACTATGTGAAGAGTAAATGGGAGTGAGAGAGGGGTTCATTGTGTTGTGGGCTGCAGTCAGCTTCACCACCCACTACATCTCTCAGACGTAGGATTGCCAGAGTTCCGGGTCTGACCTGAAGTCTACAGGTTTTTCCTGGCCTCCTCCAGATGGCAGGTGGAAGGCTTGAACGTCCAGGAGCGTGGGAAGGACAATAAACAACAACAACAACAACAACAATAATAATATTAATAATAATAATGTGACTGTACATGCAGCTCGCAAGCCGTAGAAACTACTGTGTCAGCTTTGACAATAAAGAGTTAACTATCTGCCATGTCCATTCCTTTGGCTGGGAGGCAGTGCCTTGATAATGGACCACTTGAGAACCAATGAAGCTCTTGAAGGACCACTTAGTGATTTTTCTGCCTCTTATAGCAATTACAATGCGCTAGATGCTGTATGATTTTTAATTGCATTTTTACTGCATCGTTTATTCATATATATACTACCCTGCTACATTAAAATTTGGATTCCATGGAATACAATAAAATGCAATATAAGAAATAAAAGAAGCAATAGAAACACAATTTAAAATCAATATGAATATTTAATGTGATGGATGTGCTGCTTCCAGTCTTCAACCTCAAATCCACAGACATGTCAGAGACGACCTCAAAGATGCCTGTGGACTGCAGACAACAAATTGGGAGCTCCTGCCATATAGGCTTCATGCTACTTATCACTTGTTTCAACCCTTTTGTCTTGAGAAGATTAAAACATTGATGAGTTACAGAATGACCTAAATTGGTTGCAAAAAGAATATTAGCACCAGGCAAGTAGATGGTGAAAAGTTTAGGCTTAAGGTGGGGCCCAGGTCTGAAAAGAATAGGGCTCCTAGTATTCTCCTTTCCTGGTCCCAGTCAGATCCAGATCTGCTTTGTTTGATAATGGCTAAATGATATAGATAACCTTTGACCAATTAATAAAAATGGGAACTTCGTGAAATGAAAACAAAGCACAGCTCTAATAAGAGGTATGACAAGACTCTTGAGTCATATGGAAAAGCTGCTACTAAAGTAAATTCAGCAAGCAGTGAACCATGTTATAATTTGTACTCTCATCCTTTGCAAGCAGTTCAGCTGCTGAGACCTTGACATTTTGGTGAGATGAGAGTATCAAGCCTAGAAACATAGGAAGCAATCAATAAACAACCACAGCATGCTTGACAGAAAGAATTGAATGTATGAAAAAGTGTTCCCGTGTTGCAATTAAACATCAAATTGGTGGGCATCAGTCTCCAAAATATGCCCACCATAAACCTATGTTATGAACAACAGATCTCCCTGGATTAATGCAAAAGAAGAGTGTTGTGCGCTAGAAGCATATCCATAGTTATTATCCATAATGGGATTTGGGCTGTTAGGTAAGCCTGTGAAGCAGTAGGTGGATTACTCACTTCCTTGTTTTCTGCAACTCTTTCCATGGAAATGGGAGGGAAATGGTCAAGGTCTGCTATGGCGTAAAATCCTTCTCCTCCTCCTCATTTTCTTCCACATATAGAGGTTAAAACAGCAGCCAAGCAGAACAGCTGAATTAACAAACCTTCCCTTGACGCATATCTCTTTATGAGCTGGTCAGTCAACTCATTTGCTCAGGACAGAGCTGTTGTTGCTATCAGGTCAGCTGCTGGTCTACAAGTTGGTAATCTAAGGGTTTAGCAGACAAAGCAGCAGCAGCTGGTGCCCATTGGCACTGGTAGGGTGGAAGGTAGGGAGGCCAACAGTAGGTGGCGCCAGAGTCAATGAGAGGCAGAGCCAATCCACTCTAGTTGTCTCCCCATCCTCCTCCCAACTCAGTTCTACAAGGACAACGCTGAGCCAAAGGGGGGGGGGGGGAGCTGACAGCCAGAACCACCCCTTGGACTGGTTGTTAAGTAGGAAGGCAGGCGGGTGGGGGTTGGCTGAAGGCAGACAGAGGCTGGTGGGACAGTGCCCCATTTGCCATAATGGAATATCCTCCGCTGAAACTGTTTCAACCTCCAAACTTCCTCTGATGAACTAACGGATAGATAGCTAGAAAGAGTGCAAGGGCACACTATTGAGAGAGCCACATTAAGCACATCCAGCACACATTTAAAGAGTGCAACTTCTCCCAAAAAATCCCCTTCACAGAGCTACAATTCCCAGCAAATTCCCTTAACAAACTACAGTTCCCGGGATTCTTTGAAGAAAGTAATGAGCTTTAAATGTATGGTGTGTACACAGTCACTTTTAGGGAAGAAAGAATGCTCAAGACTTCTCCTTAAATAAGGAATACAAATTTGTGCACAAAACAAATCAGGAAGTGGAACATAAGCGTAACAGAGACAAAGGCTGTGCACCCACCAAACATTTAAAGCACCCCACCTTGAAACCTGGGAATTGTAGTTTGCCCACCATAGAGCTGCAATTCCCAGCACCCTTAACAAACAATAGTTCTCAGAATTTGAGAAGGGGGAATATTCCTTAAATGTATGGAATGTATGCAGTCAAAGGTTTTTGTGAGATGTAAATGGCACCCTGTTTGCATACAAATATCAGTTGCAGACTTAGGGCAAATCACTATACAGTACTTCAGCATTAGCTTTCATTACCTATAAAATAAATGTGAAATATTTACATACTTCAAACCATTAGTTGTAAATAATGATCATAAACCAGTCTGCACACATAAGAAGCAGTAGAAACCATTTAAAATTGTTATGGTCATTGGTTGATAGACAGGACTGCATGTGAAGGGAAAGGGTTAAAGTCACTTTGGGTTGTTGTTTTAAACAGAAAAACAGCACAGGCTAAACTAAAACTTGTTGCTGCATGTTAAGTAAGATCCTGCTTCATCAGAGGTAATGTTTAACCTGGCCATTTCCCCTGGATTTATCCTGCCTTTTGAGGGAAGCACTTTCCCTTCCTCTGACCGAAAAGTAGCTGATCCTTTGCTGAATCTAAAGGGCATAAAATAGTCTCTAGATCAGCCTAGGAGTGGATCAAGTCTGGCAGTTCAAAAGCAGATAGTTCCAAGCAAAGCAACGCGATTTACTCACGAGTATATATCTCTTAAGATAATGCTATAAATACACGCCACTGGTCCAGTCTGACAGCTCTGGCTCAAGAGGGTGTGACTCTATTGAATTGCTGTCATGCTGCAATTAAGATGGGTGTGCTTTGCCCGGCACACCACTGTGAGCTTCAGTGCTCTGGAATGTCTCCTTGCACACTCCTCCAAGTAGCCCTTCCGCTTGGGAGTGTGAGATAGCAGCCTAGGAGTGAGCTATCAATGCCAATCAACCGAAAGACCAAAAAAATGATAAAGTCAGCAACCTCCTTCTTGAGGATTGTGAAGTGATGGGAACAGCCATTATTAGATTCCCCCGAAGATGCTCAACCTCACACTGTCCGCATTAATATACTACAGACTAGCTGACGGTGCACTCCGCTCTGCTTGCTTTTATGGCTCTCCATTTCATTCTCAGGCTGCCAGGCGGCTCTGCTGTCAAAGCAGAAGATGGTCATCTGCCCTGCAGCAGAGAAACCAAGAGGGTCCCAATAATCAATATCCCTCCTTCAATCTTAGCTATGAGTGCATATCCCCGTATTTTGTCCTTCAGTCTCAGCCAACACTGTTCCTTCCTCTACCATGGGCTGCAGTTAGAATGTCATTCTATGTCAAATGTCCAGTATGCATCTAAAAAAAATTATATTTTATATTCCACCATCACCACCCAGTCTGGCGGCGACACCTTAAAGGCAACAAATTAAGAGACATTTCTGGGAAGGCAGCCAATACTGGTGGAGGCTAAGGGAGGAAATCAATCTCCAACAATGAAATAAATTAAACACTGCCGCTATCTATCAATATTTGTCTCTGGCTCCAGCTAGCAGTGTTGAGAAAACAGACGGGCTTGTTTTCAAAGATAGTAGCTGGAAATGGGACTTTGCCTGTGCGACGAAAGGGCACTCGTTGCAGAGAGAAGTTAGTCATCATGATAGGGGACAAGCCTTGCAAAGGAAAAGGACACACACACAAAAAGGAGGATTGGAGATCTAAGGTGGAATTGGGTCTACGGTAGGAGAAAAGATGCGAAAATGAAGAGATTGTCACCTGATGCTTGGGAAAAGACGAGTGGGTGCCAAAAAAGCGAGAGAACCCCCAGAGAGGAGCCTCTGACTGGGATCTCAAAGTGCAGGCAGGTACCCTTTCTTGCTTTGGGTGGGTGCAAAGCCAGGAACTATCAGGGGTCAATACAGGGAGCATGGTCCGGAGACAGGTCGAGGTCCAAACATGTGGCATGTTGTGTGTGTCAGTAAACAGCTAGGTGGTCAGGGGATACACTAGTCTGTAAGGTAGACACTGATCCAGCACCCTGTATCTGGCTTTTAAGTCAGAGCACTTCAGAGTCCCACCCAGACCACAACGGCTGGTCATCAGCATTACCTAAGGGATTGTCCACATGCAAGGAGTGGCTCCCTCTCGTTTAGTGTCCCCTGTCTCCGTGCTGTTTCGGCAATGATTTGACAGTTGTCCTCTAAACTAAAGGATAGTGAAAAGCAAGTCCAGTGAGAGGCATGGCCTCGGGAGAGTCCCAAGAGGCAGACAGAAAGGTTTGGCCGGCTGTATTACCTGTTGTTGGAAACCGCAGGAGAGGAGAGTGGTCTTGTGTTTGAATCCTGCTTGCTGGTTTCCCACAGGCATCGAGTTTGGCCACTGTGAGAACAGGATGCTGGACTAGGTGAGCCTTTGGTCTCATCCAGCAGGCTCTTCTTATCTTCTTAGGTATTTGGTCTCCCATGCCTAAGGTTCTCCCTTTATACACTATGTTGGATCTCTTTGTAAAGTGATATATCCTTCCTGACAGTGTTTTGTTGCATCTTGTAATTTAATAAACAAAAATATTTAAGGAAGATTTCTTAAATGTTGTCCATCTCCTCTCTGTCCATCTAGAGCAGTGATGGCCAAAGCTTGTCCCTCCTGCTGTTTTGGGACTACAATTCCCATCATCCCTGACCACTGGTCCTGTTAGCTAGGGATGATGGGAGTTGTAGTCCCAAAACAGCTGGAGGGCCAAATTTGGCCATCACTGATTTAGAGCAAGGGTAGCCAATGTGTTGCCATCCAGTCATTGTTAGATTCCAGCTCCTATCAGACACAGGCAACCTAGGCACTGTCAGGGATAATGGAAGCTAAAGTCCAACAATATTTGGAGGGTACCACACTAACCATTTCTGATCTAAGAGTTCATTGGCTGCACATCCCTAAAACCCTACCCTGCTATGATCCATTGGTTTCTGTGAGACCTGCTTTCAACTTATTGTGCTTTGCATCACAGCTAAAGGAAGGAAACCCATAAAGTAAGGCGGAACAGCTCCCAACTTAGCCGCCGACATTCCACAACTTTTGCTGACACACAAAGACACTCGAG